TATGTTTGTATACTTTTTATTTAAAATTGTATACAATGTAACATTATTCATTCTTCCACTGGGTAAGTATATTAGTACTTAGGCAATACTGTGCTTCGAAACTTCGGCAATACGGCACTTCGGAAGTACCCGAATGTCCGAATTGCCCGAATTCATATTCGTCCCGAAACGAATTGCACATGTCTATTAGAGGCTTAACATCATGCAGTATAAACTTCAATGAGCTACATTAGCAAACAAGTATGATGCAGTCATATACTTAAATATTGTGTTCAAGTTAGGTTCCTGAACTAGGCTTGCTGATGATTTAAATGTTCCCTCTTAGATCACGACACAGTTGTAAAGCAGAATTATTATTTGGGTCATCCTTCTGTGCTGTGTGTTTGAGAGGAGCACATACATTTAAGAGGAAGTCCCGGCGCCCGGCTCTTGGTCTGTTATCAGCCGACTCCCGTCATGGGTATCCCACTGTTGGGCAACTTATTGAGGTGTGTCATGCCAAAAGCATGAGTTGGTGTTTCATGTGTGTTTATATATGTTAAGAGTTGTTTTTTGTAAACCTTGGGATGACATTTATTGTGGTCTTTGATCTTGCACCAGGCCTAGACCATAAAACATCTAGATAGCCATCACCAGAGCTGGACACAAGAAATTTCATAGAGTGGGCAATAGACTGCCAGACCAGCCCCCTCTCATCCCCCCCCCCAGGGGTCTGCCCACTGAGAAACAACTAGTTTAGCTATATGAGGGTGTTGGACTATCCAGGGAAGTCAGTTATTCATTTTTCTTTTGTCAGTAACTTCTAGGAGACCTATACCATCTAAGACTCCCACAAGAATTCTATATGGGGTAAATATATGTAAGGAATTTCTTGTGTTTTCTCCTATTTTATTTTATGTACTGTTTTGCAATTTGTTATCTGTATGTCATTTATTTCTGTATTTTGTACTCAGCACTGTGAATCCTTTTTGTCAGATTAAATGTTTACTTAATCAGCTTGTGTCTCTGTTCTCTATGAGCTTCACTCTCCAGAGGAAAGCTCAGGTAAACACGTTACCAAAAAGGGTTAACTATATATGTTTTATCAGTAAAAGTAGAACGGTGATACTATAATTCTCCTGTGTGTGGGGTAACCTAAGACGCCCGGGTTTAAAAGTCTTGGTGGTGGCAGTAAAGTGTACCAAGGGGTTTAGTGTAGAAGGGATTGCAGGGGTTAATTGAGTGGTTGCTGGGACTAGCAACAGGTAACCAGGGGTCTTGTGTCATTAACCCTGTCACTTCCACACTCTCCCCACTGTCTCGGCTGGGCCTATAGCCCATGCTCCTGACAAGGTGCTTCAAGCCTCCAGGCTCCGGTCCCGTCTTGTGGTGCCAGACGGTCCCCCGGATGCTGAACACCAGAAAAACTGGAGACCCTCAACGAGGTGTAGATGCGCGTCTCACGCGTGACCGGCTGTGGTTATGCTCCTGTTTATGCCGGGGTGATGCTTGGGGCCTGGTCCGCCTTCTCCGTGGGTTCCTCTTGCCTCTAGGGGCCGCGGGTGTTTTCCTTGTGTGTGACAGGTGCCGTTTAGGTAAGGGGCCGCTTGCTTGTGGTGGGGCTTGTTGCGAATGCCTGCCTCTCCAACTTATGCCAGAATGCCACCAGGATAGCCTCCAGCTTTGTCTGGAGCGTGGTCTCCGTGTTGTGAGCTTGATTGCGACGGAGGTATGAGGTGTCCGCCGTTAGGAGTGATTCGATAGTAAAGTTAGTTGCTTGTCTGCCGGCCTTCACCTTCCCCTCTCCCCTGCTGGGTATAGCCCTCTTGGGTTGGACCGTGTTCACTCCCGACGGTCCCGGGGGGAGTAACGGGATGCCTGTCCTGCCATTGCAGTCGCTGGGTAGCCCCGGAACGGGAGAGCGGCCACCTCCCCCGCCCGGTGCACACAAGGCTGCATGTTGTCGCAAGTGTGGCTGCTCGGCTTTTACCGGGTCACCGACCCCCTACTCCCAGGCCCAGCAGTGTTGGGCTTCGGTGTGGGCTCAAGGTGGTCCCAGAGTCAAGCTGAATAAGGCAGTGTTTTGTCTTCAATGACAGGATTGTGGGAAAACACGTCTGTCCTCCATGACAGTTAGGCCTATATATATATATATATATATATATATATATAGTTCATGTATTCTGCTCAACAGATCACGTGAGGCTGGGCTCTGTAAATATTGTTAGAATTAGCTGAAATGGAAATATCCCACTCTCGCTCTAATCCAAGGGATTTAACAAAAAGGTGACACTGGCTGCATATAGACAGGAGCTACAAGAAATGCTAGAAGCTGCATTCAGTTATTAACCATTTTAAGACAATCTCTAGTTTAAACCATTAAAATCCAAGCTATAGGACCACGTTGTAATTAAAGCTGATCTGTCACCTCTCACTATATCATGAAGATATATTCTTTATTGAATACTGATCAAGACTGCATTGGGATTTCAGTGACAGATACCATAAGGCAAATAGGGACTTGTTTTGTCTTATGGTAAATCCTGAGGATGACAGAGGTTGTTAAAACATTTGACAAATAATCCCAGCAGCCATCACACACGATGGCTGTGGGATTCAGGCCTCGGTCTATGGAGATTCACAATCCCACATGATCCACCATAGACCTTAGTGCTGTATCCTCACACATGAATGAGAGTACTGGACTGACGACCTCCTGGAAACGGAAACGTCAGGAGATGAAGAGACCTGCAAAACTAAGATGTCGGCAGCTGCAAGGGACTCTTCAGTGCCAGAAAATAAAAAAATAAAAAATCAGTTTTCCTGGCACTGCAGGTCCACTCTCCCTCCCACCACCCATCCCCGGTTGCTGAAGGGGTGAAAACCCCTTCAGTGACTTACCTGAGACCCCCGCAGAGGGTCGCCGCCGCTCCTCCTCCTCTTCATCACGTCAGCCGGCGGGGGAGACGGATCCCGCCCGCCAGCTGAGGAGACCTAATACGCATGAGGAGTAGACAGCCACTAGAGGAGGAGTTAACCCTGCAAGGTAATTATTGCAGTTTATGAAAACTGCAATAATTACAGTTGCAGGGTTAAGGGTAGTGGGAGTTGGCACCCAGACCACTCCAATGGGCAGAAGTGGTCTGGGTGCCTGGAGTGTCCCTTTAAGGCAAGTAAAATTTACCTTCCCCCACACTCCGCAGCCACAGGACCCACACAGGATCTGTACCTTTCAGGGGTCATACAAAATATGCAAATACCTGCTTTATGCTTGGAATGTCAATGGCTGTTACAGGGCTGAACAAGAAAGGATGGAAGGATGTATTGAAAGCTAGGGACTGGTCCTGCAAATATGGGACTGCTGTCCGTTACAAAACACAATTACAGATAAATCTACTTCAACCTGCCCCGCATGGGTTAAAGGAAAGACAAACCAGCTGGATTCTGTATATATTCCAGGAAGAGGTTCTACACAGTCCTGCTTGTACACAGGTAAACATTACACAGACTCTGTTTGCTTGACACACATAGGAGTGTTCAGTTCATCAAGGGGGCTGGGCAGTAATCAGGCATTCAGAGGGTTAAGGTTAGTTTAAGTTGCCCTAGAATGTTTTTCATTCATTTTAATATCAAAATATCTGCGGTATATGAGTAGGCTAGTATACTGAAAGGATATTTTCATTAAAAAAAAAGTGAACTGTTAAAGATGTCTCAATATCTTCTAGGCCAAGGTAGCGGACGTTCAAAACGCAATTAAAGAATTCTTCAGATTTGGCTATTTTGGCCATATTTAGCAGTTCCCTTCCAAATTCACTACAATTCACTTTTCACAGGGTTAGTCACCAAAGTGAGAATTGTTGGGAATTAAAACTGAATTTTAAAAACAATTGTCAGCCCTGGTCAATATGTGTTGTCCGGTTTCTTGTCTTTTCTTGGTGTTCCCGTAAATGAACCGCTTATCAAGTATTCAGCAGTTACAAAAACAGGACATGGCATTTCTATCACACTTCACCACCCTTTTTTTTTTCCCCCTTCTTCGAACTTTTCCTGTGCATTTGTAATTTATTGTAGGAAAAAAATGCTAAATTCTGGAAGGGGTATGGAGATTTTTTAAAAAAAATTCAGTTATTCTTTAAAAATGTGTGATTTTTTTTCTCTGTTAACACAATATGTAAAGCTTCATTCAAGATGCGTTTAAAGGGAGGAAAAAAAATAAAAATAAAATGTAAGACTCAAATAGGAAATCTCTTCAAAATGTAAGTTAAGGGAAACTTCTGGACACCAAAACAAATTCATTTTAATAAATTTGCTACAGTGCCAGCTTACCCATAGCAGGTTAAACTGTTAATGGGTTAAACCTCAAGACTTGAATCTTGCGCTGCTGCTCTCCTTCCATACATACTCTTCTTAAGCCATGTTGTGAAAGTTGACTTAAGATTGACAGAGCAATGTTCCCAGGGGTTAATATTTCCAGTGGAACCCTTTGACATAGTGCATCAACATCGTGACAGACAGCGGGCACCGGCTGGAGGGGGAGAGAGAGAGCACAGGAGAGTGAGCAGCTGCGAGCAGCTGCTGACCTGGCACACCATCCTCAGCATGCAGTGTGTCAGTGTGTGTATCTGCCAACGTGTTTATGTGTCACTGTGTGTTTACCTGTGTCAATGTGTGTATCTGTCAGTAGGTGTATCTGTGTGTCACTATGTGCCAGTGTGTGTCAGATACACACACACACACACAGAAACACTCTGACCCACCCACACATCAGACACATCCCAGACTGCAATCCAGATCCATCAAGGATCACTTACCTGTTCTATGTACTATCCCACATGAGAAGCAGGAGAGGTTGTCATTTTGTAACAACTGCTAATTGGTAATTACAACACTTTGAATAGTAGCCATGTTGATCACAATCACTGAAGCCACTGTTACAGACCATACAAACTGACCAAAAATTGAGCAATTGTCAGATACACCTAAAATAAGAACTCTCAACATGGACAGAATTAAACAAAACGTGGAAAAAAACAGTCATTTTATTTAACTTTACACTGTAGAAATGCTATGGATGTTTGTATACCAATAATAATTAATAAAAAATAAAAAAAAATGTATCAGAGTGGGAACATTGTTAAAACTGTCAGAGGAAGTTACAATAATTCAGAAATGATTCACATGACTGTCCTTATATACAGATTCCAGGCCCCACCCCGCTTACGTACGATTTTTTTTATACACAGTATAAAGAAAACTGCAGTTATCACACAATGAACGACCTCACTGTCTCATAGCAACTCCGTTACCCTGCAATAAACTACTATACAATATCCAGTATCATCTTGAAAATATACTATAAAATTTGCAGTCATAAAACAGAAACATCAGTAACACATATACAATATCGTCTGTAGATCGTAATGATCTGCTTGTGAATGGAACGCACAATATTCTTTGTACAAAGTAATGAGAAAAAAAAATAATTGTAGATTTAACCTTTCCAGTGATGAAGGGGAATGAACTCGAGTGCTATTTAAGCTTTTCGTTTGGCACTTGTTAAATATTAAGGCAAAACAGACAGGTCAGATTTGTTTTCGATTAAGAAGGAGAAAAAACCCGAAAAAGAATAAAAATCAAATTGTATCGAGAAGCCCTGATGCTTTGTAGCCGCATATCTTATTACCACCCACAACTATTTATAAATAAAATAGCGCCACACGTGATCTAATAAGGTGTTATCCCTTTAAGGAGCAGACGGATGAGCACATTGAAGAGTTAAAGGGGTACCGTCACTTCACTGGAAATTACATAACTGAATTATACAGTGAAAATCACCCATAACTTAGATTAACCTTTTTTTCACGTGATGCTCAATTTAAAAAAATATATATTTTTTTCTAACATTAATATTAAAGATTTAGCAGGTGACATCACAATCAGGCTTAGTCAAGGCACAGCCAGGGCACACGATGCAAATTGTTGACTCTACAGGATAAGAAAACAAGATTAAAGTGTAAAGTTTTCTTTTAAAGTATATCAGAGTAACAACTCTCTAACTAATTAGCAGCCAGAGTGCACAGCCTCACAGCACTGAAAAGGCCATCTAATAGGACATGTCTTTCTGGGCATAACTTAATCATGCTGATAGGCAACAGATACATTGATTTGTTTCAACAGGGAAATCATTTAACAAGTCATGCTTTCCTTTTTAGTTCCTCCATGATTAGATAACGGATTTCCCTTTTGAAGCATAGGATTTCTACTGGATACATAGTTGCAATTTTCCTCTAGTGCCAAACAGAATAATATGTACTCAGGAGAACATGGTGCATTTAGCAAACTTAAAGGGACACTATAGTCACCTGAACAACTACAGCTTAATGTATTTGTTCAGGTGAGATCTATAGCTCCCTGTAGGCAATCTAATGTAAACACTGTGTTTTCAGAGAAAATACAGTGTTTACATTGATTGATAGGAATACCTCCAGTGGCCGTCACTCAGACTGCCACCAGAGGGACTTCCTATCATGCAGGGCCCTAAAAAGGCCTTGTACACGTCAGACATATCAAAATACGTCTGACGTGTGCAGGAGAGAGAAGGCACAGTGGGCGCACATTCTCTCTTCTGCCTGTCAGCAAAGGAGAGGTGGTGGGCAAAGACCGGTAGCGCGCTCAGGACCCTCTGAAGTATGTGCGCATGTGCAGCAAAGCCACGCATGCGCACAAGGGAGCAATGACGCTTCCAAATGGAAGCGTCTGATTGCTCCCTGCCGCCTATTTTGTCATTTTGACGAAAGAGGGGGCGCGGCTTCAAGAGGTTCCCGGCGCTGGAACCAGGTGAGTAAAATTCTCTGCCTGGAGAGTCCCTTTAACTGTGCTACTCTGCCCAGCAATAAAAATGTTAAAAATACAAACCTAGTGTTAAAAGTGGTTGTAGTGAAAACCCAGCCAAGCCAAACAGTGGTTACAAAGAGAAAAAAAAAAAAACTGCCAGGATAAATTAACAGATGGATTAAAGTTTTAAATACAATTAACGGTTAAGTTATGTATTGCCCCTTATTATATAAGTTCAATAAAATGCGTTGGAAGGGGAGGGTTTGCATAGTGTGATTAAGGGAGGACAAGAATTACACTAAAAACATTTTATTTTCAACAACCAACCAGCTGTAATATCCTCGTTTAAGGAAATTTGCAGAAAAAGTGGTAAATTCTTCCTGCTCTGGGATTTCAACCTAAATATGGAATTTTGTTGCCAATACTCTGGAATTCCCACTTGAATAAACCAATACATGCTTTGCACCATTTCACTTTGTCGCAAATTCATTTTAATGTAATGTTTGTCCTCTCCTAACTCCACCTTCTTTCACCTAATAAATCTGGGGATAATTGCAGTAGAGTTCATAATATAGAGTACTATATCAATACTGTGCCTTCAACCCATTCGATAAATGGGTACTACTGTTTTACAAGAACACTTATTTCATAGTGATTTAATTTCACAGTTTTTAAGTGTTTGTAAGTCTACATCAAACATGCAGCCAGCAGCTATCTTGGCTCCTTATTTTTTATCTGATCAGATCAAATGAGAATTCAGTTCTTCCAAAACACTGCTTCTTCTAGAGAAGAGAGAAGACTCATTAAAACACTATAAAACAAAATCTTCTGCATTTACCAGCAAAATCCTTTCAAGAACGTTAAGAAGTACAAAAAATACTTTTATTTTTTGTCTATAAAGAAAATAAAATCTAAGATTGTTTGGCAACACATTTCTTGTGTAAAACACGTCAGCAGCAGTAGGGCTAATATAAGCACGACCGCCTGTGTTTTCAAAGTTCCGTGTAAACAGGATAGAATGTTTGGAGCAAAGGGCCCGTTTGGTGGTTTAAATCCTGACATTCATTCTCTCCACCTCAGATTTAACAGATAATCACGTTTTACATGGTTATTCAGGACTGTACATTTCCTTTGTCTATAAGTTTTTGAAATTCAATAAATAGTAGAAAAATAATCCTTTGAATAAAAACTGAGATGCATTGTTTTACAAAACTATTAACAATTCTACTCATATAGAGTAATGTCCATAAAAAATAATAATAATAGACACGTTTCTTCATCTGCTTTACACATTTCCAACTCTCAGCCATGCCGCGCTGTTCGAGTTTGACCTCCCATCCATTTGAAAGTTGGAGGAACAGCATACCATGTGCGCTGATCTACTCCCATACTGAAGTCAGCTTCACATGTACAAGTATAAAGCTATTCCACCACTGCTCGCAGTGAACTTGAGGGACTGCGGTATAGTCTTTTCCAGGCAAAAAAAGTTGCCAAATATCAAGGCTCGTCAGCACTCGGCGTCCACGGAATGTACAGTGACCACGGCCTGTAAGTGGTGGCTGTGGTGCAAGGCTGGATGATGGATTCTGTAGTGATGATGGAATTTGTGGCTTAAAAGAGCAGCTGTTTGAGGAGGGGTGTCTGGTTCTAGATCTTCTTCGTGGTTCCCCACATCGACCCCAGCAGACAGCGGGTCGTTATTACACGGTGGGTTCTCACTGTCTTCTTGAGGACTCATGGTACTGTAACCTACAGGAGAAATGGAATATACATCATTGTGGTGCTCAATCCCTATTCAGTTTAGTTATTCGTGTGACACTAGCAGAAGCATAATCTAGATGGGGCCAGTCATACAGGTAAGGTATGCAAACAAAATGACAGCAAATGAAAAGGGAACACATTGTAATCATACCAATAAATAAAGGTGCATCATTTGCAGGTGTGCAGCACATAGCAGGAAGTAAAAAACAAAAACAAACCCTATTCTCAAACTCTGAACACGTTCTGCACATCTTGAATATTCTGCTCAGAATTCCCTGGAAATTAGTTCAATTGCAACTACAAAATTTTTTAAACTCCAATACTGTTTAGCAATTGCTATGTAGCGTTTGTGTTTTTTTTCTTTTAACTCCAGTATTACCTTGGCTTTTGTTTATTAATCTAACCAATTCCAAATTCTACTAATGAGCTTATTCACCTTGGATTCAAGACAGCATCCACAACTTGGCAAATCCCAAATGAACTACATTTGATTCCTGAAATACACTTAGCTAATGTTTCTTAGCAACTTGCTCCCTGTGAGCACTAACTTAAGATCTGGTCCCAAATCAGCTCAACGTAGTGGAGAAGAAACACCAGATTGGATGCAGAATGCTCCCCTTAGCATCAGCACCAGACGAGTTCAATATAATGTATACATGCTTAGCAAACACATCAAAGAAAAGTAAGCAGGAGATTCATTTAACACACACAGCACAAAAGCCTGGTATCTACTGAACAAACAGCCTTTTCCCATTGTCACAGTATGAGTTCCAAGCACAGTAAAACTATGTGAACAGCTACTTACCATGATCACTTTCCGTACCAGACCTTCCCCAGTATCGTCTCCGTCGCTCTGGGCTGTGCGCATGACGTTCAATTACTGCCGCAATGAACCTGGTGTTGCTGACTGAGGGGGAGAGAAAGCAAATTGACTCAATGCAGGTTCAGAACCACTTTTTTTTTTAATTTTTTTTTTTTAGAAAAAGCTTTAATATGCAACATGATTAAACTCACTGATTCCGCGATCCTCGTGGCTGTCGTCATCCCGTTCATCACGATCGTTCTCAAGGTTGGACATTCGGAGAGACATTTCTACACCACAGAAAAAAAAAAACAAAGCAGGTCAGTGGTGTGTCAGTAAATATTAGTTAATTTATAAAACCAATGAAATAGCTACATAAGAATGAAAAAAACAAAACTAAAAAAACCGAAACCCTATAAAAGTAAATGATTTACTGGACTCTCCAAGAAATTAAAAGTTTCAGTGTTCTGGACACGGACATACACACACACTTTAGACAATCTATATTAACAAAAGACCAGCAAAGTATACAAATTGTTGCACTTGATAAGTTCTTGACAGTACTCATGTTAAACGGAGTGACTTCAATTCATACCTTGAGCTGCCAGTGGTGACATGTGTTGGTGACTCCTCCGATGTATTTGGTGACGGTAAGCATAAACAGCCAAGACCAGCACCATAATACAGCCCATTATTCCTCCAGCCACCGGTCCAACAGGGGCACTTTTAATCATGTTCAAAGTGATGACTTCATCCCCTATTAAAATGAAATGTTATTTGTGAGAAAGCCATCAGACACGTTGCTGAAATGCTCCACTTCCATGATCCTTAGGCAAGCTGTGTTCATTCAAATGCGGACTTGGAATGAAAAGACATGAACCCCTTAGTGACCAGACCATTTTTCAATTTTCATACAGTTTGGGACCAGGGCTGTTTTTACATTTCTGCGGTGTTTGCGTTTAGCTGTAATTTTCCTCTTACTCATTTACTGTAACCACACATATAAAGGCCCAGGGTATTCAAAGGGGGTATGTCCAGTCTTTTGAAGTAGCAATTTGGTCACAAACACTGGCCATAGTGTAGCATTTATATAGGTGTGTGTGTGTAAAAGTGCAAAAAAACAAATATGAAGCTAACTTTGGCCAGTGTTTGTGACTAAGTGGCTACTAGAAAAAACTGGACATACCCTATTTGCAATACCTCGGGTTGTCTACTTTTGCAAATGGTATGCCATCATGGGGGTAATTCTTATTCCTGGGCTACCATATGGTCTCAAAGGCAATATATTTCATTGAAAAAACTGAAATGGGCAAGCCTTATATTTGACCCTGTAATTTTCAAAAACACTATAAAAGCAGTACAAATATTAGTGTTTTAAAACCATAAAACATATCACATAGATGTCAGTGAAAGTTGAGTTTTTTGCGTTTCTTACACACAAACGTCACTTTCACTTACAATATCATTGTTGTGATACATTTTACTGTTTTGAAACCCTCATATTTGTGTTCAGCAAAGTTTCCAGAGTATAACAGTACCCCCATGTACTAGTTTTATAGTAGTTTTGAAAGTTACAGGCTCAAATATAAGGCTTGCCCATTTCATTTTTTAATTGAAATTTGCCAAATTGGTTATGTTGCCTTTGAGACCGCGTGGTAGCCCAGGAATAAGAATTACCCCCATGATGGTAAACCATTTGCAAATGTAGACAACCCAAGGTATTGAAAATAGGATATATGTCAAGTTTTTTCTAGAAGCCACTTAGTCACAAACACTGGCCAAAGCTAGCATTCATATTCGTTTTTGCATTTTTACACACAAACAAATATAAATGCTACACTATGGCCAGTGTTTGATACTAAGTGGCTACTACAAAAGACTGGACATACCCCACTTTGAATACACTGGGTTGTCTGCTTTTTCAAATGGTAAGTCATGGTGGGGTTTATTTTCATTTCTGGCCTGACATACAGTCTCCGAGGCAACAGAGCCAATCTGGCAAATAGCAATTTACAAAAATAGAAATTGGCAAATCTTATGTTTGACCCTGTAAAACCTATACTTGAGGGGTACTGTTGTACTTGTGAGACATTACTTTACATATAGAATGCAGAGTGTGTGTATAATATACATATATATATATTACATATATTATACACACACACACACACATTACCTGTGCATATAATACCTCTGTGTGTGTTATATATATACACACACACACACACACACGTTTTTATTTCCTATATGTATAATATATATGATCACATTATAAGTGTATTTTGAGATGTATGTGTATATATCTCAAAGTACGCTTATTATGAAATCATATATATGCATTATATATGTATAATATTATAAAATTCTTAATTTATTTCATAATAAGCGTACTTTGAGATATATACACATATATCTCAAAATACACTTATAATGTGATTATATATATATATATATATATATATTTTATTTATTTTTTACACTTTTAGGTGTCTGGGGGACTGCCGTGATCGCCAGTCCAGGTGAGTACCCGGGGTCATTTTAGCAGAGGACGTCCACGGTCATTTTTTTGGGGACGTACCCTGCACATCCGCAGTCGGGAAGGGGTTAAGCTGATTAACAATTAGACAGATACCGGCCAGTGACTACTGATATGTACACATCTAAAATGGAACCAAACTCAACTAACAACTGTGCTGCTTTTCAGAATATAAGACAGCGGGCCATATTCTGAATGTGGAGCAGTTACCGTGGAAACCAATCTAATGTTGTTAACTCTTTCACATTTAGGACAAGTGTCCCAGAATGCCCTTTTGTCAACTATATTATTTTTTTTTTAAATAAAGTTGTTATCCAGAATAATATGAATCAGTCATTTAAACATCTCACATATTGTATACTTTAGGATACTGTACATTAAAAAAAAAAAAAAAGCAGCTGACAGGAACCATAGCATTTTATAAAAAAATATCTTAAATTACCTATTGAACTCAAATCATCTGCATAGGGGCTTTTTGCTCCTACGACGCCCCCAAAACATTCTTTTTGTAGAGCACAGTATGGAGCTACTGCGTTTTTTGTTTTGCCATCGCTGTCCTCCATACACCACTCACAGTCCAGAAGGCCAAAACAATACCTATTACAAAGAATACAGACATTATATTCTGACACAAAGCATATGGAACAGTGTTAGCAACATGGACACATGATAACTCATATTAATACACACAAAGGGGGCAAACTTCATTTCAGCTATAAATGGTAAAATAACAAAACAAAATTGCCTGAAATATACGGAACAGAAATAATATAAACTTGACATTTTCTGGCAAGTCTTTTTGACTATTAAGTATGATGCAAACTGGGATCATAGGATCCTATAGTGTATAATAACATTTTCAATATTAAATATAATGTAGTCTGTACATTTTAAAAGCAACTTAGTGAATTATATTCTGCAAATAAAACTGCAATAAAGGAATCAGATTTTGTTTTCTTTTTTTTGATCAATGAATATACAGTAGAAACCCCTGATATTAAAATCATACTTGAGAACTAATCTTGGCTGGATCCCCAAATTCCAGGTTTTCAAATCCAGTGACCGGTACTGCTCATTAAAGGGACACTTCAGGCACCCAGACCACTTTTGCCCATTGGAGTGGTCTGGGTGCCAAATCCCAATACCCTTAACCCTGCAAGTGTAATTATTGCAGTTTTTTATAAACTGCAATAATTACCTTGCAGGGTTAACTTCTCCTCTAGTGGCTGTCTACTAGACAGCCACTAGAGGGCACTTCAGTGTCTATAGCAAAGGTTTTCTGTGCTAGAGCGTCGTTTGACGTCCTCACGCTGTGTGAGGACCTCCAGCGTCGCTCAATTCCTCATAGGAAAGCATTGAAAAGCATTTTCAATGCTTTCCTATGGAGAGCTCTAATGCGCGTATGCAGCATAGTGTATAAGCACTGATGCTATATCGATATGGAGTCATTCAGGGCAATGTTCTAAATGTGAACCAGTCTCCATGGAAACCAAGCGACAGTTCCTTAAAATTTCTGCACATTTAGATCTTTACACCAGAATAGCTGTCCATATATAACTCCAGTTATATCACCTTAGTATCTGTCTTAACCATAGGTCTAAGGAGATCAGTGGTACGTACGATGAATGCATGCGTAACTTTTTGGAAATATAACCTAGGATAATACCTGCTTTCCGTCTTCTCGCTGCAGCCGGTGTTGAAACATTGGGAAAGAGCATCTTGTAAGTTGGGGTCCAGCACTGTAAAGGTCATAGGCTCCTGGTGAACCTCACAACTGGGGTTCCTGTACAAAGAAAGAATATATTTATTTTTTAGAGACCACAAAACAAATCCTCAAGCCTTTCAACAAAGAAAATAAAACAGTCATAACTGGGGACACAAAGAACAATTTCACTATTCTACGCAAATACCAAAAAAAAGGACCGTTTGAGAATCGAAGCAAACATTTAAACATCCCCAGTTTTTCTATTGTTTGTGGACGCCTGGACCCACAATACCAGGTCCAATATTGTCAGATCGATAAAATAAGTGGGGATAGGAATCGCAGACACTGCGTATAGAACCGAAGAAATAGCAGTAGACAGTGTAGCGTACTAGGAGACTGATTCACTGGGATAAGAAAAAAAATTTTTTAAAAAAGGGGCTGGAAGGGCGACTAAAATAATCACATTCCCATGATAACTAAGCTGTTATTTTAATATACATATCAATTCCTAAATTTGGAAACAAACTACCATATATGATCAATTTTCGCTTACCTGCTTTCAGTGTTTGTTAGATTGCCAGTGCACTCATTCACCTCTAGAGGGCACTCACACGGACATTCACATTCCTTTTGCTCCATCCTAAAAACAGGGATTCATGCGTCAGGTCACAATATTTTGAGCAAGCCACAAGTTGTGTTTAGTATAAAGACAATACGTTTTTTTTTTTTATTTAGGATTTTTTAAATTTTTTTATTATTATTATCTCTATGGAAAAGGCACATACATCAGCGCCTTCTACTTTATGTCATAGTTTTATTACAACTTAACGAATTAATTAAATAATTATTGCAAAACAAAGGAGATCGCTTGTCCTAAAACAATAACTGAAAGAATTTTCATTTTTAATCTACGGTTTGTTTTAAACATTGTACAAAAGAACCATTGCTTAGTTGAGAAAGAATACATAAACTTTTTAAGGACTTATGATGTAGCATAATATATCTTCATGCATTGTGCAGGTGCCCAGTGCAGTCCTGCACTGTGTATAATAATCTGTAGTTAAAGGGGCAGTGACTATGAACTAGTCAGTCGCAGTGACAACCATTTTACTGAGTGGTTTACTTATTGCAGCAATCTTTGATACCAGTTCATAAGCTCGGGAATATCACAAGATATATATATATATATATAGATATATAGATATATATATATACATACACACACACACACACAACAATAGATGGTCCAGATAGCACTCCCAGGACTTAGAAAAAGTATAAAATTTTACTTTTAATTAACTTTACAAATAAATCGACGTTTCAGTCTGTTACTCACAGACTTTCATCAGGACTATATATATATTTTTTTTTTATTATGTCTGTGTGGCCTGTGAACATGAGCAGAGGTTTCAGTTTAGGCTGCAAATATATTGGATAAACTAAAATGCCAAAATTGAACAAACGGTGTGAAAAGTAACTCATTCAGGGTTCATGGGCTACAATTAAACCAGAATCAGAAAGCAGTGATTGGCTTCCTTGAAGGAAGTTATACTTTCAGCTTGTCCATGTGTTGGGGAAAGTATGAACAACATTGCAAACAGGCTTCAGTTAATCTGTACAAGATGAGTCTTCATCATCTCATTAAATACATTAACAGACTGGAGAGTGATTTGGAGTTATCTTAGCTGGTGTTCTCTGGTGGGATTTTGCAGCCAAGGACCTAAATTTGGCTTTGAATGAATCGGTCCACACAGCAATTTCTAAGATGCTCAAAAGATTAAAGTTAATTTACCATCTCCCACAAATAAATAGATATAAAATAATTAATACTAATTTGAGCCATTTAACAATGATCCTGGAAGATTAATTTGGGTTAACCTGACATCACGAAATACCTGTGGCAGTTAAGACAGAGTCGGTCTACCATGCTGCATGCACAAAAAGTAAAAGGCTCTGAGGTTTCATTGACAATTCCAACAAACGCATTGGTTCCAGGGATTCGTGTCAGTCTGTATTTGGAATAGTGGCTGCCGTGAAGATTGGTCAAGTCTCCCTAGTGAATAAACAAAACAAAGAAATCAGTCAATATAATACCAATTTGTAAACACTGAAAGGACTATTCTGGGCACTATAACAATGTCAGCGCAATGAAATTGTTATAGTGTCAGGTGGTCCCTAGGCACCATCCCACCTCATGAGACTAAACCATATGTTTGGGTTAAATTATTTACTAATGGATTAAGCCCATTAAGGTAAGATGGCTCCAGGATCTCCTGACACCAAAACGACTTCACTGGGATGAAGTTATGGTGCCCGAAGTACGCATTTAACATAACATTGTCCCCTATCTCATCTAATAGAAACAGTTCATATCATAAGCTCTGGGGCTTCTGTGTCTCTTTGCATCAGGTAAAGAAGGTGAACTGTATTGCATGTGTCAACTATAAAGAATGTTAAAAAAAATTAAAAAGCAAATCTGTTCCTATACATTTATTTACACAGATACATTTTTTAAATCTGAACAATTACTTGTAACAAACATTAGATTTCCTCCCAATATAATTATTGCACTTAGCATGGAGGCACTCACCACAAGGCTCGTATTAAATTTATAGAATCTCTGGACAGTTCTGTCACTGAAACTATTGCAGAGATTCTTCTTCACAAAGTTGGGGTGATTCAAGATATCGTTGGCCACCACAGGTTCCTATAACAAACAAGATCAGGAAAAAAAAAATCAAAAAAGAAAATCAGTCCACATCCAGCAGGAGCGTCTTGTCAAGGTGGACACCTGGCAGGGAAGGTGGGACAGACCTTGTGAGTAATGTGTTGCTGTTCCACCGTTGTGTGTCCTTTCGGGTGAGCGACAAGGTAACCTCTGTCTTCCATGATGAAGCACCTGATGAAAGATTGCGTGCTGGTTACAAAACTGTTTTTGCAACATAGACAAAATGAACACCATTTGAAGCTGCTCATGACTTTCTTCCTAATAGGATTGTATTCATGGATGACTAACTCTGTGCTATGTTATAAGGACACCAGGCAAAGAACGCACTATATCATCAGGCCAAAGGGGAAAATCTCCTAAAAAAACAGACTGAGGGAATTCTTACTCTGTACCAAACCACTATCTGAGAGACAGTCAAAGGACATGGCGCACGGTAGGTTACAATACAAAGTGCTGTATTTTATTTTTAATGTGTATTTGAAACCGGTTAATGTTGGTAATGTAAAATTTTCCAGGATATTTGGTTTTTAAGGCTAGAGCTGGCCCTAGCCTTTAATGCCTTTTATCAATAACACACTGAAAAAAAATCTGAAAAAACTAAAACAAACAAAAAAAAAATGATAAAAAAATAAAACATTAGAGATATTGTTGTTTGAAGTTCCTGCATTTGATGCTAATCCCCAGAGATATATGTTGCTTGTGCAGAGAGCTCTCACCAAACTAGATAGTGACTCATCCATATCTGATGCTTACATGCTTTCTATGGAAGTGCTGAACACATCTAATAAACACATCATGGCGCCATGCCTTGAACCTTCATCTTGTGGTAAAAATTCCTCCATTACTGGTCTGACAGACCGACTGACAAGTGTTGGCTGAATAAAGTCAATTTAAAGTCAACCACTTAATAAGGAATTTAAAGGGACACCATAGGCACCCAGACCACTTCAACTCATTGACGTGGTATGGGTGCAGTGCTCCTGTCCCTTCAACCCTTCAATTGTAATTACTGCAGTAATTACATTGCAGGGTTAACTACCAGACAGCCACTAGAGGCACTTCCAGGTATTTAGGTGACTTTTGGTCACCTGACGCTGTAGGTCCTCACGCTCTGCATGATGAAATCCAACGTCAGCTAAAACCCCCAATAGGAAAGCATTGATTTAATGCTATCCTATTGGGAAGTCCTAGTACGATCCCAGATCTCGCTGTGCTTGCATATTAGGTACTAGACGTCAGGGGAGGAGGAGCGGTGTTGAACTAATGTTCTCTGGTAAAACCAGGGGAAAAATCTTGTTCACATCAGAGAACACTTACCGTAACTTATTGCCTCCATCTTGATTGCAAATTGGGAGAAGGTCTATGAGCACTTTGTAAAAGTAGCGCAGGGTAAAGTCCATGCCCATCACAGCGACAGTGTGACCAGAAGAGACGAGAGAACTGGAAAAACAAGAGTTATTGAAGCACTCCTGGGGATAATCAGTGTTTCTATTCTAGACAGTGAATCAGACACAAGGTACTGACTGATGTCAATGCTAATTCATTCCCTACAACACTTTCTCCACCGTTAGTCACTTACATCCCAATAATTTTACCTCTCCCCCTTCTATTCTCCTTCAACCAAATATTTTTCCTTTCACAGCAAACTTTTCCCCACATCCATTTTTTTTGCCTTGGCTCTGTAACAGAGTCTTTTCTTCTCTGCCTCTTAACACTCCCTATACCACAGTTTCACATCGGTCTATAGAGATTTCTGCTGCCCCTCTCACAATATCTCCATAATACCACTGCACTGGAACACTGTGCATGGCCTATTGAGCATGTGTCTTAAAGGAACACTCCAACCGCCATAACCATTGCAACTGTAAAGGTTATATAGGGCAAGGACAGCCCTGACGCATCTTACTGTAAATAGTGAAGCAGTTTTAGAGCGGCTTGAATACTTTCCAGGGGCCAGCTGGCCATCACTCCCTGTCTCCACTGACAATGGAGTTAACGGAAGCTCTTGGTTATAAACTTCTGGCTTTCCATTATCTGTATTGAAGGAAGGAACCAATGCCAGGTGACCCAGGTAAGAAATCAAACCTTTTTAAGACAAGCTGTAGAGTTTGGAGTGTTCTTTTAAGGTGATAATAGCCACATTGTGCTATTAGCGCTCACACACACAGAATGACTGTGTAGGGGACTATACACTAACTATGCTAACTCCCAACTTTATGGCCAATTACCTGGAGGAATGAATAGTGTGGCTTATCGTCACCACATAGCCTGCTCCTCCGACATCCAAATAGGGCCCAGTGAAAGTGATTAGGCCTGGGTTGGCCAAAGCGTGTAGATACCTGGACAGAAATCAAAAGTCAATTCAATAACAAGCATTATCAACGAAAACACAGGGATTCTCTTGGAAATCAGTGATATCATTAAAAATACATATATATATATATATATATATATATATATATATATATATACACACACACACACACACACACAGCGGCCCCAGATATCTGATGCCTTGTGTTTTGTTTTTTACCTACAACTGTTCCTGAGTGTTTGGAAAATGTGACAATACCAACATGTCCACCTCCGAAGTTGACATCTGTCTAGTATCACCTGGTAAGTAGAGCTAAACTTACTTTAAATTTGCTTGATGGAACTATTAATCTGTTGGGAATACGGTTTTGTTGTGAGTTATGCAAAGAATGTTTCAGGGACAGTGCCACTTTAAGGCTGCTACGAAAACCACATGACACCCATTGAGTACCAGAAGGAAGTGTTCCAATACTAATGAAGTTCACCTCTCTGGTATTGTAAATGTTAACAGGTTGTTTAACCTGTTAGCATGTTTATGAAACTAGCAGGTTGCTGAAACAAACAGACCTGTCATCAATAATGTAATTTTGCACAAAATAAATTCCTTTAAGCTGCAGATTCCAATCTGTGTTCTATCCTGGCAAAATAATGGACGCATAAAGAATCTCTGAAACTTACCATTGTCTTCTAGTGGGATCAAATGCTTTGTCCATGAGAGAGCCGGGGTAAATCCGAAGCACCCCATTGGGTGTTGCTATGTAACGCCGGACAATGTAGCTGCTCAGGCTACTCATTTCCATTTGTGTCATCCATTCATCTGTGACGTGACTGGTAGCCATGACTTCATTCCTGACAGAGAACTGAAAGACAAAAAGGATCATGCCAGGGTTCCTTTAAGACTCACATAAAAAGGGATTTAAGCCATCACCGGGTTTTCTCTCCAGAGATCGCAGACAGAATGCAAAAAGCAATCGCATCTTTTAAATACCCCTCTGAATCTCGAAATGCACGTTTGGCAAAAACCTAGGAGCGGGCATTAAATCTACAGGCAAATTTCAAGGCAGAATAGAGTTGGTGAGAAAAAAAATTAAGTAAAAAAGCAAAATCTAATTTTACCAAAACGCAGAATGATCTGCAAGTAACCATTTAGTAAACATATCTATCTAATTGTAGTCTTTCCATTGAATGAACTAAGAAATACATTAAATTTACCTTAGCTGTAAGATTAAGCATCATAAAACACACACACAGCAAAGACACAGAAAGCACTGATATACTCTGTATACAAAGTTACAGTGATGTATAAAGTCAGTAAACACGTCATAAAACTCCTCACACTCACGCGGATATTTATTTAAAATGTGTTCATTTTACAATTTAGGCCATAAAAGTGGAAAAATGATCAAAAATCTGCTATGTTTTTATTTCCGCTAATTTGACCTAAAATCTTAAATTCACCATGACAATTCCCACTTTATAGAGTTAGTAGCCTATCAGCAGTGTATGTAATCAGTCTGTACACGTCACAGAATGGTTGTCATGGAACATTACAAAAGCTATTAATTCAAGAACTGTGTTCAGCCAATAGGAGGATGAATCTTTGCTCTGCTCATGGGTTATAGGTTGGCTGCACAACCTTCCAAACTAGAACATTTATACACGAATACTATGTTCTAAAAATTTGAAGGCAACCCTCCTGTTGAAGAATTAATTCTATTATTAGAATACACGTCTACATGTAACAAATTAATCATCTGCTTCTGATTAAATACAGTCACAGCTAGGCAGCAGAGGTGGCACAGTAGGGACATAGAGACATTGATCCATACCCAAGACTCACTACAAAGTGACACAGTAGTGCAAGCAATAAATTCCATCAATAAATTCCATCTATATATAATAATAGCAGTTTTGGAGTGAGGTGACGTCACTCCGTTCAGACGCCGTCATGATGGCGATGATGCCAGCGTGCTGGCGTCACTGAGGTTTGCACTTCATGGGGAAGTGTCCCCATGCAGGACAAATCAGTGACTGGCAGAAGAGGAGCACGGACAGACTGGAGGTGGGTGTTTGAGAAGAGTTACACCCACCTCTATAATGAGATCGTGGCGGGGGAGCAGACCCCACAGAATGTGGCTACTGGTTCATTTTAATACAATACAAAAAAATGAATAAATACCCATGTGTACAGTACGTTCATTTACTTGTGCTTTGAATGCATATCAAACGATTTTGCCTTCTGAGTTACCTTGAGCCCAGGATTGGCTATGAGACGCGTGTTATCACTGAGATATGCGGTGTAGTGCTCCACCATCCTCTTGGTCTCCGGCTGACTCAGATGCTCGTAAGGAGAAGAGAAGCTTCCTGCTGCCAACATGACAGTGGGACTCTCTGAAAGAGGATACAAACTGGTCAGACTTTCAGCTGGAACCGGAGATTTCATGAACACAAACACAGTTACCTGTAGCCTTACCCAGGGTGGCCAGCTGTTTAAAGTGAAGGCATGCCTTGGGCTGGCCAAGGAGATCAAGCCGGTGATACAATAACTTGCTGCTGGGCACAGTGTTCAAGTTTTTCAGTTGTTTAACTGGGATTTCCGGCTGTATGACCACAATGCACAAAATGAACGAGGTGTCCTGAACCTGGGGAGAGAAACAAGACAACAAAGTAAACATTTTGGAAAGACAAAAAAATCTACATCAACAATTATTTCAATTCACCCAAGGATTGATAATTAATGTTGATTAATTCTCCTCCTTCCCAACATAAAAATTATGCCAATAGTTGATTGTGAATGCCAGATATTCTGCTGAGCCCCATCAGAAAATATATTGATAATTAATAACTTTTACTATAATTTCATAAAACTATGGACATACATAGGGGGGCTCTAGAACATTTTCTGGCCTTTTAGGTCAACAAATGAATAATTTTAAACAGACATTAATAATGTATATGACAAATCCATGGATCACTCAAAACGCTGCTTTGGGTTACAGGAACAGGGGTATTTTCTTTGGAAACCCCTTACTTCTTATTACTGGGAAAACAATATATTCATATTGGAAAAGCTTCTCATATGTGATTTACTGATTTTATACCAAGGTTAGAATTAGAATATAGACAGATGCTTTCTATTTGATAAGAAAGGCCTTCCAAACCTGTCCAGTGCCAAAAGGTGATGAGTAGCACAGCCCTCTGGCAATAAGAGAATTAATCATGGATAAAATGACATAACGCTGCTTTATCAAATTACAGGACTCCATATAGATTAGCCCAAGAGTATAAAGGAGTCCGATATGTGTCAATGCACTGCTCCCTGAAACATAACTAATTATAGATCACCCCTCTTACCATCTTCCACGCATAGCTGACATTATATGCATCCCGTGCCGGATCTCGCAGTTTGTTGACGTGCCAGGACAGAGAGGAATTCACAGGCACAGAAATGATCTGACTACCCAGTGGGAGACTAGACACAGAGAGCAATGGGTTACTAAATGCAAATCTTAAAAGGATTAATTCACATTATAAAAGTTAATTCTTTTTTTAGTTCCAGACAGAAAATTAGAGCACATTCTCACAGATAGAACTGTAAAGGGAATTTCCTCAGTTTTTTGGGGGAGTGGTATTATGTGCCTTTCTCTCACCTGAGAATATTCTGCCGAACAAGATAAAACTTTGGAATATTTTCATAGTGAATGATGTCTGTGTGCAGCGGAGGTTCTGCAAGCAAATACGGCCTTGTCAGCGATGGGTGCATTAACGTGTAACCTTGGGAGAGAAGACATTTGATCTCAATCAATAAACTGAAACGCACTTAAACTGACAAACTGCTACTATATTTTAATGTGGCGGCGGGGGGGAGCGAAAGGGGTGCTTCATCTTTAAAATGTTAAAAGAAAAATCCAATTAATGAAAAATAAAATATATGTATATTTGACTGTTGGGCTAAATGCATAGAATTCTAAGCATATCTAAGGATCACTTTCATAAAACAATTACAGGCAGGGCTCTAAATAAACTCAAAAGCCAAGGCCTAGGCAGAACAAGCCCACCTGCGGCTACTGTAGAGTTGGAACAATCAGCCTTACTCTAAATTCCGTTTTCAAACCATAATTCACAGACTAGAGAATAAATTGTATCGCAACGTAATTCTGCAGTAAAATATCAGGATGGGGACAGACTTGATAAAATAAAACACCATATCCCGAAATCAAAAACAAAACACTATTTCTGAGCACTCCAGCAGGTAAATAAAGTATTATAAATAAACAGACTAGATAAACCTTTGGGTACAATGTATTAAGTAGCTTTCTCCATATACTGCTTGTGGGATGAGTATCATTGATGTATAATGTATAATATGTGAATAGCAGAATTGTTTCCAGTGCTCCTAAAAGACCGTAAATGTCAAATGTTATAGATTTGGAAGAAGGGATAGCGTTCCCGTGCGAACACACTTGCATTAAGCGTTAAATACATTTTTTTTTTAGTAACACTAATGGGGTGTAGCCATTCCTGAGTAAACCATAACAAAGGCATCTTTGCTGAAATGAGGTCGTGTGTTTTGTTTGTGTTCTTTGAGAGGATAAACCTATACACCTATGAGACAAACTCGAGAGGTATGAGTTAAAGCCTATGAAATTAATGTTACGGTTACTGTTCGTCAAATACAATGTATGTTCTGGCTGAACTGGATTGCGTTGCCAAATGTTACATTTGCAACATACATGAAAAAAACAAAGTATTACATGAGAGAGAAAAAAAGTTTGAGATGGCTTTACCCTGTGCAAGTTGTGTGAACCAGTGAAATTAGAGTTATCACCTCCATAGGGTTATTGAGCTCAATTAAGAGTCTGTAGCCATATGCAGTTTATTCCGAACATGGAGATAAAAGAAAATATAAACCACTAGAGGGTGCTGTGTACGATAATATGAGTGCAGCTTATCTTTTAATGGAACTTGCAGGGACTATTTACTTACATGCAGAGGTTATAAAACAACCCAAAGCGGCTGCCAATTATCTGGGCATTACGGCAATAATACTGTTTGACTAACAGGTTAATCCCTCGGCTATCACAATCTTTTGAAAGCACTTAAAAACAATTATCCCGATTGCCATCTAGCCAGCCAGCATAGTGACAAGACAGGTTTCAGAGCAGGCTGGGAATGTGTACTTTGCATTGTTTATTGTAACACGTAGACTAAGGGACAAGGCAAAAAAAATCCTAGGTGGGGAAAAAGTGATTATTGTGACGGCTTCCTTGCAGCATTTCCAGCCACTAATAACTCGGTGAAAACATTTCCAACTGGATAGTCACAAAGATACCTTTGTTATCGATGAGAAATGTGTATGACGCCAAGGAGTCCTGGTAATAGGTTACATCTTCAAGGATATAAGCGAGATTGACGTCAACACCCACAATCCCCAGCAGAAGGTTTCCGAAGTAGCACGGCTTACTGACAGTCATTATCAATCCTAAAACAAAGGAAAAAGATGTTAATTTTCAAATTGCAAAATAAAAAGTCTACTTGTCCCAGCCAGCAGGTAACCCTCCTTCGCACGATAAAAGGGCATTAGGTTGTGGTGTCCATCCCTCTATTTAATGCGTTATGGAGATTTAGATTGTTTGTAGCCAACGTCCACCAAGAAAGTGGCTGAAAATTCTCGGTCAGTGCTGGTCCCGCAATTGGTTTCATTAGAAGAATGCAGAATAAAGGGTTTTAGGAATATGTTGTTCAGCATTCTGCAGTAGTTTCATTAAATGGAAAGGCAGGAGAATGTAGCTTCTATGAAAGCTAACAGAAGTTGGGCCGATGTATAGTCACCTGATGACACGGTTTCATATTCCATACATAAACATGCAAAAGCGCACAGCGCCAAATCAGGACTAAAAAGATGACAAAATGTTGTTTGTGGTTTTGACACTTACCATCTCCCATCTCATCTGAAAACGGAAGACTAAACACAGCTTCATCGATCATTCGATTTGGGAGGTTAGTGTAGAACCTTCCCACCGTGGTCTCCAGGTTGCTGAGCTGATTTAATACCATCATGCTGCCTTTGGTGACTTGGAGCCCAGTCCGATCGTACAGCCCATATTTTGCAGCATTTTGTTCTGCCAGGTCTCGGAGAAACGCCAGCTCTTTCAAACCAGTCACACCCTCTTGATAAAAAAAAAAAAAAAAGGTCCAATAGAAAAAGTATGACTTGTAGAACTTTTCAAAACATATTTGACATGGCCACAAACTACGTACATGGGATAAGCCACCGTTTCCTCAACCGTAATGTAATATAGAACAAAGCTAACTACACAGCATTAGTCTCTCCCAAGTCAGAATTATCTATAGTAGCTAGGCAGTACTGTTACAGTAACCAACTTACTGTGGGCAGATCTGACAGATCTCGGCATCATCAATCAGTTTGTCCCAAATTAGCAAATGCAATTACTATTATCAAATCATGACTCAGCGTCAACATCTAGGTAGAGCCAAGTTAGAAAATACATTTTACAAATAATTCCTATATATTTTTGAATAACCACTCAGGATCCCCAGAGCTACCCATGTACAGCCAGAGCACGCACACTGCACTGATCTTCCCAGGATTCCATGACATAATGCAAGTGTCAAAATGAAACTCTTAACAAGAGCTAACAAGCACAAGATATGACCCAAAAAAGAAAATCTTAATAAACAGTTATATTTAAATTCATATGTTTGAAGGAGTGTTTTGTCTGCTGTGAGAATTCAATTCAGTCTGTAAACAGGGGCAAGGTGAGGCAACATAACATGAGCTCAAATATGAAATAGACATGGTGCTTAGTTACCAAGACAAACACCGATTGCTCTTACCGTTCATGATGGCGTATGTGAGAATCATCACGGAATTGTTAAGCAACACGTTTTCTTCATGTATTACACGCAAGGTCGATTTTTTATCATTTTCGGCAGAATCTCTCGATGTTATTCCAGCTGACAAATAGATAATGACTATGTCTGTATCTAAAAAACAAACAAACAATATACTTAACGTCCTGTATAAATAGGACAAAGAGAATCTTAGCTTGCCAAAACTCATTGAAGTGGTCTGGGTGCAGTGTCCCAGGTTCCCTAACACTGAGCAGGTAATTATTGCAGTTAAGAAACTGCAATAATTCCCTTTAAGTGTTAACTCCATATCTAGTGACTATCTACCAGAGGAACTTCTGGTCTGTTAGGTGACTTTTGGTTGACTGATGCTGGACGTCCTCAAGCTACGCATGGGGACGTCCAGCGTCACCTAAAACCCAATAGGAAAGCATTGAATAAAGCTTTCCTATGGGGAAAATGCTAATGCGAGTGTGGCCATTGCAGCACATGCGCATAAGGTCTCTCCCGCCGGCTGACGTCGGTGGGGGAGAAGAGAAGGAAGACCTGAGCTAGAGTCGAGGGACATTGGCGCTGGACCCATCTAAGTAACAGAAGGTGTTTTTAACCCTTTCTGCACCGGAGTTTGTTTTCCTGGCACAATAGTTTCCCTTTAAATATCTCCTTACAACAGAATAAAATATTCACTGCCCTCCCAGCTAGGTGTGTTATGCCATCAGTTTTCCTTTCCATTTTGGTGGGCAACATTTTAAGAAATTTACATTAGTTGATGTGTGCTGGGGGGCAAATAACATGTCTGAACATGGACTCCTACAAAATGGGACCATCAAAAATCCCTCCAAAGCTTGGTGATTTGCACCAAATGCAGACATTGCATTCTTTAAAACTTATTTATTTATAATGCATTAAAAACCAGGCCACCTCTAGCCTCTGTTGTTCCAAGTGAGGTTATAGTACGCAGAATCTGGAATTGTAGAAGTTTCCTTTATAAATAATGTTTCAATAAAGAAATCAACTATTACACAAGCTTTTCATATTCCATTAAAAAAAAAAAAAAAAAAACATTCTAAAAATAATTTTACACTTCATACTTTAGCATCTGAACCAACAAGTCAGAGCATGAAGGATCAAATTCAATTTGTGGTTACCCAATACTACAACTCTCTTAAAAAACACGGTCAAGGTGCCTTCCTGCCAAAAATCTATAGATTTTACATGTCTGAAGCAAGAATGGTTTAACCCCTTAAGGACACATGACGTGTGACATGTCATGATTCCCTTTTATTCCAGAAGTTTGGTCCTTAAGGGGTAAAAAAAAAAAAGTCTACATTTTCCAGTTACATATATACTTTGTCAACACGCCCAGAATGCAGGCTGTGGATGCAGGATATTGAGAGAGAGAGAGAGAGAGAGAGAGAGAGAGAGAAACAGCACAGAACAACGGAGTCTTCTTGTCTGCTTTGGAACATCTTCTGCACTTTGGGGCAAAAGACATTCCAATGGTTTCTGTAGCAACTGCTCAAATTGTAGAACTCTGTATCACTTTGCACACTCTATACATAATCTTAAGGATACGGGCGGTGTTACAATAACAAAGTTATCTCAACATGAAAAATGCCTCTTGCTTGGAGCTGCCGCTGTGGCTCTATGCTTTCAAATGTCATGCGCAAAAGGTTTCATTTCCACCACATATAATACGCTTTCTTCTATTTTATATTTAAAGGAAATAACCTACATTTCTGCTTGGGAAATGGGTCTTGAGGTACACTGGTTGACTGGATAGTCATATGAGAATGTACCACTTAATCATCCGTATGTGTAACTTCATAGAACAAAGTATTAAACCTTTTATATAAAGGACCACAACTCTGGTTACATTTCTTAAAAAGGGCAGATTCATTACAGATGCCTATTGGAGCACATATATTCATTAGTGTTGTACCTGTCCCATTGTGGTTTGTATACTAGGATGCTTGCTAAACCTGTTCACATAGGCACGTGGTCTTATTTGTTATCGAAACCCTCTGATTTTCTGTCAAGTGCAAGTTAACATATTTACTCAACTCTAATGCACCCCTTTTTTGGTAAAATAAAGTCTCCAAACTATGAATGCACATTAGATTCTATGGCGCATCAGACTCGAGTAGGGAACGGTGCATTAAATATGATGGACATTCGACACATTCTTTGGGGGCGAAATTTGCATCGCTGCGACAGGAATACAAAACTTGATTTCTGTGTTCAGTAAAGCTGTACCTGGCATCTTTATTCTGGTATGAACTTTGCCCCGGTGAATGTCGCACGGGCAAATTAATACTCTAATCTAATGCGTCACTGAATCTATGTTGTAAAGTAGTATTTTCTTGTACAAACGTGCATTACATTCGCCCGCAAAAACATTTTTAGACTTCCAGATTTCAAAAATGGAATGTGCATTAGATGCGATGGCGCATTAGATTTGAATAAATAAGGAATTTTACAAAAATGGCCCTTGGATGAGCCTTGGTGGAATCCAAACTTTCCCACCCTATGCAGGTCAACTCAGAACAGAATAAGACTATAGACAAACTCACTTTTATCCTTCATGACACCTTGCCCATGTTTTATAAGGTGTGGGCAAATGGTTCAAGAATGGGGGAGTTTACAACACACCCACAGACAACTATTCCTGTCACCAATTATTTCTAAAATAAAAATAATAAAATTCTTACTTGCATGGACCTTTGTACTATTGTTTGTATTTCGGATGAGCTGAAATGCTTTTTGAAAACCAAGGGCGTGTTGCGTTGGGCTGTCTGATGACTTGATGCCAGTAACAAAGCTAGACATTTTTCGTTTGGTCTCACTGGTGGCAGGGGACAAAAAAGATTTGTAACACTGGTCGAGGGAGCAGGTCCTTACGACATCCGCCACAGTCAGTACAGAGATCTAAGGAAACGAACAAAACACACCAGTCAGTTTGAATGCCAATTCATTTCAATACAAATAGATTTTTTATTGAAGTGTCTTTAACAAGTGGGGAAAATGTTTGAATCCTGTAGTATCAACATATCCACTTGCTAAGATGCTTTAATTATTATTATTGCCATTTATATAGCGCCAACAGATTCCGTAGCGCTTTACTATATTATAAGAGGGGAGGATTTAACTATAAATAGGACAATTACAAGAAAACGTACAGGAACGATAGGTTGAAGAGGACCCTGCTCAAACAAGCTTACATTCTATAGGAATGAAGTGCAGACAAACAAGTTAAGGTTTAGACAATACCAGGGAGATTATTACTTTGTAATTTTATCAGATATGTTGTATGGAAACACAGGTGGGTAGACAGGAAATGGGTGGCACCAGCACCAAAAATTATGATGCCAACACGAAAAATATGGGAAACAAAAACGAATAAATAATGTAAATCATAGGGACAAAACAACCCATGCCTCCCGAAAATGAAGATTGATGGAATGGAAGTGGGTTAAAAGTAGGCAAATCTACATTACTCTATCTGCCTGGAGAATTGGTTAGTGACCCAGAGACTCCTGAATCATATACAATAACCAAGCACATCAGGAGCGTTCCCAGCTGTCCCTATCTATGTCACTACTAATCCTAAAGCGAACACAGACATAATTTGGTTTCGCTTCAAGCTGAAACAGACCAGGATTTTTTTTCTCTGTGGATTTAAATGTAATTAAGCAATGAAGTTTAATAAAGGTTGTTAGAGCATCTATGTATCACAGTGCGGCTGAGTGGTTTAGTGTTGCCAAATAAAGTTTGGTTTTGTTTAAACCTTTGCAAACTAACAATGGGAACAGGATCTGCTTCCTCCCTGGTAATAAATTCCAGCTTAATCTCATTTTTATGACTTTCCTTTTTCTAATGATTTGGGAAAGCATTACATCAATGCATCCAAGTTTAATTAGTTGCAACAGATTCTGTGAAAAGGGGAATTGTCACAGCTCAGGATTTTACAATATTATGCTTACTTATCCCATAAATTTTACTAATGTGTTTGTAGAACCAAAAACAAAGGCTATATATCCACACCACACTATCCTGGAATGGAGTGTATCGAACTTGTTTACCTGTCAATCAGCACAGGGAGAGCATGGGAGAACACAGAGGGGGTGTAGGGGGGGACTGTTTTGTTTCTCCTCCACCAATTTAAATGTCTGCCTTGCCTGTGCCAGGACTGAACTGGATTAATTGATAGATCTTTAATATAATTTAAATGAGAATGAAGCACCGCGTGAAAACAGGTGACACAAGTTATAATGTAAAGTCTAGACAAATGACAAGTCCCCCTTTAATCTGTTTAAATCTATAAAAACAATTTGAGAGCACGGTTACCTTATCATGTTCGTCGATTGCGTTTAAAATAACCTGCGACGCGTCCCGTGCAATCTGCAGCTGCGTCTCAGTGATGGAAGCGCCGTGGTCCATGATAACAACAATATGCTTTGATTGTGGTCTGACAGTAGACACATACACTGGTCTGGGGAGGGAGAGGGGGGGAATGTAAACAAAATCAGCATTGCGTTGACACTACTGCAATTTTTTTTTTTAAAGTATCAAACAAGCAATAGATCTCTACGACAAAATATACTTCACAGATATAAATCAGTAGATCAACAAAATGGGGGTGGGGAGGAGGGAGTTAATTAAAAAAAATATATAGATTTTTAAAATTTGTTTAAAAGAAAACTAAAGCGGTCAAGTATATGTAGTAATTTTCTATATGATCAAATCTTTTAAGTTTTTGTTTGTTTTTTGTGGAGAAAAAAGTAAAAAATAATAATTAAAGTCTGCCTCCTTAGCCACTTCCCTTGTTCTGGAAAAATACTTCCTTATTAGTGTACGTACAGAGCTCAGTTGCGGACAGCACTGTGTGAGCTGAACTGTTGGAGGTCAAGCAGCCTGTGTGGATACTTTACACTTATGTCGGTTTCTCTGTCTGAAGCTGCATATTACAAGCCTAGCTTGTAGTATAGCCAATCAGTCTGCATTAAAAGAAGACACACAAATGCACTATAGACACGTGAAAATCAGTGGTTGCATTTATCTGATGTCCCGATTACCATCGTAAGAGGCCCCAACTTGAAGACTACAACAGGTGATACCACCCCATATTGATCCAGCCACTTAAGTATAAATTTATTACCGGACAAATCCAAGTGCAGATATCTACTTGATACAATGTCCACTAGAGGACTATATCAACACTGAGAATCTCATTTGACGACTATATTCCATCTAATTTATCGCATAGTTGCGATCTAGGAGGTATCTATTAAGGCAGAGTGACCTATGTAACGTCGTTGTCCAATAGTAATGTTATTGATTTATTAATGTTTTGTGTTACTTAACTGATGTTTGTTATAACCCAGTTTAATAATTTAACAGTATGATGTATTGTTTACATAGAATTTTATCATGTTTTTATTTTGTGGTCACATTGACCTTTAGGGAATATACCCAGAGGAGGTGACTTATTTTATAAACATAACACCTATCTCTTTTAATCAATCCTTTATTGATAATATATTACATTCACTTTTTGATTAGAATTTTCTGTCTTCACTGCTTGTGGTACTCTCGTCCTATGTGATAGAACTTCATTTAAATAAAGGTGTTCCTTTGGACGTTGTTCTGTTATCAGTGCCGCGGTGAGTTGATTATTCTTGTATTTTTATGATATAATATTGATTCTGCACTTTAACATTTAATAAATACAAGTATGTTAGCCATTATTCAGCTATTACTTAGCACAGTTCTTTTCTTAATTTGTTTACTTGTAGTGCTTTGGAACCTTGCATTCAGACGCAGCAGCTTCTTTGAATTTGCCCGGTTTACATTTTAGGTTAGTGTGATCTGATCATACATAGGATATCCCCCACACATTTTTAACTCCGAGTGGCAGGTTGGGATGAAATCCTGGGGTAACTGCTTTTTGTCCCGCTCACTAAGGACGGAGTTCTAAGCACCGCTAACCCTGGCATTGTTTGGAAGTAATTCTACGGAATCAGAGGGATGGCTAAAGTGGCAGTCTTATGTTGCAGCATTCTGCTTCTCCACCCCCTACCCCCCTACACACAAAAACTAATAACATTTAATGCAAAAAAATTTTTTTTTAAATAAAAACAACGTATTTATGTGGTCAATGCATTAAAATTGCCCTTAATGTCCCTTTAAGTTAAACTATAACAAATACTCAGACTAGCATTGTGGATAACAAAGCACTTTCAAGAATAAACTTGATAAAAAAAATAAATTAAAAAAAATCAAAACAGATTTTACAAATAAAGTGAACAGAGTAGTAATCTAACACCGTTACAAACTGCACCAGTTCTAATAAATCTTGTTCATTCTTTCACATCCACGTAAAAGCAGTTAAAACACTTCACACTTAATTCATTTTGGCAGCAGAAATTTGGAAATCTTTCACAAAAAAAAAAAAAGAAAGAAAGAAAGAGACAAAACTAATCCCAGACAGATTGTTCAGAGAAGACACGGAATGACTGAAATGAACAGGATATGTGCTCTGTTTATGCCCAAAGCACTGTATGTGAGGCTTTGAAGGGTTGCCTAGTACTGAATCTCTCTTGCAACAAACATACCAATTTATTTTACCAAGCTAAGGAGCTTATTCACTAAACAGCAAGTGGCACACAAAATAAAAGGGGGGAAAACCCCTCACATTTCAGTTAAATTGGAGATGGACAAAAGGGTGTTTCTCACTTGTTTCATACTAACTCTAAGTCACTGGTAAATGGCCAAACAAAACAATAAAACATGAACTGTAAACATAACTACTTAAAGTGTGAATGTAGCACTTTCTAGCAGAATTTTTAATTGTTTGAATTCTGAGAAAGTATTTGGTGCTGGTCTTACAAATGAACATACATCTTTCTATCTAGAGCAGTTATTAACTAAACTGAAGTCACACCTGACTTGGAGAAGGTTTCCAATTCAGCCGATGTTTAAAACCTGAAAATCACACTAACAAATAATCCTGCCAAATTCTGAAATGATGCCGACGTATCATCCAGGTTTTTCCATTACGAAGTTGAACATGCAACCAAATATGAATTCTGAACACTTATTGGAATGACAGTCACTTCAATGACCTCCTGCATAGCTTACAGCATTAAAAGTAATACTTCGAGTAAAAAGCCGAAAACCTGGAACTTTGTTAGACAACTCTTTCAAACACCGTTTCCAAAGACGGCAGAAAAAGGAATTCTTCCGTTGTAGAAAACCTGGAAATTTCATAGCGTGGAGGATTTGGCAGATGAAAATAAAACAGCCACCAAGCTCTACCAGGCAAATGATCTATGTCCTGACTATCCCAGTGTAAACAACTCAGTATTCAGGCAGAAATAAGGCTCCAGGCTCTCCTGGGGGGTGGACTCTGTCCTGATGATAAACGGTGCAGACATTACGATGTATTTGCTCGGGTATTGATAACAGGTACAATGCATTCTATAACCGATTAATCTCATAGTGCCAGCTGCGTAAACACCCAGTGACAATGACACATGGGGCATGGGAAGTCTCAGCATTGGCCATAACGTCATTTTCACACTTTATTCCTACAGGAAGTACAAGAAGACAACTATAATATTATCTATAGTGCACGAGTGTGACTATATGGCAGCGAGGGCTGAAATTCTGAACGATTTAAGAATTTTTGTGAATGACAATTACAGGACACTAAGCAAGGAGCTGAAAATGGAGAACTTTCCTCCCCCCTCGGCCCCAAATACGTGGCACTTTATGGTCATTATTTAACAGGTAATAGACTAGATACAAACAGGGACACTAAGTTTCACTTTTACTTGTGTAAAAGTATTTTTAAATTAATGGCATATGACATCCTTAAAAAAGTGGCCAACACACAGAATATGTAAATAGCAATCTACTTCAATTAAGGTTACAAATTTACTTCTACATGACAAATGTATAGATCCATAGATAAACTACATTTAGTCTATTTTACTGCCTGGCAGGTCACTCCCAAAAGCACAGCATTAGATCAGTGAGACTGTAATCCAGTTCACAACGCCGCAAGAATTCCTGCATGCCGATGGCGTACAAATGAAAACCAAATACTTCACAGAAAATTTATTTGATCTGTACATTTTGCAGCATTTGCCCTGTTTACACTCTATAGAACCTGCAGTGTATGGACAACACAATTTGCTCAGGAAAAGTGCACATATCACATTTTAAAGGATCACTATAGTGTCAAGAAAACAAAATTCAACATATAAACACGTAGCAGTCTGATGCCACTACTGTAATATTGTTACGAACATAAAAATACGAATAAATCATTATAAATGAATGTTTTTGGGTTGTGAAATCATGAGGGATAACGAAGGTCTTCATTTATCATACCTGCTCCGATGCTCATAGCTACTTTTGCAGCGAAACTTGTGTGCTGGAAAGACCGTAAAAATTCCTTCTTCAGAGCTGAAGTACTGCCATTTAATTCCAGGGTTGGATTTCAGATTGTCAGCGAGAACTGCAGGGGGTGGGGGAGAAAAAATGCACATTTGGAATGACTGAATTTATAATATCCTTGGCATATCGGCATACAATAAGCAAATGAATGGAATGGAAGTGAGAGAAAACTCCCTGGCCAAGTTTCTGTTAAATCCAACTTGTACAATGCTTTGAGCAAAACCTCCATTTCTTTGAAGAAACATGGCAATGTATTTAGAATTCTTCTAAAGGAAATCTAGAAATTGCAACATCGAAAGAAACAAGGGAAAAAAAATGTGTTTAGAAAAGGCCAGAAGCGCATTAACTCGGCATCCTTGATTAATTTGCGGAAGAGGTTATACAAGTGAAGCAGGGCAGTGATATAATTTAGACGTGCTCTACAATGGCGGCACTGGCTAACGGACGATGACTGACAAAGTCTTGATGATGACAATGAGTTAATAACTTGAGGTTTAGAAGGTAAGATTTGAGGGGCCACATGATTTAGAACGTGCTAACAAACCAGAACCATAGAGGCATTGTTATATTAATATTATGTTATCATTTATATAGTGCTAACAAATTCTGCAGTGCTTTACATTAACCGTTCATGTCCACTCTATCCTCACTGCCACAGGTTAGCACTAGCCCTGTCCATGAAACACAGTAATTTTGGTGAAGAAAGGACAATTGAGGTTGTTCGTGGAAAAAGCACAGCGGTTTTCTTGCAATAATCTTGCTATCAGAAATTGAAGTGCTGATGGCTCCTGTGAACCGCACAAGCCACTGCAGCCTCCTTGCAGAACATTACAGTGTACAACCAGCTAAAAAATGAAAGCTGGATTTGTAGGTAAACATATGTCATTAGATTTCAGTTTCACTCAAATATGCTGGTCTTCTGAGTGGAAATGTTGTTGAACATGGGCAGGTCTGCCAGACTTAACCATTTCAGATTCTAGAAACACACTAGATAGAAGTATAAAACCGTATAAATCATTAACTATCTTTTTATAGTTCAAAATGTCTAATATTTTCCATTGGTAGGGCCTCACTTCTGTTTTGAACACACGATGGTCCTATGACCAGACTATGAAAAGGTGGATTGAGCAAGTGACCGCTTAGGCACAGTTCACACATTACGTATTTAATTTTGCCGGTGGCTACATAGTTACAAAGGCAGAAAAGAGACCTGCGACCATCAAACGTCGCCTTTCTCAGATCTGTTTTTGCTGTTGATTCAAGTCTAATGAAGCCTAGGCCAAGCATTGCACAATTTTGCCTCTAGTTTGATAACGAGTCAGTTAATAAAGCTATAGACTAATTATGATCTGTATGGAATGAATGTTAAGTGTCATCGTCCCTTCCTCATACATGGGTTCTCTAGATGAATCGGGTGCATACAATCCTCAAAATCCTAACACTGGAGTTCAGGTGCCATGATACCAGCGTAATCCTATGCTAAAGTCAATACTATTGTGATGGGGCTAAAATCAGGAGACTTTGCTCCCCCATGTGACGTCACTGTGTAATACCATTTGCAAATGAATGCAGTAGGGAACATTATAAATTCAGACTCAATCAATTTGAAAACTTCTCTCTATAGATTTTGGAAGCTGCATATGCTTCTGCTGGTCTAGTAACCGACATACTCCCTTATAAAACAATACGCTGATGACTGTGTGCCTTTAAATTGCTCCTTGGTAGTAAAATGTCTTTCATGTGTTACACATTGACCCAGTTTGTAACTAAATAAAGCCAGATTGCATTTTGCTATGATGTTCAGTGCAACCCTCCTACAGTTATTACAGCATGAACGTATTTTATGTATCAGAAATTGAAACTAGTTATGTCTCTCTCTTTCTCCCTGTAAAGCACATTTCACATGAACATTGGCTTTATGGAAATGGTTCAATTTCAACAAAATGAATGCAAATGATATCAGGCTAACAAAATGTGACTCTGCAGGAGAGTTTTAGACACAAAAGTTTAGAAATAAAACTAAGAGTAAATGTTGTACTGATAGCCACAAAATAGTGCTGGAAGAATTTGATAGAAAGAAGAGGGAGTATGGATATAGTTGAGCGAATGCGAAATAAAGCCTCGGGTGACTGTTACCTTAAGGAGTAGTGTACAATTAATTTTAAATTATGGTGAGCTAGTTATGTTTTTTTTTTTAAACATGCACTGTCACAGCCTGGGGACTTTACAGAATTAGCAACGACCCATTGCCAGTGGGGCAGGTTAAGGGGAGTTCTAATTTTCTCAATCTGTCCCTCGCAAGAGTACAGCATTGAGGTCTATGGAGGATCCCGCAACATCCTCCATAGACAGAGCCAATTCCCTGCAGCCATCACTGGTGACAGCTTGTGGAAATGACACTTCTAGAAGATGGTAGTTCGGCCCAGTGTCTCGAAGTGTCAGGCGGAGGAAATATACAAAGACTTTGTCTCCGTATATCTGTTGACTGGCTGGAATTTCAGTGACATTCCAACACAGTCAAAATGAGTATTTCATAAAGTTTTTTTTTTTTTTTAAAGGTCTAGTGCTAAAAATGCGGGCGATGTGGTGGAGAGACAGTCTGGCGCTTATTGCCTGCCCAGATGTATAGACAGGGTCCTTCTGATGTAGTCTCATATCTGTTTCTCAACCCTTAATACTTTATTTGACCTATTAAATATATATAACTAATCCCACCTCTCTTTATTACAGACCCACTCTAAACATCATCAGTCACATTTATTTACACGAATGAAGTGTTTACTCCTAACATGAGTTCACTTTTCACCAGACCCAAAGACAAATTGAAACCATGAGCATTGAATACGGCAGATAGATTATAAACAATCCATAAGTGCCTGGAGTTGAGATTCTTACACATGTAAACACTGGGCCTTTAATGGCTTTTAGCAAATTAACGTAATCCTTGGACTTGTATATATGAAAGTTAATGGGGGGATGGGATCAGACAATTCTAAACATCCAGTCGCTTTCTTCGTCAGATTGCTACTTTTTAATTCAAAGACTATTTGTTGCTCAGAAATGCAAAAATAATTGAAGAAAAATAAATCGTGTAATAGGGACATTTTAAGCTTTGAATATAAATGCATATAAACAAGTAATATATTATTATTAATAATAATTACAAGTACCGTAATGATAAACTTGTTCTTTTTTAGTAGACACGCTGATGATATAGCCTGTCTCATGTTACTTGAGTGCAAATTGTCTGAAGCAATAAATCACTTGCCCATGGTCTTTAAAACACAGCATAAATAATAACAATATGGGTTTCAAAATCCCTGTAAAATGCACGTTTAACTCATTCTGCTGGACCAAGTAATAAATGTTTTACTATTCTTAATCACACAAAACCTATGGCAGGACAGCTACAGCCACATAGGAGTTTAGGTTGGAAATGAAATTGATGCATTTTCTACTGTTAATGCTAAAAAAGGCAAAGAAAAAGAAGGATTCTGCAAACGTAAGAGTAAAAGATTTATGAATGCATGTAAAATACTTATTTGTTACGGCACGTTTTTAAGTGTCATATTTTGACAAAATTAAGATTAAAAGTGTGGTTTGACTGGAGGCGTCAAAGTATCCCCAGAGCGTGTGAAATTAACAAGGTTTGGTGAAATATTTACACACACAGGGTTTCACCCCATTATTGACAGACAGAAGGGTCACAGTTTGATTTACACACCTTGCTGCAAGTTAAAGAGGTTTAAAGAGGGTTAGAAGATAAAATTTAAACTGTATTTATTTTTTAAAAAACTTGAAAACACGTCTACCAGCTATGTTAATAAAATTTAATGGTGGGATATAAAATGTATGGATGTTCACACAAAACATGCACAATGCGTGATACTGACCCGAATTTAAATCCCTCCCAGGGTTGAAAGCTCGGCTGTTGACTGTTGTGGAGAGCCGGTCGCAGCTAATGGTTTTCGAGATATTGGTATTGAAATTACCATCAAAACTGAAATTAAAAAATAAATATATAAACAAATTAGTTTCTTACTTTCAGTGGCAGCAAGACACATACAGCATGGTTTTGGTGTAGATCACTGTTGCAAACATTTTCACCTTCAAAGTCAGAAAACTGAAATACACAGGTTTTAGCAATTTATACTTCACTGAAGCGCAGTTGTTTTAACGATATACCAAGGTGCTACACAGGGGAGGACATAAGGCCACACTTATATAAGAAAGTTGCCTCCTTTTCTTTCTTATATAATTTGTGGACGGACGGACGGACGCACAAAAAACTACTACTGACCAGCCCATTGTGTACAATGGTAAAGGCCTTAAATGTTAGGGATTCAACCCACATCATTGACTGGACAAAGAGGGGGACAAAGAGGGAACTAGCAAGTATATTGAAACAGTGAGATAATAGAGGGTCAAGTAACAATTGGGATGGGACTGACAAAAAGAATAATAAAGACAGTATAAGGAAGGAGGAAAAGGAATAAACATGTTTACTGGTAAATAAAAGAAAAGGTTTAGAGGGTGAAATAAAAGAGTAATGATAAACTGACTAAGTGGAGACCCTAATAATGGGGGTGGCGGGAGTAGGGGCAGACAGATACCCTACAATGTGAAAAATATGAACAAGTATAAGAAAATCTCATAGGCACATTATAAATGATAATAAAATAACTGATTTAAACATTTTTTCAGCTGTCCAATTTGGAAGATTATGCTGTCTATTAATTTCCTTGGATCCCATTTCTCTATTACCCAAGAAAACCAAAGCACAATGGCTAAAACTGTACGCTGTACATTAACGCACAAGTACTTTAAGATGTGCAGCAATGAACACATTGTATAAAGTTGGCTTCCATGATGAAGTATTGCCCCATAGAATTCTATTCTATTGTCTTTAATTGTTGGGTGATATGCCTAAGGCTCTAATTAACAGGCACAGCCTGACATAACCTAATATCTCAATCTCCTATTTCTGCCGTTTGCACCTGGCATTCAGCATAGAGAGAGAGAGGTGAAGAGATATATCTGAAATATTTATCTCCTCCAATGCAATATGCACCATGTCTGTGCGAGGAATGGATTAGAATGCCCATTGCTACATCTTTAAATATTTTTTTTAAAATAGAGCTTCTGAGGAAGACTGTTTAAGGGATACTAGCACAAAAACCAAAAACTAAACTTTAGCTTAAAGTGGCACTAATCTGGATGTGTGGTGTTTCTGCTTGAAATTCTGCACATTCAGAGATATTTGCACTTTTGTGCTGAGTGGCTAATTACATCCCCAGCATGTGACTTCAGAGGTCTGTTCCCAACATCGATTCTGTGCAAAAAGTACATTATCAAAGCACACTGCGTGATGGCGACAGACGTTCTCAGCTTCGCTCTATGCAGGCCTTGCTGGGTGTGCATCCTGAATCTCCCCCTCCCTCTATGCACTCCTCACCTCCCTCCTGTGACAGATTTTTTTTAATTTTATTTTCACTTGCTATCTATCCCCTCTTTATGAGAAGTATTTGATTGGATTTCGTGAAGGGGCAATGACATCAGATTGGGCGTGGAAATAAGTCTAATTCTCGATTAGAATTCAAACCACTTTGTTTAGGTAGCTCAAACCATACTTAATTTTCAGAGCAGTGTGTTTATAAGTTTAGAAGATCTTTTGCTCAGTTAATGGAACTTTAATCACACACACAGGAGGTGGATGCAGGTTCTAACAGGCAATTCACATAGCAGGAAGTAAGTTGTAAATTAGAAAGACTGTGCAAAAATTAGATTTTTTTTTTAGGAAGTGTGTAAGGAGACTGGGTAAAGCAGTCAGGTGGAGATGTGTCTTGGGCTGCATAAACCAAGATTTATTATCTGAATGGCAGAGAATTGAGCAGTTTGACTGTAGAGGCACGATCTATTCGCCAAAACAGCTTCATTACGCTAAAAGTTCTTTTGGCGATTTAGAGAATCCCTTTAACAAAAATTACATGAGCTTTGCAATATTTTATGCAATAGTATCACTTCAATAGAAGTGTCCATTCCCTAATAGGAAAGCAGCCACTGCAAACAGTCTGCCCAGCTGTCTGTCACTCAGCAGGTTAAACACAATCGGAATCTGCTCTGCAATATACCAGCACATTCTAGGAATGTAATGTAAAAAAAAAATACACAATTATTACACGCATCTGTCCCAGCATGATACCAAGCCACAGAGTGCTTTTTTTTTTTTTACAGAATACAAAAAAAAAAAATCTAAAAATAAACAAGGCAAAAAACACAGACGTGTGTGCATGCACGCACACACACCTTCAAAAGACAAGAAAAAGCAACACGAGAATTCCCCAAATAGTTTAAAAAAAAATAATGGTTCTCCAGCGAAAAGGCTCTATTCTATTCTTGCTGCAGAAGATCTCGCAAAGAAAGACGCAGAGAACGCCACTCAAATCTATCCTTAAAAAAAAAAAAATCCTCTGCATTGTCGATAGCAGTGAAAAGAAATAATAAAATAAAAACACATTTGACCGTAATTGGTGTCTTCACTGACTTACAGGACATCAAACAGCCGCCTGAAATTCATTTGGGGGAGGAGGGATAGATGGGGGAGGGGGAGTTTGCAAAAAGAAGCATATATGAGGAGAAGGGGCATTTAAGAAAAAATTAAAAAAAAGAAAAGTGCTTCTGGATTGACTTTAATGAAGAACTGATCGAATACTGCATCCCAAGGGAAAAAACATTGCTTGCGACTCCCACTTTGATCTTTTCCCCACAGAGATATCCTATGCTGGCGTTACTTGCGAGATGTAGGCTTGACTGACGTCTGCTCTGATGTGCAGGCAGCTTTGAACTTCAGTCATATGAATTCCCATCAGGCTGCATTCATTTCTTTTCTCCTTCAACAGGATTTACAAGCAGGAGATCACCAGTGTAGAACATAAAATAAATTCACAGGAGCTTTGAATCCTGCATAAAATAGGCACACTCTGTAGTTGGGGAAGGTTTTGATTGTGGGTTTTTTTCTATTTTTTTATTTTTATTTTGCTCAAATTTTTATTTTTAGACAAATAAGACATGCAAACAAGATTTTAAAAAGATAATTTCAGAATTTCAGAAGCAAGTTGCGAAACATACTATACTAGGAAGTGTGAAAAAAAAAAGAGTAATTTTTTTTCTTCTACTGGTAAAATATCAACAATATGGCGATACTACTGCCAAAAGGGTGAGCGATGTTCTGATGCCATCACCCAGTGTAGAATCTAGCAAAGGTTGGCCATATTTGGAGAATGCACAGTGCACCTTTTATAAGAATTTTAAAAAGAAAGGGACACAGAGCAGCATTACCATTAAAGCTCATTGCAGTGGTTATGGTGCTATGAGACTTTGGGAGAAGTGCCTTGTTTTTCTTTCAAACTGTTTTCTACATTATCCATGTGGTTTCAGAGGGGTAAGGATATGAGTTTCTCATGAAAGCAAGAGATGGACAGAACACCAGGAGATGGACCGCACAGACAAATAGCAGCATTACTACTACAAAACAATGTAGTGGTTATGGTACTTAAAATGCCCATATAAAAAGGCAGAAAGGTTAGTATATTATGAATAAAGCATAAACTCAGTGGTCAATTTAACATGTACATTAATGTAAATATCACGTGGAAGCAGCTCAAAGCACAAAATCATGCAGGCATGGTCAAGAGGCTCAGTTGCTAAAACCAAAACATCGTAATGGAGAAGAAAAGTGATCTTGGAGACTATCCGAGGAGTGATTGTTGGTGCCAGATGCGGTGGTTTGAGTATCTCAAATGACTGATCTAAAATTTGCACACACAACAGTCTCTAGGGGTTTATAGAGGATGGTGTGAAAACAAAACACATCCAGTGAGCACCAATGATAACGCCCTGTTATTGGAAGAGGTCACTGAAATACCCACGCATTACAACATTGCTATGCAGAGGAGCATCTCTGAATATCAACATTCCGAAGCTAGAAGTGGACAGGCTCTAGAAACAGAAAAATCGACCAGGTTCCCCTCGTATTGGCCAAGAACAGGAAACAGCAGCTGCAGCGGGCACCAAAAATGGAAAGTAGCGGACTGGTGAAAACAAATAACTAGTGTAAGAAATCTCGATTTCTGCTGCAAAGTGCAGGTTAGGCTCAGATTTTGGTGAAAACCTAACTCAATTGATCCACCAGCACAGCGTCAAGAGTTCCAGATAGTAGTGTAATCGTGTGGGAAACATTCTCTTGACACATATTAAACCCATAAAATGAGCATTGTTTAATCTTGCTGACCATGCACATCCCTTCACAGTCACAGTCTACCGATCCTATAATGACTTCTTCTAGCAGGATAACAATACATGACACAAAGCAAGTGTCATCTCAAGATGGCTTCACAAACAAGGCAATGACTTCAGGATACACTGATGGCCTCCACCACACTCACCAGAGCAAAAAAAGTAGCTTTACGATATGCGAGTGAGCGGCTGCCAGATGTGCATGATGTCGCCACGCACCAGAATTGTCATGAGGCAAAATGTATTTGGGCTGTCATAGGTTAAATCTTATATGTGACCTCAGGAAAATACCTTGAAATGGAAAATCTCAAAGACATCCTATTTCACTATGTGAATGAAACAATGTCTTAAAGGAATTTACAATTCCATTATACTAGAACCAGACAGAAGCATTGCTACCCTTGTATACAGGGACCATAACTACCAAAAGCGAGAGTTCAGATGAAAAACAATGAAGGTCCAAAGATTGAAATGTTGGTCAAGTGATTTGGAAAGCATTTTTATTTTATTTGAGCATTAGATATGAAAGATACCATGTTTAGTCTCAAATAAAATGTCCAGATCCCAAGAAGTGTTTAGTCCTGGTTATGCATTGCATCACACAAAACATCTCAAAAATACATTGTATGTAGTTTTCAGCCGGGTGTATTGTCTCATATAAAGGAGATTTGTACATCACATGCCCCTCCATAGGAGGACAGGCCTAGGAACCTGAGATTAACTAAATGTCATGCCAAAGCATGAGTTTTTATTTATTTATTTATAAAATATTTTACCAGGAAAGATACATTGAGATTTCTCTCGTTTTCAAGTATGTCCTGGGTCCACAAATCATTGCATTGTTACATTAGTTGGCATTTGATATATGTTATGAGTTGTTTTAGTACATGTTGGGATAACCTTTATTGTAGGCTTTGATCTTACACCAGGCCTAAGCCATAAAACTACTAGATAACCATCACTAGAGCTGGACATAGGGTGTCATAAAAGGTATTGGTGCATATGCTCTGACTTTGGGTTATTCAAGGGACAACATGATATAAGAAAATATGGAGTGGGCAAAAACTGCCAGGCCAAAAAACCCTTCTGATACACCCAGGGGTCTGCCCACTTACAAACAACTAGTTTGAGATATATAATGAGGATGTTGGACTATCCAGAGGGAGATTTCTTTTTCAACAACTACTTGGAGACCTGTAACATCAGAATCTCCCACAAGAATTATATATAAGGGGTAAATATATGAATATATGTAAGGATCGCTTGTGTTCTCTCCCAATTTATTTTATGGACTGTTTTGCAATGTTATCTGTGTTTCTGTATGTCATTTATTTCTGTCATTTTTGTACCCAGCACTGTGAATCCTTTTTGTCAGAGTAAATATTTATTTAGTCAGCTTGTGTCTTTGTTCTCTATGAGCTCACTCTCCTGAGGAAAATTCGTTACTAAAAGAGTTAATTACTGATAAGTCTGATCAGTAAAGTAAGGTTGTGTTACTATAATTCGACTGTGTGTGGGGTAACCTAAGACGCCCGGCATAAAATCTTGGTGGTGGCAGTAAAGTGTGTACTACGTTGTTAGTGTAGATGGGATTGCAGGGACTAGCAACAGGTAACCAGGGGTCGGGTGTCATTAACCCTTGCACTACCACACTCTCCTTGCACTCCTCAACACTCTCCTAAACAGAGGCGGGGCTAAAGCACCCAGAAGACATGCTAGGTGACTGCTGCACAGGAAGGGGGAAGCAGGAAGGAGTCCCTGCTTCCCCCAACATCCAGACTCCAGGAGCTGCACTCCCTCCACTCCTCCCTTGCAAGTTCCAGCCCATAATGGACAGAGGTAACTGCGTGCGTGTGACTGGCTGCGTGCGTGCGAGTGGCTGTCTGCTGTGTGTGCGCGCGCGCGGCTGTCCGCCTGTGTGTGGGTGGGTGCGCGAGCGACTGTCCGCCTGTGTGTGGGTGGGTGCGCGAGCGACTGTCCGCCTGTGTGTGGGTGGGCGCGCGAGCGACTGTCCGCCTGTGTGTGGGTGGGCGCGCGAGCGACTGTCCGCCTGTGTGTGGGTGGGCGCGCGAGCGGCTGTCCGCCTGTGTGTGGGTGCGCGAGCGGCTGTCCGCCTGTGTGTGGGTAACTGCCACACACAAAGGCAGACAGTCTACCTGTGTGTCACTGTATGTCTGTGTGTGATTTTTCACACTGGGCTTAAGCTAGCCCTGGCTGTATTGATCCCAAAGTGCCCACATGGACACCCCGGTGATTCCTCCCACAATAAAACAAAATTATTTTATTTATTATTATTTTTTTTAATCGAACTGTTCTAGGGCAAAGGGAGTCCTACCTAATATTAGAAAAATGTAACTAAGAGGGAATCTTAATGCCTGGCATGTCGCTGGCTGCATGACAGCCAATGTAGGTCACTGCATTAATCTGCAAACAGCTGGATGTACCTACACATTCAATCACTGCATTTTATGGCAGTTTAGGAATATATGTGGATTTGAAATAAATACAGTGATTTATTTATATTAATTTAGTTTCGATGTAGGCCAATGTCATTTCTGAGATAAGGAAATTCTAGGTCAGATGTATTTATGTTGTGTTTGAGTTATTTGCGTTACACACAGTCCGTTTTATCTTTAGAACTTCTCTTATGCTTCCTCACAAAATCACGGGACACGGGCGCCGCTTGATAATACAATTAAACTGAGTGCAGACCCCGAGACCAAAAGAAAAAAAAATGGCATTCTGTACAGCTTCAGCAGATTAGTATGCTTAGACAACATCCCATTACTTCCAGCTGCAGTAAAGTGAAGCAAGATAAATACGGACTCTCAAGGACTGAGCAGATAAGAATTTGTGTGCGGGTCACCATTACAATAAGTATCTGTCATAATCCATTAAGTTCTTTGGAGCAGTGCCCACTCACATCAAGTTACAATATGTCTAAACAAGTCATGTCACCACTTATTTGTAAAGAGCACCAAGGTATCCTGTATAAAAATGTATCAATGACGCAAACAGACAGATAAACATGGCGCTGGTATGTCGATCACGTCATTTAAAAAAAGTATCATGGAGGCTACTTATCGCATTCAGTGAACATGTCTGCCAAGCATGCAAAAACAATGACCAGAATTGGGAACTTTTATAATTCTATAGTACAACAATATATTTTTACCATTATCCCTCTACCCACGCTATCGCCAATATATATTGTAAACTAATCTGAGCAGGTTAACTTAAGCCAGAGCCTCTGATCTCTGTCAATACTATATCGGACTTCCCAAAATGGGAAGTCCGATATTCTCCCCTCCCCTCCTGATTGTTGGGAGGTATGTTGTATGCCAATTACTTGTTTTTAAACATTGGCTCTATGTTAAAGCAAATTTGTCTTTTTCCAGGGTCTTTGATATGCAAAGATACCCAAAAGTTACAGATCCAGTGGCCCCAGGGTGCAGAGGAGAGTAGGTTTTACTAACTTGAAGCTGTCCCTACTTTGTCTTATGAACTGGTTGGAATCTCACGGACATTCCTACACAGTCTGAATACGTTTTTCATAATAAATATACCTTTATTAAATACTAAAAAGTGACAGATCCACTTCAGTGCTAATATTATTAATAGAGGGAGCATGTGACTATATACAATGCCCAGCTTGAACTTACCAGGCAAATAAACACAAAATTTATATATATATTTTTTTACAGGAGCAGGTTACACTTAGCAAAAAATCTTTCCTTAGACTTCAGATATTTATTCTTTTGTCATCCATTTGAGGTTATGCAAGACAGGCAAGATATCTACAGCCACATAACCTTAATTTATATATTTATTTATATAGGCTTGCATAGCATATGGCAAGGGTCCTCAAACTCTGGCCCCCCAGATGTTGCTGAACTACAACTCCCATGATTCTCTTACAATCTATGTAATTCAAAGAATCATGGGAGTTGTAGTTCAGCAACATCTGGGGGGTCGGAGTTTGAGGACCCCTGGCATATGGGCTTGCACCCCTTCAGCACATCAGTCTAAACTGGATATAATTAGGTTCAGGAATATTGGACACACTTTTTTTTTTTTAAAATTGTCGGTCCACTTAGCATCTTCCCTTCATGCACTATTCAGTGGAGGTTCCCAGTTATGTGTGCATACAAATAGGTAGGATCATGAAAACTATTTGCCTACAGGGCTTCACACATAGCTTGTTTAACAACCAAGGTTCGTTGCCTCAATCACATTGCCCACATTTGTGCCACTGTTCTAAATCCTCAAAACTTTGTTTTTAGCGATGCCGCGATCACACATTGGCGTCTAAAATGCCATTTCAACCACATTCACACCAAGAAGGCATTCTGAGGGAGGTAGTACACCCGCAAATGAGTGCACTTCAATTATCCACTGTATGGCATACACACACGTGTTTTATTTTGTAAACTTTTTTCCTGATGAAAGATAGAGATATCTTTAGATCTATCTAAATTTTTTAAAAAAATTATTGCTTTTCACACCCCCTCCTGGGTGGTATATTCCTCAATCTCGGGTCCTCTGCCAGAGGCCTGGGATTCTGTGCTGTATCTTAGTTGTTCCTAGAACTGCACTCTTATGGGGGGAAACCGACAGACAGACAGACACACTTCAATCAACCAAACGCATTATTCAGGCTTGCAGTGGCTAGGTCTGGCTAATAACATGGGATTTAAAATTGTATGCCCTGTGAATGTGTTATTTTACCGCACCAAGCAAGCCTTTTACAAAAAATATAGAACTTTATCCAAGAATAATGTATAAGAATGGCACAGTACACATCAAAAGAGAATAAAAGAACTCTATGGGTGACCTTTTTAAAAATGCTTTCTGGTCGCCATAGGCCTCTGCAATGAGAACAAAGAATGAAAGTGAACTTAGCCCTGCTGCGTTTCACATACTCCCAATATGTGGACGCTAATGGTAAATTGTACAATATTGGTTGCATTTTTGGGCAGCAAGCCAAGTTGTCAGAGTTAATATTTCAAATCTTTATCAGACCCAAAAAATAGCTGCACTCAACTTGATTCATGTACATAAGTTGGGAGAATGGTGAATTTCAGCAACTAATGTGTTTAGAGAGTTGGTCACTTGTTTTACAAAATGATTCAGAAGAAAGCAGTTAATTACACATTGCTAAAAGGTTATCTGCACCTACATGAACCTCCAAGGTTCCTACACTAATCTACTAGACACAAAGTCCACATTCAGGGATTTTATTTATGCATCCGGGGAGATTGTGACTGTTGTCTCATAGTAATACATTCTAAATCTCTCTCTGAGTGCACAAACTATTTCAAACAGAAGAAAGAACTTACTCCATCATGGACGGTGGTATCGTGCAGCAGTCCTGAATGGTGGTCAGTGGAGATGTTAGGTGTGCTGTATAAGAGGCTTCTACCACTTGCTTGTTACGCGTCACCACATCCAAATAACGATTAAACTTTTCCCGAATCTTTTTGGCCAGCTAATGAGGGGAGAAGAAAAAAAAATGCTCATTAACTTATTAAATTTATTAAAAGGAAACAGTCTATATAGCTACGGATATGAGACCTTTAAAATGAGTGTGCAGGGGGAGGAGATGGCTTGAAAAAACAAAGTTGTGAAAGTTCAAAATGTGACAAAATTTTATTTTGGTTTTAGCAATTTTTTGTGTTCGTGGAAGATTTTATTTTCCTCTACAAATTGTCTTTGCATTAACTTTTTTAGAAGGTATTTAATCGCCCTATTTATATAAACAGAAAGAAAAAAAAAAAAGAGAAGAAGAAAAAATATTCTTTAAAAAGTTGAGAATCTGGAAATTTAACAAAATAACCCACTGTCGTCTACAGACATACTAATAAGTAGCTGGTAAAAATAACAGCTGATCCATAAAGAAGTAGCACATACACATAATCTAAAATGTAAAATATCCACAAAATTAACAGCAACAGAATCTTCTCATTCACAGAGTTACAGCGTGCTCTCTTACTCTGGGCCCCTCTGGTGAATTTTGTTGCATTCTAAATAGATTGCACCACCCCCCCCATCTCTTTAGCTAGTAATCCAATCTTTCCAATTAATAACCCCCAGCTGGGATGTTGAGAGCTGGTATTGACAAATGTGATTCTTAAGTATTATTAACAGAGCACTTCAACACGATTTATTTGTAGGCATGAATAATGACTGAACTGAATGTGTTCCACTGGTTGTTTTCATCAAAATCTACAATTCAATGGAGGGTCTCTAAGGGACATAGTTTTTAAGTGAAAAATATTATTCCAATAAAACCCGCTTGAACTATATTATCTCTAATTGGTGTTTGGGAGTGATTTATTAAAGGCAAACAACAGAGCTAAATTCTTTCACTGAAACACGACCATTTGTGCACATTTAGTGATATTTCGCTAAACCAGGATAGACACATTTGAATTAGAATTCAGACATGATGATGACCCAGTGATCCATGTCAACTTGCCTACTGTCTAGCCCACGAGTAGTACTGTGCCAAAACAAGATCTCAAAGCCCCTTGTTAAGCATGTTGTGCAGAAAGTTACCACGTGTTCCCATGGCAATGCTCCGACACAACATTCTGCTCGTGGGAGGAGTGAAGACAGCCTACAGCCAGAGGAGCTGCAGGCTATAGACAACTCACCACCAGCGGACCACCAGGGCACAGCACCCTTATATATACACACACACACACACACACACACACACACAAAGCCCCTCTTACACACACACACACACACACACACACACAGCACCCCTCACAAACTGCAAAATTGCCATCTCAATACCCTGTAATTCTCTCTTTATTTTGTAGACCCTATAATCTGCACTTTGATAAGTAGGCAGAGTAATTATGTAGGATGGCCAGAGCTTTGCGGCAGTGGGTGGGGTACATTTTCAAGGTAGTAATTGATAGCTGTGTTGCAAAGTGTCCCTGGAAATGTTTTATTCAAATGTTGGCAACTAATAGCAAAGAGCGCATTTTCAATATATCAAGTGTCCTGAAACTGCTGGAACAGTCCTCACTTTAGACTAGTGACCCACTTCTTTGGGGGACACAAAACCATCCTCAGAGTATTAACAATTTCAAGATTGCAAAAAGGCTTTATTTGTCCTTGCCCAGTAGGTGGACTAAAAGAATCAGAACAGACAACACTAATTGAAACTATCCATCCTTTTGATGTGTTTTCGTGTCTTGGATTTGTGACTGAGAGGTTTGGGAGGTATATTGGATTTCAAATATACTATGACATGCTTTCCCCCATTTTGTTTCCACCAGAAGCCGACCTTGTGTTGCTGACAGGGAGTTTATTCTCAACAACACAAGTCCTGTGCATAATCACAGATTACTTAAACTTTTAGATGCATTCTGATTATGTGTATCACAGCTATGCACATTAATGTACCACTATAGGCACACAGACCACTTCAGCTCAATGAAGTGGTCTGGATGCCAGGTCCATCTAGGGTTAACCCTGCAGCTGAAAATATATTTACATTAGGGTAATCCAGCCTCTAGTGGCTGTCTCATTGACAGCCACTAGAGGCGCTTCTCGCTGTGAAAAATCACTGGACGTCCACATGAAAGCATTGAGTAATGAATGAATGCGTGCGTGGCTCTTGCTGTGCATGCGCATTCGGTTCTGACGTTGGCAGGGGGAGCCCGGCGCTGGAGAAAGGTAAGTGGCTGAAGGGGTTTTAACCCCTTCAGCCCAGCGGGAGTGGGGCCCTGACAGATGCGGAGGACCTAATGACCCTATAGTGCCAGGAAAACGAGTTTGTTTACTATAGTGCCCCTTTAACTTATTTATACCCAAGACTGGGGTGGCCTTTCCTTAATTCATTCATACAAATCTCATAGTGATCTACAAGCCCTCAAATTGAAAAAATTGTGGGATTTGTACTTCTATAAAAAATGGAGGGGAGGGGGGTATAAATTTTGGCCACTATTAATCTAAACTCTTAACTACTGTAGGAGTAAAAAGGCAGAGCAAGCACACCTTACAACTATTATACGTATGTAAACCTATATGATTGTCATATTTCTTGTGACAGTTTTAAAAACTCTCTCCCTTCTGCCATTTCTGGAACACTGAGCTAGTTCTAAAACAAACTGAACACACAGAGTGAGCAACCAATCCGTACATCATGGATGCGGCAAATATTTCTGCATCTGAGACAGCCAAGTACAGCATGAAATGAATGCAATTTGCCCTATCTTAAAGGAACACTGAATGCCCTATAATAACTACATCTTATTGAAACATACTGAACTAAATTATAAACGCAACACTTTTGTTCAGTGTAGTTACAGTGTCTTAACTATCCCCCCCCTTCTCCAGTACTCAAGCAATATGTATTTAACTCGTTTGAAATCTTGAAAACATGACTTCAAAATATCCCTCTGTTTTGGAGAGAATATTTAACCTATTGTACAGCGCTACGGAATTTGCTGGCGCTATATATATATAATAAAATAATAATAAATACTGCTGACTTACAGAATGTTTTCAGTTGAGATACTTTTACCTTGAATTTCATATTCACTTTGATTTCTCACGTTAGTAGAAATGTCCAGTTAGCGTAGCTATCCCACACATTTAGCATATGGGTCTGAGAGGTCAGAAATGAAATTTAAAAACCCACACCATTCTATTTAGCTTTATCCTGGAACGGAGTGCCTTGATCCAGGCTCCCTGTCAATCATTGTTAAAGCTCTGTCTTTTTCATCATTGAACAAGTATATCGAGAAACAGAAATGTTTCATTATCAAGTCCTCTTCCAATGTAGTATGTGCAATCACTGTGCCTGGACTGTGATGTCCATTGTTAGATCTTTCATATATCATTAAATGAAAATTGCTAACACAATAGTTAATGGTGTAACTCAGAGCGATGTGACTATTGCCATGTAAATAGGTAAATAATAGCTTACCTTTATGCTCGACACCCCTAAATAAGGAGTTTTCGCATTAATAAAAATTGCTCACCAAAAAAATTGTGCACGAATACTCTCTCTTAGTATTTGTGTTGGCTGTGGAATTAATAATTAATTGCCTAAGTATCCAAGGGAGTCACAGTTCACAAGCCGGAGAGGTATTTGTTACCTTGCTCTAGGCCATAGCAGAGCATCGTGGGAACTGTAGTCCAAACATCTACAGTGCCAAAGTTAGTGATCGCTGCTCTAACAATATGATTGGTATGAAATGTCACATTGAGGTATTGAAATAAATGCTACAAAAATGACAAAAAGGAGTCAAATGTTTAGTCTGATTATTTTCATCAAAATTAAGATGGGATGCCCCACTTTAGCAACGATGAGTCTTTATAGAGCTCTTGGGGCTTAATAAGAAGGATACAGTATCTTTAGGGATCACATTGGAAGAGTGAGCTGTTAATAAATACCAAATCAGAATTAATATGAAATCAGATCAGCTGGAGAGCTGGAACGAAGATGGTAGATAGAGCTAAATATGCAAAGATGTTCTCCAGGCGCTTTGTATTCAATAAAAGGAGAATCCAAACAGCTCTTTGAATAGCAATTCCTTTTGTGCTTTGACTGTAGCGGGCGTTTTAGTGAACTTATCTCTTTCCTTTTATCCGCCCTAACTTTCCCTAGACACCGTTTGTTTATCTCCACCTCTCCCCAAAGCTTTACAAAAGTAGTCCTTTAGAAAGGGAAAAATGGCATCTGAAAGTCTGAAGGACCTGTATCTGATCAAGAGCATACACTGCATACAAATATATGGCTTTCTGTGCAGTAGGCAGACGGTCTGCAGATTGGAGGGAGAGATGCAAAGCAATGGCTCAAGGTTTAATTAGGTGTTATTATCGAGTTTATAACCCAGGTCACAGGTACACACACACACAAACACAATATTAACCTCCCCACGCACTGGCAGAAGATGAATACTAGGAATGCCATTAACAGTAATAGGACAAAAAAGGCCTGCAATTAAGATAAGAGCCAAAGATAGAATCCACACATTCTGAGCTGGGCCTGTGTGTCATGTTAACCCTTGCTTTAAAGGTATTCTATAGTGCCAGGATAACAAAGCAGTTTTCCTGGCACAATAGAATCCTACATTGCCCCCCTCCCTCGCAGCCCCCCTCCTTCCCTGGTAGACAGCCACAAGAGTTGGAGTTAACCCTGGATAGTAATTATTGCCGTTTCTCAATAACTGCAATAATCGCAATTGCAGAGTTAAGGGACCTGGGATATTGCTCCCAGACTACTTTGATGGGCTGAAGTTGTCTGGGGTGCCTACAGTGTCCCTTTAATTACTGTAGGTTATGTTAAAAATAAATGCAAATAACAGAAAGTAGGACATGAAAAATATCACATTTACAGGGTTGTTCACTAAAGTGAGAATTTGAAGTGAATTTCTTTTTTAAGGGCAAAACAGCTGCACGTTGTCATCCACCCACTGTAAAGCTCTGTGGAATTTGTTGGCGCTATGTAGATAACATAAAAATTCACTACAATTTAATGTGTATTAGATTAACCCATAGCATATTGAGATCCTCCCCTGATCTATTAACCTCTGTAAACCTGTCAGCTTCCAGGATTTTAAAAAAAAGTTTATTTATTTGTGCTCTATATAATTAACAAACATGTATTTGCGAGTTGCGATAAAAATAAAATTAAATATTGGAATACAAGTAGTGCGTGATTTTAAATACTTTATTCAATAATATTTACTTAAGCGATGGTTCCCATTTGAGCTATGTATAAGTGGTTAGTTATTTACGTGTTAGCACACCTACAGCGTTTTTTTTGTGCATTATCAAGTTTGACCTTCGGTAAATATACATTCTACATACATAGATATTTTAATCTATACAATTACTAGAGATTTTGCCAGCATGGAATATCAATACTTAATCCTAGCTAAATGTGATCCATATGATTTCATACACCCTAACACGAGGACGTATGAATTGTTGGATGCTTGGGCATTAATAAAGAACTGACCATAAAAAATAAAGCTGACCAGCCGAAAAGGTGCAGACCACCCACAAAGGGGGTGTGATATCCCAGGCAACACCCCGCCTCTCCTTACTTGCACTGATGTCAAGGAACAGGTCTTTGATGTATCTGAGAATCGCAATACCTGTGGGTTTTCTAAAGACTTTCAGCAATCTGTTTCCTTTTGACAAATGAAAATTTTAGATTGAGCTAGATTGTGCAGTATTTACAATCAGATACTACTTCTTCTAACACTGGACAAGTAGTGTTGTCATTACTTGAGCTATAAATGTATGTGAAATGTGCAGGAGCTTGGAGTGTCCCTTTAAATTAATATTTATTTTTAGTGACTGCTTGGAGGTAGAATACACAAATCGATGTAACATGAAAGTATAACGCAAGATAAAACTAACGGAGCGGTTCGTGAAAGCTACGTGGAAGTAAAGCTTAATGGAGCTATAACTTCCAGCAAACCGGCAGCAGACATCTTAATGTACAATACTGCGGAATACTTGGCACTTTTCAAATAATCATAATAATAATGCAACATCACTAGCTTTTATGCATGTGGGAAAGTTATAGACTAGAGCTTAAACCACTATAGAATAAAAAAACATAAAAACATTTTTTCCATCACTGTGAATAAAAAAAAGGTCCCCTTAAAAAATATCAGCCCCCTCTCTGAACAACAACAATTCTTTACAAATAAACTAAAAAAAGATAGGATAATTTCATACTACAAACAGTCAATTTATTTTCCAGTCAAGTTGTGAAAGAAAAACAAAAAACAACCCGGCATTATGCTGATGGTCACACTGGCAGGATTTTTTTCCCTTCCTAAACTAATGGCATACAGATAAGCCCAAAGACCAGATCAAACTGTATTGTTAGCCCATCTCAAAGCACTGCAGTCAGGGTCTGTAATAAGTACTGCCAATCAGCTGTTTGCTGTTCACTTGTATTTAAACCCAACATATGGAGCTGAACTCCCAGGGGTGAAGGCCTCATGAACAGCGAGTATTTTGATACCAAAATGGAATTTCCTGATGATTTTGACAAGCTCGCTCATGTAAGTCACAAAACGGACAGTTAAACAACAAACTTGTAACTAATCGTGCAGTGGGCCTGTCCACTACTTAGTGCTGTACAGAGAGGACTCTTTATAAACACTGCAAGGAGAGAAGGTTTTAAAACACTTGACAATAACAATGTTACTGTACACCAATTTGCATCATCTTAGTAGACGGGGTTCACAGGGAAATTTCTTCAACAGTACTCTTTGCGCCTACAGGAACGGGCACAATATATTTTGAACATTTAACGCTGTGTTTAGAAAACCTAAAACGGCTTTGAATAACCCCTTCTAGACTAGTACCTTCTGCCACACATCAGTCTCTCTCGTTTAGCTCTCCCACACAAACATGCAACTCCTTAAAACGATAGACTTTTGTATTTGTGTGTGTGTAAATCACACGCACACACCATCTGTACGGTAGGCAAATCATAAACGACAGGCTTGGGTTGGGCCATTGTAACAAAATGTAATAGGGCACCAGTGTTTGGACCAAGTCAGTCAAACATTTAGCAGAATTAAAAAATATTTCCGTGTAAGTACATTTGGCCTAAATTTTGCAATATTGTTTTTCAATAAATAAATAATCACAATTCTTTTAGCGAATAAAGGAGTTAGAGGTGTGACCAAAATATTTCTCAAACCACATGGCATCTGAAGGGTTAAACATGTACATAAACAGAGGCAGAGAAGCCATTATTGGCCGGGTGCTTATTGATGTAAATTTAATCATACCCTATAACTGGCCCAAGACTAGATTAATATCTCAACTCTTTGTAAATATTGGCGCCTCTCTCTGCATGACACACACACACTCTCTCTCTCTCTATAAGCGAATTAATAAAGCTGTGACAAGTGCTAAAGGAATGTAAATAAATATTAATACCAAATGTTGTAGAGACATGTTGGTAAATTAATGTCTAATAGCTCGGTATTAGTGCCTTCATGTGAGGCCCAAGAAAAACACAAGCAGTTAAATTCCATGATGAAGCCGGCAGATGTATTAGCGTGTTAATCATTTTTATACAGATGTGGAATATCCTAAATAAAAGATCTCGCTCCGTCTGGGCCTGGTAATTCATGGCCTTTGGGTAAAAGATAAAAATAAAGATCTCTGCATCAGAAGGCAGTGGCTGGAAGCTTCAGGTTTATAAGGAATAATATGGCAAGATTCTACAATAGTCCAATTGTTTGGAACTTGCGTTTTTTTTTCTGGAAGACTAAAATAAATCTGCACTAGTACCAGCAGCCTTAAAGTGATACTATTTTTTTTTAATGCACTCTACACAGTTTAAATTTCTGATCTAAGTCAATAAAAAAAAATCAACAAGTGAATGTAAGAATGTTAAAGACATGAACACTCATTCCAATAGCCAAGCCACAATCTATTTCATAGAAACGAGGAGGCTGTGGGAGTGTAATTCTGCACATGGTAAATGAAAAGGTTTAAAACGAGGGTGCCCAAAATGTAGATCTTTAGATGTTATAGAACTACACCTCCCATGATGCCTTGCATGAGTTCAGAATGACAAAGCATGATGGAAACTGTAGTTTTAAAGCATCTGGGGATGTACTTCTTGCTGGGTTTTAGGCACCCCTGGTTTAAAGAAAAAAAATAAACAAACAAAAACAACCAAACATTCGTAAAAGCATGCTTTCTGATAGCAGATAATAGTCATTTGGCATATCTTGTCTGCCCAGTTCCTATACACTACAATGACTTTGGCCTGCAGCTAGACCTTTAGGACATTTAAATCACAAATCTAAATTGTCTGCAGGTTTTTAAAGAAACACAAATGTTATATATTTATTATATTGCCATATTTACTAATCTAGTGCTCCTTATAAAAATTAGATTCCGCTCCTTGCACTGTAGGACTTGTGAGACTAAAAAATAAATATAAATGCACCATTAAACCACAGCCATCCTGGTAGTCTGTTGCTGCGCCTGATGTTGACTCAGCATCGATGATTATCTTTACAATACTCCTCTATGGGAAGAATAATTAGCGTTTGGATGCCTCATGCTGGGAGTAATTATTCCGGGTGGGGAGAATTTAAATTATTAAAGGTTGTCACGAGAAAGTGCCTCTAGTGGCTGTTTAGAGATGTCCCTAGACCTAGAGGCATTCTGACCAGCAAATGTTAATGCCAATACTTACATATGTCACCTGCAGGAACAAGGTCTACACGCTCTTTAAATGTGGATTGTATGTTTTCCAAGCATACGGTTTAATTCATTTGCACTACTTAACACACTATACAAACTTTAAATATATCATTTAATTTATTGATGGTTTACCTATTAAATAAGAATAATAAAAACACAGAGTCATGAACTAAAATGCATATGAACAGGAATCAAAATTGACAAATGTGAGTAGTTTCCAGTGCGCTATATTTTTTCTATTTACTTTAGGCAATATCCCTGCTTGTAAATATTTTAATCGTGACTGATGAATCCAAGCTTTTATCAATCACAGGTCATTTTGAGTCGGATTACAAAAACATTTTCAGCAACGCAATTACAAACTAAACGGTCTACGGGCACTATGTCCACAATACGGAATGTACTATTTTTTTTCAAATCTCTAAATAATGCAGTTGAAGACATCTTATATCTACTCCGTTTCATGGTCAAATTTGTACAACTGCAACATTTGCTTCCGTGTAAAGTGCAATCGTTGCTTTTACATAGAGGGAGATGAGAACATCTGAACTGGAACTTGGCACCTGGAGTTACACCAAACATCTGGCCAGTAAAGATACTCTCCTGTTTCAAATGTTACTAAATGATTGTTATGGGAATTTGAAGAAATCTTGCTGGGTTTCTCAGTCTCAGATTATGGGGCCTCGCAGAGGGAAGCCAGAGTTTAGAACAAGTGAATTAACCTTTTGTCTGCCAGAAAACTGTAGACAACGATATATCTATTTGTGCACACACATATCAATGAAAAATAGAGAGCACTTGTTTGATTGCTTTAGCAAACAAATCAAATGTGTCTATTAGGCAAACATTTATATTTACTATATTTATATTTATTTTAAATGGATAGGGAACTGCACATAGCTACTTTGCATAACCACATTAATATTTGCCTCAAGTATTTTTTTAAATGAAAACTATTCTTTCAAAACAAGGGTGCTTCATGAAAATCAAAAATCATCAGAAATAACAGGTCCCTGATCTGGCATGGGACTCGCAGTTTTGGGCTTCTGTCCCAGCTTTGTTACCTTGTGTCCCAGGTAAACTGGGACGGGTCTCCAGTAAGTGCATAATTAGATGCACTTGCACTGCTCAATGTGTTTTAGGGCTTTAAGCCCATACTTAGAGAAGTAATGCTGGGTGATATGGGTAGGAGTGGTATACTAAGTGTGGACTGCCATCCACACGTATGCAGGCAAAATGTATACATTAAACAACCAGTTACTCAAAGCTTGCTGCATTGCTCTCATGCTGTTCCCTGTAGTGCATGCAACTCAGACTAAGAATTGTGGAAACAAAAAAAAAAAAAGAAATCACCCACTGATTTAGCATAGCTGACACTTATACGGCAGAGATAATAGGATATGAGCATTAAAGGCTCGTCCATAGAGGCACTCTATGAAAATACTAAGAGGGTGGTAAGCCAAACAAATATGGGGAATAAGAGTGTCTCTTTAAGCCCTTAAGGACCAAACTTCTGGAATAAAAGGGAATCATGACATGTCACACGTCAGGTGTCCTTAAGGGGTTAATTCGGTAATCGTTTTTGGTTCTTCAGGCCCCCCTTCCACATTATTGGTAGCCGTTTGGAGAAGCTTATGGGAGAGCTTCTAGGCATGTCAAAACAAATGGGTCAGGTTTGAAATCTGCCCTGTTTCAGCTGGTTTTGCCCATGTCTAATGTCCTTTAAGAATGAATTTCAATCCAGTTCCGATTCGGGTAGCAGAGCCAGCTTCCCATAAGTGGAGGCCTCTCTATTCAAGAGCCATCATTGACTCATAGCACCACGGGGTGGAGTTACAGTGCCCACAGGAGAGAAAAACAAGCAGCCTTCTTGGAAGTAACACAGAGAGAACACAGCAGCTCCTGGCCCCTGCCCAATGTAAGTGTAAAATATTATCTTCTCTCCTCCAACATCCCTAGTGACTGCCTGAGGGCTGATTAATATAATATAACACCAGGGAAGCCCAGGGGAAGGGGACATTTCTGAGAGCACTGTGCTGCCTGTCACCAATTGTTTTAATAACTCCTACTGCACAAACCCACTATCGTCTTTAAATTGCTCAGTCACTCTACAGCTGACACATGAGACACTTATGTTGTGGCTAGTTGAAAAGTTGTGAAGATTCAAACTACAGGACTGGGGCTGTGACTCTGAGGACTAATCATATTGCCAGCTACAAATGTAATAAATAAATGGTCTATCCAGAGACGGACTGACAGCCTTCTGAGACAACGGGCAACATTATATCTTGGGCACTTTGAAGACTAAATATTAATTATTAAAAGGGACATTATAGTCACCAGAATAACTACAGCTTAATGTAGTTGTTCTGGTGTCCACAGATAATCCTCGCAGGCTTTTTAATGTAAACAGTGCCTTTTCAGAGAAAAGGCAGTGTTTACACTACTGCCTGGGAACACCTCTAGTGGGAAGCACTGATGTTCAACGTCTCCACGCTCTCCATGAAGACTTAAACACTTTATTATGTGTCTACCTGGGGTTGTTTGCTGGTTCTTAGGAATTCTGGGGTAAAATGGAGTGGCAGTGATTTAATGCATCTCATTGAGGAGATGCTGATTAGTGCAGTGTGGCATTTAGCCACGCATGCGTAATAGCCTCCCAATGCTTTCCTATGGATTTGCTTAGATCAGGGCTTGACAAATTTGTTTGGAATCTAGGAGCCAGCTAGAAAAGTTAGGAGCCAGTAATTTTCAACGAGCAAATTTTTCATATGCAATTCTTAAAGGGACACTATAATCACCAGAACCACTACAGCTAGATGTACAGTTGCAAGAAAAAGTATGTGAACCCTTTGGAATGATATGTATTTCTGCACAAATTGGTCATAAAATGTGATCTGATCATCATCTAAGTCACAACAGAAGACAATCACAGCCTGCTTAAACTAATAACACACAAAGAATGAAATGTTACCATGTTTTTTTTTGAACACACCATTTAAACATTCACAGTGCAGGTGGAAAAAGTATGTGAACCCCTAGACTAATGACATCTCCAAGAGCTAATTGGAGTGAGATGTCAGCCAACTTGAGTCCAGTCAATGAGATGAGATTGGAGGTGTTGGTTACAGCTGCCCTGCCCTATAAAAAACACACACCAGTTCTGGGTTTGCTTTTCACAAGAAACATTGCCTGATGTGAATGATGCCTCGCACAAAAGAGCTCTCAGAAGACCTACAATTAAGAATTGTTGACTTGCATAAAGCTGGAAAGGGTTATAAAAGTATCTCCAAAAGCCTTGCTGTTCATCAGTCCACGGTAAGACAAATTGTCTATAAATGGAGAAAGTTCAGCACTGCTGCTACTCTCCCTAGGAGTGGCCGTCCTGTAAAGATGACTGCAAGAGCACAGCGCAGACTGCTCAATGAGGTGAAGAAGAATCCTAGAGTGTCAGCTAAAGACTTACAAAAGTCACTGGCAAATGCTAACATCCCTGTTAGCGAATCTACAATACGTAAAACACTAAACAAGAATGGATTTCATGGGAGGATACCACAGAGGAAGCCACTGCTGTCCAAACAAAACATTGCTGCACGTTTACAGTTTTCACAAGAGCACCTGGATGTTCCACAGCAGTACTGGCAAAATATTCTGTGGACAGATGAAAGTTGAGTTGTTTGGAAGAAACACACAACACTATGTGTGATGAAAAAAAGGCACAGCCCACCAACATCAAAACCTCATCCCAACTGTGAAGTATGGTGGTGGGGGCATCATGGTTTGGGGCTGCTTTGCTGCATCAGGGCCTGGACGGATTGCTATCATCGAAGGAAAAATTAATTCCCAAGTTTATAAAGACATTTTGCAGGAGAACTTAAGGCCACCTGTCTACCAGCTGAAGCTCAACAGAAGATTGATGTTGCAACAGGACAATGACCCAAAGCATAGTAAATCAACAGAATGGCTTAAACAGAAGAAAATATGCCTTCTGAAGGGCCCAGTCAGAGTCCTGACCTCAACCCAATTGAGATGCTGTGGCATGACCTCAAGAAAGCGATTCACACCAGACATCCCAAGAATATTGCTGAACTGAAACAGTTCTGTAAAGAGGAATGGTCAAGAATTACTCTTGACCGTTGTGCACGTCTGATCTGCAACTACAGGAAACGTTTGGTTGAAGTTATTGCTGCCAAAGGAGGTTCAACCAGTTATTAAATCCAAGGGTTATTAAATCCACATACTTTTTCCACCTGCACTGTGAATGTTTACATGGTGTGTTCAATAAAAACATGGTAACATTTCATTCTTTGTGTGTTATTAGTTTAAGCAGACTGTGATTGTCTTCTGTTGTGACTTAGATGATGATCAGATCACATTTTATGACCAATTTGTGCAGAAATCCATATCATTCCAAAGGGTTCACATACTTTTTCTTGCAACTGGAGTTGTTCTAATGTGTCTGTAGCTTGTCCCTGCAGGCTTTTCAGAGACATTGCTGCTTAGTAATACCTCTAGTGACAGTCACTCAGAGTCCTGGGTCAGGACTGGGCATGCACAAAATCCTCCCAATGCTTTCCTAGTGGAAATCATTGGGTTAGACGAGATCACAAAGATTGGTAATTTCAGCCAAAGAGATGTGACCAGCCGTGGCAAAACTGGCATGGCGTGGGAAAAATTGTTTGGAGAAAGCAGGTACCTAAACGCACACACATACACACATGCTGACAACAGGCTTGCATGCACGCACACACACACACACTGACAGACAGGCACACACACACATTTTTGTTTCAATTGAAACCCATCCAGTCTCCCTACCTTTGGGATAGCTAAGTGGGGTCCAGCGGGGCTGCTCTCTTCCTCTGTGCGAAGGAGCAGTAATCTTACTGCAGTTGCTCCCTGCAAGCTCTCTGGGGCCAGAGTGACGTCATATTCCGGCTTCCGGCATCATTAAACAGTGCGAGGAAGCAGAGAGCGGCTGCAGTAAGATTACTGCTCCCTCGCGCGCTGCCTACAATGCTCACGCGGGCGGCCTGAACCATGCTGCCTCAGCCAGTCGTCTCCATCCTCCTCAGGGCGGTCAGCCAGCTCTGTGTGTTATGTCTCAGTATGTTCCTCAGTTCTACCTGCTGTATGTTATCTCTGCAGTCTATCCAGTTCTGTGTATTGTGTAGGTATCTTTAAATTGTGTCCAGCCCTGTGTATTAGAGCTCTGTTTGTGGTATGTTATCTCAGTATAGTACTCCGCTCTATGTATTTTATAGATAATATACAGCTTGTTTTATTGTATGAGAATCTGTATTAAGCTCAGCTCTCTGTATTATGAGTATCTATGCACTGTAAAAGGGAGGAGTCTGGCGCCCTGCCATCTTAAAACGTCCCCAACAGCCACTGAATAGCAGTATAAACGCAAATGTAACAAATTGTATCTATACAAGTTATAGAAATTAGACAGCACGAGTCTGCTAAGTACAACAGATCCACAGAAGGATCACACTTGATAAATGTAAATACCAGCAGACATCTGTTAGAATCAATGGCTCCAGAATCCCAGAGGTTCGATAAACAGCTATAGGTCATAATACATGGTGCACAGCATAATGCAGAATTTACTTTATATAAAAAACCTCAGTGTCGTGGGGGACCCTTCACCTTAGCGAACAAGGCAGTCCTTGGCTGGTCCAGGGCCAAAACAAGAGGGACGGGTGTCGGGGCTCCCCACCCGACCAACATCACTACCTTACGATATTGTACACTATAAAACTCAGAAAGATGTATTTTGCATACCGTTAAAATGTTGTTTAGACTGTAATAAGTATAAACATGTGAACTGTCTCGCTGTCACCAGACTGTGTCCTATCAAATAAGACCACGGAGAAAAGGACACACAGTGAATGGGAAGTGTAGATATGTCATGTACACCACATATGTTATAAATAGCATGTTATGCACGTGACGAGACTTTCACGCAAAAATAAAGGTATTGTTATTATTAAAAAAAAAAAACCCAGGACAAGATGCTGGACGTAGTACACTTACGAGATGGGTTTAAAGATACATTGTACTATCTGAACTAGACGGCTAACTGTGTGGTACTTTTCACAGCTGTGTTTTAACTGTCCATGTGTATATGTATATTTTCGCTGTGCATATGTTAGCACCTACCTATTATTATTATTATTATTATATTATTTATATAGCGCCAACAAATTCCGTAGCGCTGTACAATGGGTATGTACAAGTTACAAATGTTATGGAACGGTTGTATTATTTCAGATTGTGTTGGAATAAAGAATAAAGAATAACAAAATAAAACGTGAAATGACTTACTTGTTGTACTTCGCTTTCTCCATTTGAAGTCTTCTCTGTATACACAAAAGAGTCGAATCTCTTCTGCAATACATAAAAAGAAAATGTAAGTTCAAAGCATTTTATAAATTAAATAATAAATTAGAATTGGAAACCAAGTAAAAGGACTGTGTAAGAGCTCTGAGCAGTATCCGTTATTAATGGAGGCTTTGCTACAATTTGTCGCTCCTCACGAAATGCATGGACAAGAACGGTTATTTAAAGAAAACAAAACCTATGTTAGAATACAATAAATGTAGCTATGCTATACTGCACGAACAGAACAATTTTTAGCTCTAAGCAATAAACTAAAACCCAGCATTGCAGAACCAATGGAAATCCCTGCTAAGAGCTTCAATTTCACAAATCAGCAATAACAAAACCATAATACAATGATATTGCTAAAAAACAAACAAACAAACCTGGATAAACATGCCCCTTCCTATAGTGTCAGTATTTAGCAATTTTAACAATGAACGGAAAGAATTACATTATAGTGAATTTGACTGGCACAGTACACAGCAGCGTGGTCACTAACCCGACAAATCATAAAACATCAAACATTAGGGGGCGGGCCCGGACCGCCAAGACGAGTAGACACATATTACTCTTGCTCCAGCGATTTACAGACAATTTGGTCCCAAAACACAATTTCTGGTGCTGAGACACAGCAAGCAACTGCACGATGAGGTGCTAGCTCTGACAATTAGCCTGTGCCTCGACTCTTGGCCCCTTTAGGGGAGAAAGCTAAGCTCCGTGACCAAGGCCTAGTCAAGCCTACCCAGGTGGTGAGTAGGGTAGATGGCCACCGCCCTGCTATCCTGCCTGTCTGCAACATGGTGGTCCCCTAATATAATTGGGTGATGGCCCTGCTCCCCCACCCCCTTTGGGCCGGTGGGGCCATCCCGTCCTATCCTGGGGCACTACTCTGATCGGAGGCCTCACCTAACCTTCAAGATGGCTGCAGAGAAGGTCCTTGGAGAAGGTGACCCCCTCCCCCCCTTCAGGGCTCTGGACGCTCACAGCAGGCAAATCTGGGCAATATCATCTGAGCAACATACCTCTCCTGAGGCCCGGCCTGGGGTGCTACCAATCGACACTAAGGAACCTGTGCGGAGATCACCTCACTTCCCGAGGTAATCAGGCTGCAAGCTGGTACAGACACATGATGCCGAATTACACAACCGATAGCTGCGGTCCACTACAACGTTACTGCACACATCCAGCTCCTAACCGCAAACGGCTGATACCACCCGACAAGCCACACCACTGCATCAGGGAACTACTCTTAGATGAATATGAAAAGCAAAAGGACTGTGTCCTGCCAGTGATGGGAGTTAGCTGCTCTCTGCATGGGGACTGGGGTTGCCTCTCCTCTGGCTCCTGAGTAGTTATTATCAGGGTAATGTTTACCTTTCCACTAGGAGGAGTGTCTCTATTCGGGGGCCCAGGGTTCTTTAATCATTGTGGCATGTTCTCCTCAGTTTTGTTTTGCATACATTCGCCATGCCATTCTGCTTAGCATATTTGTTTTTCTCACCTAACCTACCAGCACTAAATGTACATACTCATACACCAAACCTACTTCATCTTGTTAGGCCTTTTCCTAAAAATAGTGCATAATATTTACATGCCATGCTTCTGTATCAATATGTATGATGCTATATGTCTGTTGCTGCTGTCGTGGCACCACAGGATCGTTTGTAATTACCTGCCCTGCAAAAAAAAAAAAAACCCCAAACATTAAAATTTAACCAATAATGGGGCAAATTTAAAAAAGGCAGAGCAATCGCCATGGAAACCAATGAGTGTTCCCGCCGATTGCTCCATTTTTAAAATACCAGAATTTCGCTTTATATATATGTATACAGCAAACGGGTGACATACATATAAACACACAATATCTAGCAAACAGGCTGCCAAGGTGACAAAGAACTGGAACCTGGAGAGTGAGAACTTGGTTTGCAAATCAGTGGGCTGTCTCTACATTTCATAAGCACAGAGAAAGCTTCTTAGAACCCCTATGTGGAGCACATGTGTGGCACTCAAAAGATTATTAAAAATCGTGTGTGCGCGTATATATGTAGATCACGCACACTAGCACGCACACAGAGCTGGCTAGACATTAGTCACCCAATATAAACTAAAATCAAAACCAGTGTATTAATATTTAAGGATCACATTTTTTGCCTTTCCTTATTAACTATTTATTGAGTCAATAAGTGCTATTAGCTGCCTTAGACAGGCCCACAAGCAACACTTAATCAACACCAGTTCACAAAGCACTCCCAAGCCAACACTTTGAACTCGTGCTTTCAGGCAAAACCCAGTTCTGCTTTTCATTAAATTTGTGCAGCTCAGGTAAAAACCTATTAGGGTATCTGCCATTTTCACAGACGATACAAACTCGTAAATCCACATTAAATTAGGACTGTACCATTTTGTGAAAAGGTCTAGTCATCCAACAATTCACAGATAAGTTCTCCAGTCCCGAATTCGCCCGCGGGCTATAAAATAATTGCTTGCAATTCAGCTGAAATAGTTTCTGTATCCTATTTACTGTAAAGGGGCATTGCAGAGGGAGAGAGAGAGTGCAAGCAACAGAGTTCTTCCTGAAAATACTCTACATGAAGGTTTCTGAAATCCATACACAGCACAAACAGTTCATTAAAAAAACATTTTTATTGAACGTAATGGAGAGAAAAAGATACTAAAAAATCTTATGCATACATAAGACCTTCCATGACGGAGATAAGTGTGTTGTGGAATTCATCACATAAAATGAGCAATAATTTACCACCTCATTAATTTGAACACACATGGCTCTATATTTATATAGGTTCATAGCGCTATTCTCTGACATCATGCCTGTCTTCTCAGCCTCTTGGCATTTTATGCAAATTAACAATTTCCCCACGATGCTCTGCTCAGACAAAAAAAAACAAAACCACATGCTTCGTGGAAACATCACAATCTGTAATCAAGATCATTAATCTAATCTCTTTGAAGAGTTGAAGAAAAACAACATTTTAGAATTCTTTTTCCCCCCAAAAAAACAATCTATAAGTCACTGGCCAGTCTGGCTCTCTGCATTGAGGCTATTGTGAAATAGTTGGCCCTGCCAACTGTTCTTTTAGTGTATTTTTCCAATGTACATGGTACGAGTGACATGGATCCCAAACCCCAATTTCCTATTGCAGAGTATGCATAGGCCACAGAAAGCCATGAGTTTAATGGTCACTTTGGACGATTTACTCCCAAATATTCTTAAACAATGGATGGCAATGTGTACAGAATTCAGGAGCGAAGCAAAGTTTGCTGTGCGTGAGGAAGAGGTATGACCTAACATCTATATAAATAGATTTAAAATGGTTGGTAAGGACGCAGCCATATACATTCTAGCGGACTGTTCGCAGGTTCCTGAATTTAAATAGCTCTGCTGTAATATTTATAGCAGGACAGTAAGTTACACCTTGTTAGTTTTATCCAACAATAGAAATTAGGGTTGTGCATTCAAAGCAGAGGACCAGAAGTATCAATTAATATTCTATTAATTGCCAACGTTCTGCTGTTTAATGGAGATTACTGGAGCTATATAAATTACTAGCATTTACATAGCTCCAACCTATTTTTGAAGCTCTTTCTAAGTATAGAATGGGGACATTTGACAAGACATGGGGAGGAAGGCCCTGCTCAAACAAATTTACAATCTATGAATCTCCTATGCTTAAGGTTTGCAATATGACATTTTATTGGAATCCCGCTACACAGATCCTTTGCAGGCACAGAATGTGATATTTATTTGGCATTTATTTTTCTTAACTGTTAGAGTAGATAGTGTAGACATATTAGTCCAGTGATGCAGATGTAAATTAAAAGATTACATTTGTATCTTGCAATACTTATTTTTTTTTTATTAGACTAAATTTTGGAATGACAAGCTTTCAGGAGAGCCTCCCTTTCTCTAGTCTAAAGCAATTCTGAGCATAAATCACACAGAATTCAAAGTTGAGTTGTGATACTGGGGTTAAAGTGACATCTCGAGTGCCGATAAGACACACGTTTGGAAAGAAAATAGACCATATTCTCACGACCCTCTGTGAGAATCAAACCTGTGTCTTATCTGCATTCATGTCGCTTTAACCCCAGTATCACAACTCAACTTTGAATTCTGTGTCCTCTATGCTCAGAAATGCTTTAGACTTGAGAAAGGGAGGCTTCTCCAAAAAACTTGTCAACCAAAAATTCTGTTAGTCTAATAAAGATATTACAATATACTAATGTCATCATTATACGCCATAAAATCCAAACTGAAAACAGTCGACTTTTGTTAATAATTCGGTTAGCAAGAAACGGTCTGTCGGTTATGATGATTTTGTTTAAATCCAAACATTCTGTATTTAAATATTTTCCCTATGCTCCCCCCCCCAACTGAAAATGAGTAAAAGCTCCCCCCCCCACCCCACCCCCGTAGTCAAGGTTTTCTGCAATCAGTATATAGGGAATCTGAAACATTGCCAAAAAGTAATGAGTGGCGCTGAAGGTTACAATCAGAGGTTAGTCAGTTTGGGTGGGAGAGAGGCCAAAAAATAGGTACCACATGTTTTAAAAATGCAGGATTAAGTTGTGTAATTTAACCAAGGCAATACTTCTGATGCAGTGCTCAGAAATCTTCTACCTCAAGAAGATATGTTATCCACACTTAAAAAAATAAATAATAATAATCCAGATGGTTTCAATAAACGCAGAGAGAGAGACATGGACAGACTGCTTGCCTTTCTCGGTCTATGAATTACAACTCCTATGACCTTCTCACAGAAGTAGCTCAAATATCACATACTATGATCTACAGGTTGTAGCTATTTGTTTTGGTCCCCCTAAAAAGGGGGCGCTATTTACAAAATCAGTGTTTGAGTACGTTGGCCAAAGCTCTGCAAGCCTCTTGTAAATTCCTTTTTATATTTTAGATATTTGACAAAACACAGGATTTAAACAGCAAGAATGGTTTAAGTAGTAAAACCTAACAGCTGATGTGAAGATAAAGGATAAATTATTTTTTTAAAGTGCAAGAAGTGATCCAGCCATTAATAAAATCTAATGGTTCTAAACTGAAAATTCACTTTGGCTATATTTAACAAGATGGTCGCATAGTTGCTCTTTTGAACAATATTTGTTCGCTATAAGAAGAGAATTCCATTCAGTTTAAACAATATGTTCTTAGCTATAGGAACATGGCCGCAATTAGGACAATCCTGATACTGGCATTGGTTATTTATTGAGGTTTAGAAGAAAAAGATTAAATGAAATAAGCCTTGGTTTCTTTTTTCCCCCCAAGTTTTATTTTTTTGATTTTGCAAGAATAACTGAAACAAAAAGGAAGTAGCCTTGGTCTCTTAATAAAAAACTCCAAAGATGCTTTGGCATGGCTCTTGTGAAAGAACAAGTACACAAGACTTGGGATAATAAGCGCTCGTATCAGCTGGAACAGATTTTGAATTCAGCAGAAAGGAACCTCCTCGCCATCTCTTTGCAAAACAAATGGGCTGTAGGGAAACCAGAGACCACATGTTGGACAGGAATAGTGGGACACACTACTCTCCTTCACCTGTGCTCCTTAACCTTAACATCAGGACCAAAAAAACAGGTCTTAGCTATGTCCTTTCAGGGGGTCCATATTCAAAGGAAATGGCATATCATATTCATCAAGCCCCAGGCAGCTGTCCACAACATCTAAGGTGTTTTGAAAAACTTAATTTAATTCCAATTAGATCATACTTTAGGAATGAGGCACAGATAATTATCAACTTGAACTTGTGTCCAAGTGAAAATGCACATAATTGGGGTCCTTGGCAAAAAAAAAGGGTGAGCTAAACAATGACGCACTGCAAAAAAATGAGCGCGCAAAACAGAGAAATATTTCGGAATAAACCACACGGTAAATATCTGGAATGAAATGAACTGAGAGAGAAATATGAGAACAGAATAGGGCAGACAATGGGTTGACAGTGATAGTTGACAGTTTCTTTTAGCAGAGCTGCACAGACACCCTTATATAAATGTGATTTTTATAAATATGTCTGCATTACTTCCCCCCCCAAACTAAGCTCACTCCCTCTATTGAAACTCCTCTGCTTTTTCAAACTATGTCACCAGCCTACTCTAACAGACACAGACTGTCAGGTATGGAGAACAAATTTAGCCAAAACTAAAAAAAAAAACCAACCCCCAAGATGACAGTACATCAGCTCTGCCAGCAACGTGTAGTGTCTGGATAACATTTTCTGCCTAAAAGCAAAGGAAACAGTTGCAGGGAGAATCAACTGCACCAACTATAACAGATCTACAGATCAGCATGTAGTGTTAATAACATGTAACTGTAACAAACAAAACAGTTCTACTTAATAACTAGTTTTCCCATCTTAGCCTCACAAGTTGCACGCCAGTAATTTGGATATTTGGGAGCTGTGATTAGACCAAGCTCAGTTTAAATGTCACTAACTAAATTATACTATTATTCTTAAAGTACTGACCAGAAAAAGTATAGGTAGCTTGTCACTATTTTCCAAGCACTATTTTCCTGGAGTCTAGAAGTTCTTAACCAACTTAAAAGGTACTTAATGTTCCACGTTGCAGCGACATCGCTATCCTATGTTGCCTAGGGCACACAAATGCAGCCATCTAATATGAAAGTTTCTGTATGTGAATCAAGCACTACGTGTGCCAACTCCGTGGCATACTTTGCCAGGGTTTAATTAGCAAATCATGTAAATAAATAAAAAACAACTAAAATGGAAAAAGGACAGCTTAGAGCTAACCGTTAGTCAGCCATTAGACTCAAGCATCATCTAATAAGCCAATATGCTATATTTTGGGGAGGGGTAGCAGCAAATTAAGATCTTACATTCAGAGAAAAGTTGGCAAATATTGGGCTTGAGGATACTACAAAAGAATAACCTTTTTCTTGTTTATGTAGACAGTCGTACTAATGCAACGCATGTGACATAGGAGTTTGATAGATAGCGGCTGACAGAATTCAAGGGTGTGACGTAATATAACAATGCAATGTTCACTAGTACAATCAGCACAGAATGAGAGAGCTTTCATAGAATTATGTCCAAGTCTAAGACAGTCTACTTCCCATGACTCCATTACCACCAATGACGACAGGTATTTGTTAAGAACGTCATGAGCAGTGCCTGGTCTCACACCGTGGTCACTTGTAAACATCTCCATGGACATCATACATACGCATCTTAATCTGGCAGCTCAATCAACAACTACCGATATTGCAGTGCACTGAGAAGTATCCTCGGGGGCCAGTCCAGGCCTAGAGAAAACTGATACAGTGTGACCTCAGCACACTCACAAACAGTGCTGAACAAGTAAAGGCCCTGCAGAAATCCCAACATGTGTCCTGCTATTTTAATGTACACAAGTATGGTTTGAGGCTGTAGCTCACAAACCATGTATGCTAGTGGCTATGGGCCAATTGACAGACCTCCTAATCTCACACTGTATACTGGTATGCTAGTGCAAAAGAGCTACAGCAATTAGCAAGGCAGTTAGTAAGATGGAACAAGATTTACTGGGGGGGGAATACAAGTCAGGAATAGATGATTGAAGGCAAACTTAGTAGAGTATTTTTCCAACTAGGCTTGTTAAAAGTGTGTGTGTGTGTGTATGTGTATTTATATTGAAGGCATAGTTCTATGCAAGTAAAAATATGTAAAATGTTTTAATATCCTCTATAATTTAATCTTCATTTTCTCCTTTATAGAAAAGCTAGTTTCCGTTCATGACAAGCAGCATAAAGGCCAATTGACAGAGCCCCAATTAGTCGAATTTTGCTTCCTGGCAATATGGCCTTTGTAAAATGCACTGATTGGGAATGCAAAAATAAAATTAAAGATTTGAGCCCGAGGCATGCATTCTTGCATGTTTACAAGTTTCCATATTAACATTTATAGAGCCACAAAAAGACTCGAATTGCAGAGATGTTTTGTGTTCAATTAAATTTAGCTTAAGCGAGAGGAAAAAAATAAATTTAAATAATATTAATCCTAGCAATATAGTAGTTCAAAAGTGCATACTACATCAAGCATTAAATAAATTATTAATAAATAAAAACAATTCTACAGTGTAGTAAGAGCTGGGAGACTTTATCTTAAAAGTTACTAGAGTAACAGTACCTCAAATGCTGTGGGACAATGATCATCATCATCATCATCTTCATTTATATAGATTCAGATTCAGCTAAATTGTGAAACCATTCTTTCATGGTTTGACAAATTACTCCGGAAAGGTGCCAGGGCACCTTTAGCTCCACAACCACTAAAGGGAGCTGTAGTGGTTATTATTATTAGCATGTATATAGCGCCAACTTATGCAGCAGTGCTTTACAATATTACAAAAGTGGGGGACATTTAACAATAAATGAGACAATTACAAATTGCTACAGGAACATTGGGTAGATGAGGACCCTGCTCAAACGAGCTTAAGGAGCTTCCAGTGTTCCTTTACGAAACATTTGTGTTATGATTTAATAAAATATTCATTTTTGGACCTAGAATTTACCTTTAATTGCACTCACCGTACTGAATTCAAAAGGATAAATGCTGCATTGACCTTTTGAGGAAGCAAATCTGTGACTGAGAATCTGTAACTACGCTGGAGCTTTGACTACGGAGCTATCTCACTACATGTTTGGCGAGCACTATGTAAAGTTAAAATTAGCAGCATTACAAAATGGAATTCAGTTATGTTTGTCTGAAAAGAGGAACTGGAAAGGAATCAAACATTTAAGAACACAAGCAGTGAACTCAGATTACATAACGGACAGATAAGATTTACAAACTGCTTAAGCTTAAGATTTATCTATTTATGTAAAAAGTAGAAATAAAAGCAAAAAAAAACAAAACCTTTTAAAAGGATTATTGAATATCAATCAAAGCAAAAACTCGAGCAAGAACAAAACGCTCAGTAGATTCCTGCAGTTTAAATAAAGCAGTTTGGATAAACATTACATCATATAAAAACAAACAATGCTTGGATGAAGAAGAATGGATAACTAGGAGAATTGCACCTAAAGATGAATGAAAGAAGAGGGGGGAGGTGTGAGGCTCTCCATTATATATCTATTCATTATTCGCCAAGTTAACCCAAGTGCGTCACTGAGGTCAAATAGCTCAGGTTACCGGCTAGGAATTAACACCTTGGATTTCCATTAAAGGTAAGCCAGGGTCCAACTGCTGGCTGGAGGGGGGTGGAAACAATCCAGGACAAATCAGCAGGGTTCATTGGCAGTTGTTGCAAGTTACCAGGCACATTTTAACACTGGCTACTCTGGGAACCATAACAACTTTGCTTCAGTGAGCAGGGTTATAGTGCGTGGAGTGCCCCTGTCGCAGTGTTACAGCACACCGTGGCTTAGAACAAATATTCCTTTACTGGTCAAAGACAGGTCCAGCTGGCATGTGAAGTTTGCACACACACACAGATAGGAGAGATACTTCTCCGCTCTCTGGCTAGAAAGAAAGACACAGGGCCATGTGAGATTACCAGCTCAGGTGTATAAAACTGCGGCGTATCTATAGGTTTATTGAGCAGTTCCATAACATATGATGTGATACATGGAACTGTGGCTAAACTGCAAATCCCATAATTGCTTGCAGAGAAGCAATTTATTGGGGAAAATAAATAAACTGGACTATGAGAGCCTCACGATTGGTGCAGCCTCTTCCTGATCTCTGAGAGGCCTTCCTGTAACAGCACTCTCTTGGACAGATGCTGCAAAAGCAATTTAGAAAAAAAGAAAAGGAGTATTTACTGCATAATGCGTTTTTTTTTTTGGAAAGACAGATGTATATTATAGATATAGTATACATACATACTGGTCCATTAGATTTTTTGGGGGGTTTCCAACAATATTTTCGTTTGGCTACTAACTGTGCCATCAATGAATAACAATATGAAAAATATCATTACTTTCCATAAAATGCACACACACAAAATATCTTTAATTTACTAATTTAGTAGTGAAGGGTTACTGGAAGTTAAAGGAGTTTGCGGCAAGTATGCTGTAAGAACGAATAGGTGGGGAAAACTATGCTACTGCCATCAATGTGTGCCCCAGCCATCTGCAGTGGATGTACAGATGATGAAGATGAGGCACCATGATTTAACTACATTAAATCTGTTGTTTTTTTTTTTAAATAAAATACTTTGGCAATATTGGCTCTCTGAGTTCTTGTTGGTTCTGGTTAATGCCCAAGTTTAGCCATGGTTTAGCCATTCAAAAGAATAGTACAGTTTATAGAAAGTTCCCCTTTTTCTTCTAGAACTGTAATTAAAACCCATAAGAGAATGCAAATCTTCCACTTGGCTGCAAAGATGACACCAGATATTTATCAGACACGAGATACTGTTAGTCTTGATTGAGACAGTTTAATTTGCACATCAGACAATCTACTATACATTTTGGAATCAGTTCGTGGAGGAGATTACTTTGCAACATGATACATTTGGCTGCAAGAATCTAATATAAAAAAAATAAATTTAAATAAATCAAATACAGTGGCCTTCCAACACACATCCTAAAATACCAATCTTGCCCTGTGGTCTCACACAAGATTAAATGTGGCAGAGTTCATGTAATTAAAAGCATAAAATGATAAATGATGAAAAAAAAAAAAAACCCTGACCTGTAATTAAAATGACATTTACTATTGCTACATCTACAACTCATCGGTTTACTGGACAGGCATGTAGACTCTGCTGACAGCTTACAGTGAGGTTTAGAATTGTTTACTACCTATAAAGGGATTCTCTTTATGGAACACTCGGAGCACCGTTAAACAGTCGGTGCTCTATACATGAAGCTCCCCTGTCAAAATGTCCAAGCATTGCATTAGTTATAGAGCAGGGGTAGGCAACCTTTTAGCAGCACTGTGCCGATATAGGATGGTGATGTCCCGTAGCGTGCCGGTCCTATTTTTTTTAAATTGTGGTGTGTATGCTGCCGTATTCTGCTTGTGTTATTTTTACTGTAATTGCTTTGTATCGTTGTATTTGTGAGTATATGAGCTATTATATTGTATATGTTCATGAGTAGTTTATGGTATTGTGTATGATACATATGAATGTGGGCTGTGTATGGGAGTTGCTTGTGGAATTGTGTGTGTGGATGGATGTGTCACATTGTGTGTTTGGTAGTGTGTGGGGGCTGTTTGGAGTATTGCACGTGAGATGCTGCACGTGGGGTTGTGTGCATGCATGTGGATTGTTAGTGGTGTTGTGTTTGTGTGGATTGTGTGCATGTTTGTGTGTGGGCTGTCTGTATTATTTGTATGAGGGGAGGGTTATTCTGCATTTCTGTGTATATCTAGCAGTGTGGGTGGCTTCCCTGGGTTCCAGTGGGGACCAGGCTGGCCAGGTACAGGTCAAGGAAATGAGCTGCAACAGCAGCTGCAGACTGCTCTACTGCAGTATGGATTCACATTCACAAGTGCTGGGAGGAAGTGATCTGAGATCACTTCCTCTACATGCTGCAATGCATAAATTGAGGATTGTCTTTCACCATCTCTCTGTATTAGCAGATATCGGATACTGAGACTCCTGATAGGCCAGAGTGCGTTTGGCTCTAGCAGCCTTGAGTGCCGTAGGTTGTCTACTCCTGTTATAGAGGCTGCTATACACCTAGCCCTGCTCAATGTCACAGCGTGGATCTATGCAGCCACTTGCCTGTTCAAGGACTTTTAATGTATTTGCTTATCATGGTTCATTAAAAAGTTGCAGATTTGCCGCAAACAAGGGAAGTAAAGAAGTATATCTGACTTTTTTTTATTTTTTAAAATGTATTATTTAAAAATGTATCGGCAGATAAGAACCATTCGGCCCATCTAGTATCTAAATACTTTCATTAGTACCTGGCCTTATCTTATTAGTCTGTTATGGAGGAGGGTAAGACAAAGGGCAAAGAAGAATTCAACTCAAGAAAATTATTAAAATGTTGCATAGGTTGAGTATTGCAATGTTGTTTTTTTTATTTATTTAATTTTCTAAATTAATTGGTTTACTTTATTTTTTTATTTAATTATTTATTTATTTTTTTTTTAAGTACTTTCCCAAACTGCAACTTCTCGGGAATTTTGATCACATATCACATTTATCTAATTGAGTACTATATTTAAATCTATAGCATATGACATCATAATCCATTTCAGACAAAGACTGGAGAGGAGAAACGGAAAGGTTCTCTATGCTGACCGAAATGAAAAAGGTTATAACTATGACCGATAGAGGACTAAGATGGAGGCCCTCATTTAGAATAAAGAATTTTAGATTTCTACAATTAATTTAAATTTTCACACCTCACAAATACATATTTTTTAAACAAAGCTAAACAAACAATATTAAAAAAATAAATAAAAAAATTGTGGGATGTGACCGCACCCCTTTAAGGATAGATACCTAAAGTCTTAAAATACATTCCGACAGAAGGAAGAGACTGAAACCTGCAGAATACATTTTTGCACGCAATAGTGATTTCGTTTTTTCAATGCTTCTCAAACTCCAAACATACCTTCACAGTCAAAGATGAATCATTCAAATTACATCTCTGAGAAAACAGCAGCTGTCTTTTTGTCCCCAGTGCATTAAAAATAAACACATTTACAGATCACTTCTCAGAACAGAAAAATAACGCATGCTACTATCCTGCTGTATTTCAACAACTCTTCCTTTAAAAAGAAGAAGACGTTCCATCGCTAGACACATGATGGAAGTGCCACCTGCTTCATCAGCCAGGGTTGGGAAAATTTGAAAAAGTGCCTTAAAATATGTTGCATTGGGCTTCTGCAATTAGACAATAATACATTATCGAGTTGACGGTAATACGACAGAAATATGCATATCAAATTAGTTAGGTCCCAGGTTTTAATTTTACTTTCTACGCTTGGATGTCTTGACACAGCCTATGGCATTATGGAAGGATTGAGATCACAAACGCTTATACATCACTTCTCTTCGAATACTAGTGCGAGCATCTCCATGTCTATGGCAATGATGTGTATCTAAATCGAATCATTAATAAGGACCGTGAATTCATAGAGAAACCTTGGAAAATAAATAAATGGAGGGATTCCAGAAAGCTTTTGTACAGCGATTTTGCATTTGCCTCCTATTTTAAAGAGGCTCTGCTACAATCTGTGATCTTTGCAACATTTGCAAAGACCTCTACAGGGACTGCGCCACTGGCAGTGCGGTGACCACAGGGTGTCGGGGAAGGCAAGTTATACTTACCTGAATCTGTTCATAGTGCCCACCGCCATCCTCTTCCTTATGGTCCTATTCATCTCCTGGTGTTTTATGCTCATGCATGTACCTAGACAGAGCCTTTTTCCACTTGAAGTCTCAGGGATTGACAAGAGCTTGTTCCACCTTATAGCAAGCATAAGGCAAATACAAAGAAAAGTGGTCCCTCGCTTGTCTTAGTATATCTTTTGACTGGGTTGGAATTTTGGTGAAATTCTAACACAGTACAAGTATTTCACAAATATTTTAGCTTTATGAAATACTCATTTTGGATGGAGAGGGAGACAGCGCCGCAACAAATGGCAGCCCTAACAGTGCAAACAAAGACCACTCTGATTTTCAGAAGAACATCTGATTAAGTGAACCACAACCACACCCAGCCTCCGGATCACAAGAAAGACTGCATTCCTAAAACAGAAAATGAGAGAGCTGCACATTTCTCACCATTAGTAAAAGACAAACTGAGATCTACAGACACCATCTTCTTCATCAATAGTTTGCTATCCGGATCAGGAAATTTCCAGCAGCACCTGCTTCAAGGGACACAATAGGCACCCATGTAAATGGTGGGTTTTCCACTAAAGGGTCAGAAATACAGGTTTGTGTTCCTGACCCTATAGTTTTCCTTTAATGTTTTACATCTATTTAAGATGGATTGGATGGATATCTTTACAAAATATGTAACAAATGGTCAAAAGGTTTATTACAGAGTGGAAATAGAATATTTCGACATCAGACATTGTTGCAAACTACAAAAAAACTGTTTTTGTGGTTGGAGTAACCGTTTAATGTTCCAATTTGGCTCTCCTTTGAATAATTAGCTTTCACTGAATCTTCAAGCTTAATGATGGGTGTCCTGCTTTAAAACACAGCCGCCATTACCATGAGAAAAACAAATGTATGCAGTAAGATAGCATTACTTTTATATTTCATGCCCTATTGCAGCCAGTTGGACATGTGAGGATTGATGTCTTTGGACTTTTATCCTTCTCTTAGCAAACAATAGCGCCTTTTCAAGTTGAAATTGCCAAATCTATAGTTAAAAACTAAACTCAAGGACGTCTTTGCAGGTGTGGGATAGAGTCAACGGTAAAAACCCCCTTATCAATACGCCCTCACCGCTCACCCCAGTTCTGCGGAACCCGCAATTTCCCCCAGGTATGACACCTCAACATTTTGCCCGCTTCGAAGATAATAACCTCATCAGACTTTGCCATTTCTTCCAGGGTGATCGCCTGCTCCTATTTGCAGACCTACCGCAATCTACCCCTCTCAACTCTTTTGATTATTTCCGCTATCTCCAGTTACGGAGCTTTTTGTCCATTCCGGACATCAGAATGGCAGCCACAAAACAGCTTACACCTTTCGAGAAAATGAGTATGCACACACCGGTAAGGAGAGGTCAGATATCCATTCTTTACGATATCTTTGCTAGAAACACCCCTCCGGAGGCCTTTTCATACGTGAGGGAGTGGGAGAGGGACATGGGCCCACCGGCCGATCCATCAGACTGGGCAGAAATTTGGGAGGCAACGGCATCAGTTACGATCTGTGTGAACCACAAGGAGCAGGCGTATAAGACCCTGCTCAGATGGTATGTTACCCCCCTCAAGCTCAAACAGATGCGACAATCGACCTCCGACCGGTGCTGGAAAGGTTGTGGGGCCCAGGGTACGTACTTCCACATGTGGTGGGAATGCGAGCATATTTCAGCATTGTGGAAGGGGGTAGCTGACGTCGCCTCCAGAGCCTTACAAACGGCTCTCCCACTGGATCCGTGGATATGGTTGCTGTCCAAACCCCTAGATGCACTACATAGGGCACAGAATAAACTAGTGGCAAAAATAGCCCTCGCTACACGACGGGACATTGCAGCACACTGGGGGAGGATGGAAATCCCAACTCTATCAGAGGTACGACGGAAAATAGAGGAGTCCAAGGAGATGGATGAGCTATCTGCCCTGGTCCATGAGACGACAGCATCGGTAGGGAAGGTCTGGAGCCCCTGGGGCAATGTGTAGCGCAGGCGAGGGAGGGGAGAGAGGACGGAGGAGGGTTCCTTCTCGACGCAAGAATTTTTGAGCACGGCCCCACATAATAGACACGCCTCCTACACACACGCTGATAGATTACACGCACCTAGTACAGGGGAGATGTTACACTGATATGTAGAATCCCACGCACCCCCCGTGTGTTTTTTTTTTTTGTGTGTGTTTTGGCTATGTCTAGGCGAGGATAGGCCTTATATCCCATGTTCGCTCCAGTTGAGCTTCACCCTTAATGTTCAGACACGATAAGTCTCCGATGACCTCAATTTCCAGTAACGACACTGACTTAGGCCATAGGCTGTACAAGCCCAGAGACGCAGCTCAAAACTTTTACCGCACCTACTCCCTCTAGAGGGGACGAGACAGTCGCCTCCCTCGACGGTCCAATCAAGAGCAGAGAGACTACAGCTTAGGGGGATAAAGATAGCCTGGGAATGAGATCCACGGGACGATGCTATTCTTTTCATAATGTTGTACCCCCTTCCCATATTTTCTTCTTTCTGTACCCCATATACAATGCTAAAATTCTCAAAATAAAGAATTTATAAAAAAAAAAAACTAAACTCAAGCCTTGTCTACTTCTCACACCTGACGTTACCAATCCGTCAACCTCAAGGAACTGACTGTTTGCAGAATTAAGACCGACCTACAAACAGATCCTTTTTTAAAAACTATTTAAAGAAAAACTTCAAAGCTATGAGCCAAAAATAATGCCTTATGAGCTCATGGAGAGGCCTCTGGGTCTAAAGAGTTTTCAAGATCAGGTCTAAAGCTGGGGGGAAAATAACAAGCAAATAAAACTCTGTCGTACAACAGCTTCACCATAGGGTCTACAACGCACAAATGTAGGGCCATCTTAGCCTGCTTTTACATTCATCCACTTCAGCTCCCAACAATGTGTTACTGTCACCACCCAACAAATTCTGAAATAGTATATTAGTTCAAGTAGCAGCAGTGCTAACAAAATGCTCATTGACGAGCTAATCAATTCCAGCCTTCGCTATGGCAACCTTCTATTTGTCAGTCTCCTGCTAACCCAATTACCTAAATTCTATTAATCCAAAGTACTGCGGGCAGACTAATTCACACCGCTTGTTTATCCTGTGCCATTTCTCCAAATCGTTGCACGGGCTACTCTTACTATTTAACCATCACACACACACACCGCCTGATTGTTCTACAGTCTGCAATCTCTTCAGTTCTCTTGCACGTCTGTCTGAATTTTGAATGATCGGTCAAGCAGTTTCAAGCGTGACCTTCAACTCTCCTCCTTATTACTTATTCTCACACTTATCCGCAAACCATCGACTCAAGCTGCCGCTTGTTTCTTGTGTTGTGCATTTCAAATCATCCATTCAATATTTTTTTTTTTCCCACCAGTCCTACATTTCCATCTTTTATTTATAAGACGCAAACATATTCCTCAGGGCTGTTACTTTGCATTATAACAAAATAACCCTTAAATAAAACTGTTCATTAGTAGTTTATGGTATCGTGTATGATACATATGAATGTGGGCTGTGTATGAGGGCTGCTTGTGGAATTGTTTGTGGATATGTCACATTGTGTGTTTGGTAGTGTCTGGGGGCTGTTTGGGGTATTGCATGTGAGAGGCTGCATGTGGGGTTGTGTGCATGTGTGTGGATTGTTAGTGGTGTTGCGTTTGTGGGATTGTGTGTATGCTTGTGTGTGGGCTGTTATTCTGCATTTCTGTGTATATCTAGCAGTGTGGGTGGCTTCCCTGGGTTCCATTGGGGACCAGGCTGGCAAGGTACAGGTCAAGGACAGGAGCTGCAACACCAGCTGCGGGCTGCTCTACTACAGTGTGGATTCCCATTCACAAGTGCTGGGAGGAAGTGATCTGAGATCATTGATCATCTGAGATCATTTCCTCTATGTGCTGCAATGCATAAATTGAGGATTGTCCTTCACCACCTCTTCGTATTACCAGATATCTGAAGTTTTACTGGGAAAGTTTGTTTGGCTCTAGCAGCCTTGAGTGCCGTGGAAAGACGCCTCGAGTGCCGTGCATGGCACTAGTGCCGTAGGTAGCATGTCAGACACAATAAGGTAAGTTTAGATTTTAGCCACAATCCTCATCTTTAAAGATATACTGAGTAAATTGCTTTCCTATGTGGATTGTGTACATCATAAGTGATGAAACCATTGCACGTTTACCAGCATAGACCTACTTGGCTAATTTGGTAGTGTATTCATTTTTTTTTCTGAATAGTATTCATGGAATAGTCATTAATGAGTAAGGAGGCAAGTTGGCAATGTCTGTGTCAAGCCATGCACATGATGCCATTACATGTTACATTTCACTGAAGACACAGTTCTATTGTAAAACAAACGATAAACAACATCTTGCTTAATATTTTAATAGTGTCCATACACACATCTATGCCTGGGTAAAGCACTGGTGGAATGACAACATTTGAAACTAAACAGATTTGCTTGAACAATCGTTAAAAGGAAATTGTATTGGGGTTTGCCGTGACTGCCACGCATGTACCACATGACCTCAATTCTTTTCTATGGGAAGCATTGATTCTGATCAGATTATGATGAATAATGATCACCGCACAGTAGGCGGTCATAGTTTGAGAGCAGAGATCGTTTTGGCGCTGGAATCATTTACATGATTAAAAACAACAACAAAATATGGATGGGGAGCTAAATATAAAATTTAAAAAACACACATTTTTAACGTTGGCGTTCTCCTTTAAACTAGGAGACCCTGTGAATCAGCTGTGACCTATACAGCAATACTGGCAGTATCAAAACGTTTCATCACATCTTCGCTAATGAACAATATTTTTTAGGACACGATACATTCCCGTTCTGCATAAAACAACCACAAATGTGACATACAACAGCTATAAGTCAGATGAATTAAAATCATCAAAATGTTATATTTAACCGCAGACATTAGTACACTGCAATATCCCATTTCATCCCAATTTGTATCAAATATAATATTTCATTTTCAGCTAGGCAAACTTGCTTATTTTCATGTAACCACTCATCCTAGTGTATTATTAATCAAAGCTTCACTGTTGTCTGGTTATATTCCCAACGTCTGGGAAAAAGGAAAGCACTGATGTGCAGCACAAGGGGTGATAAAAACATTGTCTCGTACTACAGTCCTGTACCTTTACTCTCTGTAATACCTCGAGTCTTGGAAATATTAGTTTGCAACTGGACAGGTTTTATCTAGTTTTCTCAAATCACTTAACAGTAACTATTCTCTTAAAATCGATGCTTACAGGATAATACACTAAGAATGATTTGTTGTTAAAATGAATTCAACCTAAATTTCTAACCTGCATTCCAAAATCTACTGTCCCCTGCACCGCCCCACACTGTTTGCAATAAAATTGAAAAAGGGCTTACTTTAACCGTTCCAGTGGTGAAGCTCATTGCTGCCTCCAATGATATCAGAGGTGGCACAGACTTCTCCAGCGTGATCAACTCAACACTCCTCCTGGGGAGCATTGAGGACTTTAGGCACATGCGCAGCAATCGCCATGGCTCGCCTTCAAGCTTCCCCATAGGAAAGTATTATATTCAAAGCATTCCTATGGGCTTTCAAGTCATGAGACGAGTTTGACTGTCAGTGCAGCAGAGGCACCTCTCGTCACTCACATCTATGTTTGGCAAAAGACATAACTGACAACATTACATATAGAATAACCAAAGAGAAACATAGAATGTGACGGCAGATAAGAAACAATTCGGCCCATCTAGTCTGCCCAATTTTCTAAATACTTTCTTTAGTCTCTGGACTTTTTTTTTAAAGAAAGAGACACCCTTTTATTTTGGAGGCGGTAGAAGAACATTTATGTTACTAAAAATGTAATCGTGAAGAAAATCAAAACACTATATTTAGATTTCTAAACATAATTATTGTAGCTTAAAGGCACGTTACAGTGAGTATTTTTGCTATTATTTATATAGCGCCAACATATTCCACAGTGCTTTAAATATTATAGGGAGGAATGAAACAATAAATGAGACACATACAAAGCTTTATAGGAACAACAGGTCGATGAGGGCCCTGCTCATGAAGCTCTGTTACACAACACACGCTCAGAACTCTTGGAGAGAGAAAGCAGGACTTGAACACAAAACATGTGACTTTGCAGGTATGGAAAGCGCTTTGGATTACTACTATGCTGATATCAAAGCAAAACAAAAAGAACAGAATCGCTGCATTATTACTTCCCTCATAACAAAATATTCTGTTTTCTGGGTTATCTGAGCCAAAGGCTGGACTCGGGGGTTGTGTATAATTTAGCTGGGGCAATAATATTTATTAGCTATTGTAATATAGCATTGTAGATACTTTTGAGTCTGCTGGATGCCCTTCATTCTCTAAGACTGAAGCTACAAGGTTTCAATTAAACTGTTCTAGGAGGGAAAGAATGGAGACAAAGTCTGAAACTTATTAACTGCTTGTCCCTTCCCCCACCGCAGCCTGTGTGTGCGCACTCCCCGCACTATTCACAACCTCTTGAGATGTACTTGCAGCCCTTTATTTTATGAAAAGAAAATCTCCATCTTCTGTTTTATGTTTACATTTATACCACTAAGAAATGTTTAAGTTTCTCCTCCGAGAACAAAACAAAAAAAAAGTTAAAGAAACACAGTGGGTCCAGAACGCATGAGGCTATCATAGCATTAATGTTGTGAGTCAGATGTCAGTTGCAATTCGCTATTTAATAAATCCCAGATGTATTGTGTGAAGGCATACCTGGGGTTCAGATTAAGTACTTTGTATTTTATTGTATCCAATTATCAAGCTATTGTTTTAAATAGGGGTCTTAAAGGAACACTACAGGCACCATTGAAATTAAGTTGATATGGTGAGACAAGGTCCCTGGCACCAGCTTACCTGTGGGGAACGGTTTAACCACAGTCTTTCAGATTATTGAAACAGAAAGACCCAAATAGACTCGAAGAAGGGTGCTTCTGACAGGCCAAGTACATCAGATGACGCTCTAAACCAATCACTAGCTCCCTATTTATAAAATGGCTTGAGAAATAGGTATGTTGCCAAATTGCAGCACCACGGTCTAGGACTACTTATTTCAAGTATCGAAGAGAAGCGGAAAGGCAGGGGGGTTAAACCATTCATGAATGGTTTGACCCCTAAAGGTAAGTTGGCGCCAGAACCTCCAAGTACCATAACAATTTTATATAGATGAAGTTGTTATGGTGCCAAAAGTGTTGCCCTTTAATTCAAAACTGTAAACTCCCACAGTGTTATCTCCTTGAGAGTGCCATTTAAGTGATTTTTTGTTACAAGCTTGCTCTTATCCGACCAAAGATCTAAGCTTTGCTTGATAACACGGTCAAAGGGGCACCCACTGATGACAATTAAGGTTATCGCAATGTGAATGTGTTGATGAGCTAAGAAGGGTGATTTTTGATTGGATAAGAGCACATTCCTTAATTAGGATCATTTAATGGCAGTGCTGAGAGAGGGAACGCCCCGGGAGTGGACTGTATTACATTTTCCTTCTCATCTTTCCCTAACTTCACATGACTTCTGCAGAACTTGACTGACTGCAGATGCTAATCTAAGATCAGCCAACAGTCTAGCTATACACAGTGGGGTGAATTAATTAAACACAGAACTGGTTCTAAATGAAAAAAATTACAATATTTAGGTTTAACATAGCCACGCTGTAACTATAGCCAAGTGTACAAGTTTTCCAATGTGGCTATTTTAGCCTAGATTTGGCAATTTAGCTTTCAAATTACTATAATTTAATATTTAGTAATTAAATGACAGAGTTGTTTGAGAAAATACTAGAGACGAGGACTCTAGCGCTGAAGGCTACACAGGGGATTACGGAAAAAACGTACAGCTCTCCATAGATAATCTCACGGGTTGGAATCAGAATTTAATGAAGAATGTTAGCCAGTTTTGAGAGATGTCCCACAGGCAGCAAATGCGAGTACAGTCTGTATTATTAAATGTTTAGCCCAATAATGAGCATTAGAGAGTACATGGACCTCTTGTGAGCAAAGTGGAGTTAATTTTTTTTAATACAATTTGTGTGTGCAATATAAAATTTTAATTAAAAAATGCAATAAACAATGTTTTAAATAATAAAAAAAAATATTTGTGTGCCTGCCGGTAATGGACCCAGTGACAATATATAATCCATAGTCATAAGTCAAGGAATCATAACCAAATCTGAAAGATGGCTAGTAGGCCAAGATAGCAATAAAACCATTGCGTCCTGTAGTTCACGTGTTAATTACGTGTGGAAATATGACAGGGACGTGTTTGTAGCTGCCGAACATGATCCCAAACACAGCGACTGGCCGTAACTGTCGGTCATTTTCTGGTGATCTAATCATGTGTTGACTGCAGGAGGAGAAGGAGGGTGGAACATTGTGGGTTCCAGATATACAAACAGGAGGCCTATAAAATCCCAAAGATCCAGACACTTCTCCTCCCAGCAATGGGGGGGTTTGGTGTTTTGGATTTATTTCAGCCGTTTGCCTTAAGACCACCTGCATTCCCACAGTGTCGGATTGCAGACCCCTCTTCCAATGTTATGCATTTCCAGGGGCGACAGGCAAACCAGCAAGCAGTCCCATAGGCTTTAAGAGAAAGCAAGAATTGGCGCACACACATACAGCTGTTGTCTAATAAAAAGTTTTGTAGGAACGGCCCTTAATGATAACAGACATTTAAGGAGAACCGGTGAAGGAATAAAAACAACATCCATCCAAGCTGAAGAATGGGATATGCCACCAAAAGAGTCCGGTTTTCAATCGATGTTTACAAATGTAACAATGCTGCCGGTGCTACCTTTGGCCCCATCTCATTCATAAATGGGCAAGGGCTCCGTGCAGTTATTGATTAAATGGTCGATCGCCACTGAAGGCTCAATATCAACATTACAACCTGGATCTTAAAGGGACAGTGAAGTCAAAGACTTTGTTTCCTGAAAACCAAGGGCAGATTTCAGCCTGTTTATGTTTGAGGCTGCCATGCAGCTAGAGAAGAACGATATGAGCCACAGTCTTTGGTCTCTCAAATGGAGATTTATCGGAACTTTCTCTGGGCATTAATTAACCCTAAATAATTCACAGGCAGGTGGGAAAGTAGCCTTGAGACTTTTAACTAGCCAGCAAACCCCAATTCAACTTTCCTAGTTTATAGGAGATGGCAATTTCCCATGATCTACACAGTATACACAGAAACTGGAAGAAATTGTGTAGGCACTAAAAGTCAACGGATGAAAACAAATTACTATTGTTTGTCCGTTTGTGCGCTGTAATCATTTTAGATTTACATAAAGCTAGCTCGCTGAGGGGCAATCCACTACCTCTTTAGCGCAATGACTTTTACACACCTCCAGGCTAGATTACAACATATAAACTTTCAAAAGAACTCACGGAGCATATACAAGTTGGACAATGCTCCATAGGGGCCCCACCAGAAAAGTTAAACAAGAACACCCGCCAAGCCAGCGGTTACACACAATTTAGAAACACCTCGGTCATTCTGATCTTTATCATGCTTCTCTGTGGTGATGTGGGCTCGCAGAAGACTAAAGAAAACAATAGCTGCCACTTCCCGTCTTTCATACAAGAGGAATGTAGTCTTTGTGATAGAGATACTGTGATTTTTCAAAAGAGCTGAAAATACATCACTGCTAGAGTATAAAAAAGCTGCAAGAAAAAAAAAAATCTTGAACGTTAGCGAGCAATATCACCCCCCTTTTCTTTTCGTGAAATGCAGAAATACCTCACATATCAAGTTACAAGATAAATATACCTCTAATGCAATCCTATTTGCCTTGCTTAGATGGTATTAATTTCTCTTGTTCTTGGAATGTTTATATGGGATTATACAATGGTCTAAGCAGAGCTGTTTTTGTCCATTTTCCACGTTGAACAGAAAGGGGGGGTGGGGGTGGGGGGAGGAACAAAAATAAATGACAAGACCTTGCAGTTTCAGGCAGGCCAATTAGTTGCATGCTTTTCAAAAGATTGTGCTACGCTTTCATCTTCATACGAGATGGATACAAGTGGCCGAGTGCCATGGAAACTGTACCTTCAGACAACTTCCTGTTACAATTGTTGGAAAAGGGAAACAAAAATCCCAGCCCCCCCTCAAAATTAAAAGTGGTTTTCCCAGCTGTGAATACAGGATATGGATGGTGCTCCCCAATTAAAACAAATGAGAAAATGTATCAATGAACAAATTCAATCATTTTGACTGCAAACACCTGGTGAAGCAACATAGGGTAAGGAGTGGGGCACTGAACTACAAATCCCATAATGCTCTACTGTTTCAACAAAGCCATACACATAAAACTTATCATAAAGGGACATTCTATGCACCAAAAACAGATTTGTCTTAATGAAGTGGTTTTGGTGTACAGATCATGCCCTTTCCGTCTCGCTGCTCAATTCTCTGTCTTTTAGGTCAGTTTATGCAGCCCTAGCCAGAACAATACTGGTAGTGACTCACATGGCCTTTCTACACACTTTCCATAAAGATATAATTTTCATACTTCCTTAACTGAACAGTGTGCTTAATTTAGAATGTATCTCCTGCTCTGTAAATAGCTTGCTTGAGTCTGCAGCACCCTCCTGTGTGTGATTAAAGTTCAAGTAATCCCTTAAGGACACATGATGGAAATATTCCGTCATGATTCCCTTTTATTCCAGAAGTAATGTCCTTAAGGGGTTAACAGCAGGATAAAAACTTCTAAAGTAAACACACTGCGCTGTAATATAGGATGGAAAAGTATCAATTCAATTAAGTGGTCTGTGCTTTTAACCCTTCCATCTAAAATATTGTGGTTTATTAGATACGCAATGTTTTCACTGAAGGGAGCCTCTAGTGACAGTCTTCCGTACAGCCACTAGAGGCACTTGCGCTGAATGGCAGAGGCTCACTCAGTCATGTGACATTTAACATCAAACGTTGGAAACTGCAGCTCATTGGGAAGCATTTGATTCTATACTTCCCTGTAGGAAACATTAGGTCAAGCACATGCATCTCACTCCCAGTGTAATAGGGAACGGTATGGACAAAAAAAAAAAAAAAGGTTAAGCAATGCTTCCAGGATGATGTCATTAGAGGAGGAGTGTTTGGCAGCACAGAGAACATCTTTCACGATCAGCTGATGGGGGGGCACCTAATGTGCATGCGCAGCAAACTTTGCATGCACATTCGACTTTCTCTGTAAGAAAGCATTGAATCAATGCTATCCTATGGTGTTTTAGAAGACACTGTACGTCCTCATGCAAAGTGTGAGGACACCCTGCGTCATTTCACAGAGTCAACTCTGTAATGGGCCAGGATGCACCTCTGGCGGCTGTCTGGGAGACGGTCACTAGAGGCCGTCTTAACCCTGCCATGAAAACATTGTAGCTTCACTGAAGTCCCTTTAAAGGTTATAATAAACCCCCCAAAAATATTAATAAACAAACAATAAACTCAAAAGGAAGAGTGCTGGTTAATTTAGAATGTTTCTCAGCACCAGCCCTAAAATACACAAACATTCCACATTCCATGCATCACCCTGACCAGCAATACAGGATGAAAACAATGCTTTAAAATTCTCAACACAATGCTTCGAGAAATGTTTGGAATAGTTTTTTGCTTTGTTTTTAACGCAAAAATATAGATCAAGTTTCAACATGAAAACACCCTGGCGTCAAAATGCTCACAGGAAGCTTCAAAACACCCTAGGAGGCCCAGTCTTCACATAAGCTCTTTTAAATAACCAACATTGTGAGCCACTTCCATTTTGGAAAGCTGAAAATGTCCACTCACTACAGCACTGAGACACATACTAATAGTGGGTATGTTTGTTTAGAGCCCCTCTAAAAGGCCACTTGGTTTTTTTTTTTTTATATAAAAAAGAGGCAATATAGAACTGTAAGTTTTAGCCTAAAATGGAATTTATTAATACAATTATCGTGATATATAAACTGGAACCACTTAATTGGGTGGCTGTAATTGCTCATATTTGGCAACTTTTAGATAATGGTAATTCATTTCTATATATTTTATTCATACATAAAACTTCAATCTTACTTTTCTCTGCTGGATAAAACCAATCCGTTCTTATTATAGAAAGGCCTGCATATTATTTCTTATAAAAACGAGGTACCAGGTGCATTCATTAGCAGGTCTGGTGGATGGATTGCAATCCATACAGTTTAAAGATTCACAATATCACCAACGATACCAATCGCCATGGTCCCCAAACATAGAAAGGGTAATGTACTAATAAAATATAAAGCTACCGTATTGAGCTACACAGGATATAGAGGATGTGAATAGGTGCTGCCAAATGTTTAGTTAGTTACGCATTCCACACTCTGTGATGCACGCATATAGGGCTCTGGCATTTAAATGGTCACCAATTATATTTCAAGATTTTTTTTTTTGAGAACATAAAGTGACACCTAATGTGACGTTGCTGCATTTTTGCATTCCGGAGGCTCTAGAAACAAAGTTGCATGTAGAAAGGGGGAACATTATTTTTAGATATATCACAGACTACACTTACATATGGCAACCTAATTGTGAGATCAATAATAATAATAAAGTGCTTGGTCTCTAATTCAGTATGGTTTAAACGCACAATTCCTGTATTCCCCTCTTAGTGTAATTCCATCCATAAGGCACATTTCGGAGCTTACCAAGGCAGTGGGAGGTCAGTTAGGGTCATGATAACTTTCCAGAATTCCCTATGCAAATGCAGTTCTACTCTACGCCCCAAAAACAAAAGCAGAGTGTGGATGGGGGGGTTTACAAGCCATCAACATGACCAAACCTACATCAAAGGACTATGGGAATTGTAGTTTACATATGTAGAATAACCCTGCTACAAAAAGCAAGCTAAGTGGATGGCTAGACTCAATTTAATTAATCCCTATTCTTCATGGCAAAATAGGGCATACAATGAAAAAGTATTAAAAATAAAACAAAAACACCCGGATAAAGAGGGTTTTCTTTGGTATGTTTTATTTTAAATATAAAATATGCATTGTTGAATAACTAAACTCTGAGGTATTTGACTTAAGAATCAACTTTATAGCTGTATCTGTAATGATTTACATTACCGATTGTATACCGTGTTCATACTTCAATGGGTAAATAAAGAATAAAAAAAATAAAACAAAAACAAAATTCAGGGAGAACAATGCTCTGACAAAATAGATAACTAATCTATTTTTATTTAGAACCAAATAACCAATTCCTGGGGAGATCAGAGCAAAATATATAAACTATTCACGTATAAAACTATAGAAATAGAATAATAAACAATATAAAATGTTTCCCTCCAGCACAAAAAACAAAAAAAAACTGCTGCTTACTGGATCTGCTTTTTATTTCTGTAGTCTTACAGACCTGCTTATAATGCAAAGCCCCAGCTGGGGCGCACACAACTATAAAAAAAAACAAAAAAACTTAACAAATGCTAAGATCGTGTGTGCCAATTACATTCATCCCTGCATTCCCGAGCTGCATACCCTGCCTCCTCCCTCCCTCCCCCACTCCAACTCTCTCCCCATTATACCGTCATTCAGGCAGAAAGTTATAAGATCTCTTTCCGTCAGCTAGTTAGACTTGGGAATCTCAACAGGAATTACTGAGTGTTCCAAAAATGCACAATAGCTGTTGTTTCTATCCGCTACCACAAAGCATTCTTTTATTTGGACATTGTGCCTATTAAATGCACCCTTATCAAGGTGCATGCGATGCTGTTAGCAGATTATTCAATGCAGCCTGGTTTAACCTGGGGGGGTGGGGGGGGGGGGAAGCCCTTTGGTTTAGAAGGTTCTGTATTTTCATTTGTGTGGTCATGATTCAATTTGATTGTGGCAGGGTGGCTTTCGCAAGACTTACATTTTAATGGTTTGACAAAACCAAACCGATTGTGCGTTCTGTAACAATCTTGGAAAACATAACCGAACGCACACAAACTAACCTGTCGCCAGAAATGCAGCAGTTCCTCTGGAGGGAGAACAAAGTTTTAATCTCTATGCTCTGCTAGCTGCATTAACGATAATTATTTACAGTTAAAAAGATAAACTCGGGATTAGTTATAAAAGAACATTTCTTGGGCAACACTGTAAACATGGAGCAATCGCCATGGAAACTAAAGGAATGTTCTGCCAATTACTCACAAGGTAGCCCTGGAATAAAAAAAAAATTCCCATAATTTCAAAGTTTCTCAAGGCTTCTAAACAAATAAAAAAGCGCTACAAGCAGGACTGAATACCATTACGACCACAGCAATCATTGACAAAGTTATAAAGAAATTTTTAAAAATGTCAAGAAATATAATCTGATAGTTTAATAAATACTGAGTAGATGTAGTTAATTAAAAAAAAATAAAAAAAATAAAAGTCACCCATAGCAGAGCCACTGTTAGAAGTGCTATTTTAGCGGTATTTTATTATAGTGGAATATAGATGTTATGCAAATGAACACACACATACAACCTATAAAGGTGACAATATACTTGGAACACACTTTTCAGTGTAAGTGGAGGGGGGTCTAGCAGATCTACAAAGCCTAGCACATAACAAGAGGAACGCAATGATAAGGCTTGAGCCTTTGCTTTATTTGTAGTGTTCTGGATAAGCTCCAGCAAGATTTATTGACAGCTGAAGGTGATGTTGACACCATTCACTGCCTGGGATATCACTGTACACAGCCACAGTCAAATGTAAAAGGCCTGAAGGGACAGTGGGAAAATAAAAATAAAGAATGCAGTTAACAAAAATGTATATTAACTTGTTAGCGGTAGAAAAGTAACTAGTTACAACTTATTGTAGAGACAGACACGGGTGAATGGAGACCCTTAGCACTTCAAAACTTTGCGAACTACATTTCCCATGGTGCATAGCAAATTTAAAGGAACACAAATGTTAATTAATAAATTAGATTTAAAAAAGTTAGACATGCTCCTTTTAGTCTCTTAGTTTAGATTGTGGAACATCCCGGATATAATTAAAAATAAATGTAAAAATCCGCAGGAAGCAGTTAAACAACAAGTCTGTGAACTAGTGCCAATACCAACTGCAGACCCACAGTGAATGAGTAGCAATAGCTATAACCTGCCAATTCAAGGTTTCTTGAGAAGCATTAGTCACATTCGGCATCATTACGCAGTACGTGAAGTCTTTCAAAAAACAAAAGGAACTGAAGGAGGTTATCTATTAGGATTATAAAGCTTTTAACCAACTGTTCCCATATGTCCCGTATTGTTAGAATTAAAGTTTTCTCTAGCCAACTTTTGTACAGCGCTCTAGAATATGTTAGCGCTATATAAATAAACTGTAAAGACTCAAGTGACTGTCTGGTTGAAGGCAATAAATGGCGTGTTTTCAGCGAAATGTAAACATTGCCCTTTCTCAGAAACATCAATGTTTCACATGGTTTTAAGATATAGGGGTTTGGGTGCTTAAAGTATCCCTTTAATTTTCAAAAATCTGGAGTATTTACGTTCCTATCCATCCTCTCACATACACAGGACTACACTCTGAAACAGCAGTGATGTAAGCAATACAAGAATAAACTACCCTTCTTATTCTGGTTTATAATGTTACGATAGCATGCAACTGGGCTTCCTGCATCAGTGAGCCGTGCTGGCTTCTTGGCTGCCCTGATAATAGGGGCCTTTATCCCACTGTTTCAATAAGAGTCAAACGCCAATGTTGCCTGAAGTCCACCTCTCCTGCTCAACTGCATTCTCTCAACAATTCGCTGTCCAACCAACAGCAAGTGGGATGAGCCTGCACAGTGCCTCATCTGTAGTTTCTATGTACAATGATTAACATCAATATATCAATAATTGTGCTTAAAATATATTAGCTATAGCTTGTCCAAATTGGTGGAAATGGGTTGTCAATTCAGAACTTATTTTGAGCTACAAAACAGTATAAGAACACATGTCTAAGTTGCATTTATCAAAGTTTTTAAACATCCGTCACATGTCACTTCACTGAACATAACATAGAATAAAACATTGAAATCATTTATAACTTGGAATAACCATATATTTCTTCTAAAATCTAGCTTAAAAGGGACACTACAGGGACCCAGGTCAATTCAGCTCATTGGAGTGCTCTGGGTGCAGTGTCCATAGTACACTTAGTGCTGCAATGTAAACACTGCAGTTTTAGAGAAACTGCCATGTTTACATTGCGGAACTAATTCTGCCTCCGAGGAAGTCAGAGGGAGTTAAAGCGCCAGCAATACAATTCCTGGCACTACAGTATCCCTTTAAAGATTTAACTAGTGTCTTCGCCATCCAGGTTAGTGCAGGCACAGCCAGGGCACACAATGCAAATGAGTAAGAGAGCAACCTTTTTTTTTTCTGTTTCTACTCTTCCACCATGTTCAAGGCCAGAAATGTCAACATTTATAAACATGACTAACTAGGAGCCAAAGTATAGCTGCCCAGAGTTCCAGGATCGATGTGTGGATTTCTACAATTTTATTTTCAGACCGCAGAAAAAAAAAAAAACAACAACAAAAAAAAAACCACATACTTGCCAGAAATAAACAGGATATTGAAAATCCCGGAAAGTCATAGTTCAACATTAAAAGTTGGGCACTTGTATTAAATGCTGTGTTTTACTGACAGTATGCTACTTTGAATGTATACAGCTCCTTTTGTGAAATGAGGTATCTTAAAAGTCCACTTCAAATCATCTGGTTCCCAAAGCTAACACAATCATGCAAGCATTGCAAAATAAACCATTTGAAAAAGAAAATTGCTTTGGATTACTGAACATGGATACACGAATAATCTTGTAAACCAGTTAATCGCAACCTTTTTTTTCCCCCATGAAAGCATGAAAGTACAAAAGCCCAATCATTAAGGGCCAAATTCAAAGCCAACAGCAAAAAATAAATATCTATACAACAACACACGGGTTGATTAGTAGTGGATTGGATAGCTTTAACATGAAGTAATAGCCATTTATAAATCAATCATCCGTGTAGACACTGGTCTAAACATGTTGATGTGGAACGGTAATTAAATGATTGGGATGTAAACTTATGTAACCTTTTCAGGTCCTGTAGAAGTCAGACAAGTTAAATTTATAAGTCAAGATACAGATGAGTAATAGTTTATAGACTCCTCGAGTACAGAAAAAAAAATAGACAAGTCAAGAAAAATAATAAAAGTCACATGGCTGCAAGCCCTCAGGTTTCTGCAATGAGTTGTTACCAAACCAGGATGTGATTCAGCCAATCCGTTTACATTATTTTATGTAAGCGTGTTAAACACATCATATATTCCTTATTCACAGCAACAGGTTTCTGAAAGTTGTAGTTAACATATCTGCTTTCATTCACATATTTTATTTGGGGGAGAGTTTAAATAAGCATCTTTTTTTTTTTTTTTTTTAAATAACTGCAGTTTGTTTGTTTTTTTTAACTTACAAACCTTTATTTTCAACGAAAAAAAAATATTCTTAAAGAGATACTATAGTCACCAGAACTACTACAGTTGAATGCAGTTGCTCTGATAAGTATAGCTTGTCCCTGCAGACTTTTCAATGTAAACACTGCCTTTTCAGAGAAAAGTCAGTGTTTACCTTGCTGCTTAGTGACAGTCACTCAGACGGCAACTAAAGTGCTTCCTATCTCAGTGCTGCATAGTGTGCAACACCTACATTCAGCGTCTCCACCCTCTGAATTGCAGTCACTAAACGCTCCCCATAAAGATGCATCGAATCAATATATCTCTAGGAGGAGATGCTGACTGGCGCAGCATTTTGTCGTGCAAGCACAATAGCCTCACAATGATTTCCCATCGGAAAGCATTGGAATAGCTGAGATCATCAAACCCGATTATCTCAGCCATAGAGGTGGGGTCAGCCTCGGGGAGATTGGAGCACCGTGGGAAAAAAAGGTGATAAAAACATGCAAACGGAGGAGGGCTGGTCACCTAAACATGCACATCATGACAAACCACGACAGACGCACATACACATAGGGACTACAACCACAGCCTCTCCACATCATAACCAGGGCAATCAGCTGTCCATTTAATAAAGATAGCATTATTCCCTATATGCAGTAAGAGAAGGCAGTGAGACATTCAATGATTAAAGACTAACTCTTACACTCAATGTCGGGTGCTGGGTGAAACTCCAGTTGGAGCGTTCATGAAACTCAGAGTACTTTAATTAAAGGTCTGCCATCTATTATTAGAGATACTACAATTATGATTTATATAGCATTAACATATTCACTGATGGTCTATCCAGTAAGTCCAGTTTACTACAAGATTTAAGTTCACAGTAAATAAAAAAAGAAATGTGAAAAAGGAATGTGCTAATAAAATATCACCCCTCCACAAAATGACACATAACTGTACTGAGGGGAGGATCAGGCCTGCACCACTGTAACAGTGGTAAATGTTAACATTCCACATTCCATAACAACTTTAGCGTAATGAAGTGGTTAAGCTGACAGGGTACCACCTTACTTTACTTTATCACACTGACAAAATAGAATTTAAAACGTAGCTGAGAGCTCCACTTAGAAGCTCTTTTAGTCAAAGAGCCAGGAATTCTACCTTCTGGTTCTCATACATCAGCACTGACGTGAGTGTTGCAGGGCTGTTCCCCTGGAGAGAGGACGTGCAAGTCCAACGACTGCTCCTACCCTTGTGACCATTGGTACAGTGAGCGGATATAAACACCCAGCACAGATCATCACAGGATAGTCTTGCAAGTTATGCCATGCATGTCTAGAACCAGGAAGCGTAAATCCTAGCTCTCCTGACATGGCTTGCACGTGAAGCCACAAGCCCTATTTTTTCAGTTTGAACGTAGACATAGTATTAGAATACCATAACTACGTTGATAAGATAAACAGGTTATGATTTCCTGAATGTCCCTGTAGCGGAACGCCAATTATAAATCCACGAATTCCGCTGGTTCAGAAACGAATCCACAGTCAAGCGCTGAAAACCATAAGGCAATATCCCCAACCTCCCAGTAACCGGACGAGACACAGTTCTGAGAGTCAACTGACATCCTTTTAATCGGCTGGACAATTTATACAAGTCCCCATGCAAGGGGTTTCCCGAGTCCCTTCCCAGGGGCACTCCCAGAGGGGACTACATGGGGGACTTACATGACAACATATTTCTCCCATCAGGCACCGCTGCACGAGAGGGATCATCCTCCCAGAATGCACCGTTAAGGGGATTATCCCCTCGTGCAGCAGAACCGGCAATTCACAACAAAAATACATAACTTGTTAAATACACGGTGGATTTACACGAATGGACGTTCGGTAGATAGCTGGGGTCTGAGCGCATCATTCGTGAGATTACCGCTCAGATCCCAGCTAAAATAACCGAACGCCGCACGAAAAACACATTTCTTTTAAAACATACGAAAAGGACCGATTGCTTTTAGTGAACACGATCCTGAAACTCCCGAACGTCCTGGAGGCTCAGCGGTGTTCGTGCCGTCGAATAGCTATTGGTAGTACTATGCGTTCGACGACCCGGCACCGCTGAGGAACAAAGGATCCAAGATGGCCGACCGCCGCATGGTCGGTAGTCGAACGACGGCCACCCAGGAGAGCCTCTAATAACCGATTGCAACAATGTTGCAATCGGTTAACTAGCGCCACACGCCTCCAAGTGTGTGGGCTATTAGGGGGTATCGCGTTCGGTTCACAAACGGCTCTCTAAAGTGCCGTTCGTGAAACGAAAGAAAATCCCCATACAAAACCGCCATTTGCATTTGGCGGAAACAGCAATTACAGGCAATGCAGAGAATACATTAAGTATACATAGAAGAGTAAAGCGCATATCTCCCCAGACCTATAGGCAACCCTTAAAGGCATAGTCTCTAGTTATAGTCCAAGTGGCTAGGTTTGCCACAGTCCCTTTAAAGTTTACTTTATAATTCAGGTTCTTAGTAATTAAGAATAAAATGGCCAATACAACCATAAGCATGTACCAGGTAATGATTATTTCTGTAATCAGTGTCTCCATCTCAGATCTCAAACACATTTTAGCTTAGCATTTTTTTCCATTGGAGTTCTATCTAAATACAGCTTGCAAAAGCCGCAGATATCTTGTCTGCTGCCTTTGCAATACCTCCCCTTCTAACCATGCCAGACTTTCTGTGGCTGTCCAATCACAGACTTTACAATGCAATGAGAAGTCTTTGCAAGGCAGGTGTTCTGCAAGGCCAGGTGGTGTAGCAAGGTTCATTTAGAAATGTGCCAATTTCTATTGAAATCTGCATGTTTTATAAAATGTAAAAAAGAAACCTTCCTCACACAATAAGCTAAATGCTTTAGGGGTCTGGAGTGTTCCTTAAAGCATTATGAAACTTGCCATAGGTATATATATATAATATTTCACCTCAAACACAAACCCTGAATTTGGATGCATTAAACATTTTCAGAAACATTTAAAAAAAATAAAAAAAAATTATATATATATATATATATATATATATATATATATATATATATATATATATATATATATATATATATATATATATATATTAGGGATCGACCGATTATCGGTCTGGCCGATATTATCGGCCGATATTTGGTATTTTCGGCAATATCGGTATCGGCCAATTCAGATACCGATATTGCCGATAATATATAACAGGACCGCCGGGCCCATTACAAGCCCGGCGGTCCTGTGGGGGCCAGCAGCAAGCGCTGACTTACCTTGCATGCAGCTCCCTATGTAAATCTCGCGAGACCCGCGGCCGCAGAGCGTTGCCACGGGTTACCATGGCAACGCTCCGCGCGGCACTAAGAGCCGCGAGATTTACATAGGGAGCTGTAGGAGCTGCTTGCAAGGTGGTAAGTCAGCGCTTGCTGCTGCTGAGCCACCACTGTACTTAACAAGCCACTGGACCACCAGGGGATACTATATCCCCCTCCCTGGTAAGAAGCAGGGAGGGGGACTAAACAAAAAATAAAAAAAACATTTCAATATTAAAAAAAATATTAAAATAAAAAATTACACAAATTACATCACTACACACACACACTGCACACATACTGCATTACATACACACTACACAAACACACACTACACAAACACACACTGGGGGGGACTAAACAAAAAAAAATTAAATATTAAAAAAATATTAAAATAAAAAATTACACAAATTACATCACTACACAAACACACACACACACTACACAAACACACACTGCACACATACTGCATTACATACACACACACTGCATTACATACACACTACACAGGCACACACACTGCATTACATACACACACTACACAGACAGACACTACACACACACCACAAACACACACTGCACACATACTGCATTACAGACACACACTGCACACACACTGCATTACATACACACTACACAAACACAGTACACATACTGCATTACATACACACACACTGCATTACATACACACTACACAAACACACACTACACAAACACACGCTACACACATACTGCATTACAGACACACTGCACACACTACACTGCATTACATACACACACTGCATGACATACACACTACACAAACACAGTACACATACTGCATTACATACACACTACACAGACACACACTGCATTACATACACACTACACAAACACACACTGGGGGGGACTAAACAAAAAAAAATTAAATATTAAAAAAATATTAAAATAAAAAATTACACAAATTACATCACTACACAAACACACACACACACTACACAAACACACACTGCACACATACTGCATTACATACACACACACTGCATTACATACACACTACACAGGCACACACACTGCATTACATACACACACTACACAGACAGACACTACACACACACCACAAACACATGCACTGCATTACAGACACACACTGCACACACTACACTGCACACACACTGCATTACATACACACTACACAAACACAGTACACATACTGCATTACATACACACACACTGCATTACATACACACTACACAAACACACACTACACAAACACACGCTACACACATACTGCATTACAGACACACTGCACACACTACACTGCACACACACTGCATTACATACACACTGCATTACATACACACTACACAAACACAGTACACATACTGCATTACATACACACTACACAGACACACTACACAAACACACACTACACAAACACACACACACTACACAAACACACACACTACACAAACACACTGCATTACATACACACACAAAAACACACTGCATTATACACACACACTACATAAACACACTGCATTATATACACACTACACACACTGCATTATATACACACACTCTGCATCCACTACACACACACACACACACTACACAAACACACACAGTTCCCCTGTCTAAACACACTTCATCCACTACATGTGGCATGTATATTTTGTGCATTTACCTTTCGAATTAGTTTATTTATTCAAAATAGTAAATGTACAGAATATCGGCAAGATATCGGCTATCGGCCTGAAAGTTCGCAGATTATCGGTATCGGTATCGGCTCTAAAAAATCAATATCGGTCGATCCCTAATATATTTATTGATTTAACCCTGGGAGCTATAATAATCTTAAAGGAGTATCAAATGCAACAGATTAAGAGGTTTGTTTACTAAACTCTAAAATGCAGCAAATTGAAACCTGCAGGACAAAATTAAGTCAAAAATATTTGATTTGGAATTTTTTTGCCAATTACGCTATATTCATAGCCTGCCTATTTTTTGGGGCCAGATTTAAAATTTCCACTATTCAGGAATTAATGAAACCCACATATCTTTAACCCCTTAAGGACACATGACATGTGTGACATGTCATGATTCCCTTTCATTCCATAAGTTTGGTCCGTAAGGGGTTAAACACATTCTGAACAAACATACATTGTACAAACAAAAGACATCTTACTGTGCTTTGCCCACAATATATATTTTACTTCCACATTATTGATATGCCATTATATCAGCATTGTATAAAACCTACCCTAAAGAGCATACAATCTACTAGCTGCCAGGAGAGGCTTGGGAGTTCAAAATGTAAGAATATAAAGCCAAGAGTTTAATTTGCCCTTATTGTGACTGACAGACACAAAGCATAGAAGAAAAAAATAGAGATCCTCATTGTGTAGAAATAGTGTTCATTCTGTGCGAGACACACAGCTCTGCAGGAACAAGGCTACGGAAAAAGTTAGAACACATTGACTTCACACAGATTTCTCTAAGCACAAGGCTTATCAGTCCTACTGCAGCTTAAGAGATACAAAATTACTTTGACATATTTGGATTTTCTGCTGTTAATAAGTCACCAAGACTTGCAATGAATTTTCAGAATTTCTTCCACACAGCAGTAAAGCAGGACAGCTAATTATCTAGCAATCCACCTTGCTGTACCACACTGGGTAACTTTTATCTGCTAGGGGCACCTGCACTCTGCTTTTGAAGTGAAATGTCACTCTGGTTAATGCAGGCAAGTCTTACATTACTAATGATGTCTAGCACTTTGAAGACAAAACTCAAAGCCTAATTAAAAATTCAAATTCAGCTCCTAAGCGTGTTTGTTTGTACTGTCTTTTCGCTTGGACTTCATTCAATGTTTTATTTTTATTCTCCCCAGTTACAGGCAAAAAAAAAATAAATTAAACCAATAACATTGTTCAATTATAAAACAAATAGAAAAGGCAGCTCAATGTCTGCATTCAGGGTCCCTCGATTTAACACATGGCCAGGCTTTACCAGAACACACACACACTGTACGTATGTAATAAAAAATTTTTTAAAATATAGTATATATGTAATTCACAGGTTTTTAATAGGCGATATTTGGATTCTGTGTTGTATGACAAGAATAGCAATATTGTCCCGGGGGGAGGGTCAAAATAAAATACTCTGATACAGAGAGAAATACAATTTTGAAGGGAAAAAAAGAAGCAAATAAATAAAATAAACCCTTAAAATGTGCAAACCTATTTGGTTTGTTTTACAGGCAGGATAGTAAACAGTATTAATTAAGGAACAATATAAACTCCATGTAAGGAAAAACAGGACTGACATTTGGTAGTTATTTAACAAAACAAATGAAAAGAAAGCAAAACGTATATTGTAACAAGTAGGCTACCAGATGGGTAAATGAGAGAATGTATCACAGTCTTAACAACAAGCATGTGAATCACTGCAAACTCCTTCCACAAAGACCAAAGTCCCGAATATGTATAAAAAAAAAAAATGTGTGAAAACAGACTAATTGTGCTTTTTGAACATGGCCAATATCTCTTCTTGTTTGATCTTTCTTTGTACTTGGTTTATGACAACTAAAACTTAAGGTTATTTTATCCAGACACAAAAAACCCTCCCCAGACAGGCAGTAATTCTGGGCCAATTAAATTGTTCAAACAGGCAGTTGTCATTCTCGGATCTAACAGAGTAGGGAGCATGGCTCAAAGACAAAGTTTTTTTAAAAACACACCCCAGAAACAGGCCTTTATACATGGCCATGCAAGGAAAAGGGGAGGACCCCGTTTTGTTAAAAAAAGTATAACAGCAAATTCCAAATATGTTCTGTGTCACGGTCTGAAGAGATAATGCTTTACATATGGGAAGGCTAAAAACAACAAGTGGTATATTGTGACCATGTCAGAGACAGATTTTATTCTACTACTATAAAAGCAATCAAGTGCGATATTAATGGGTGCTGTTAAGGATGCCAAAGTGAGAGCTTTGCAGACACAACTGGATAGTAAACAGACAATAGTATACATATCACACTTACATGAATGCACTGAGAGACAATTCAAACAACAGGGAAAACTAATTGTACATCTACATCAATCTAAAGACAGGAGATGAAATTACTTTATATATTCAATATGCAGAATCCAAATTCACCATCACACTTTACATTAGCTATTGCAGGCAACTGCCTCCTGAGCACAAGTCTAAAAGACATTTGGGAGTACCTAGTTTGCTTAACAAAAGAATTGGCTGCAGGAGGTCAGTTCACACAAGTCTCCCAGAAAGGTGGGGAAACTAGCCGTTTTCATGACAGATAAAAGACCAGTCTCCCACTGATTGCATACAAATGTCTACTCGCTAATCTACAAAGCCCTTCAATATAATTTACTTAAATTATACAGCGTCTTCGATATCACCCTTTGATGCAGCACATAAATAAATATGGTGTTTAAACAATAGAGAGAATCCTTATAAAATGAGAACTACCAGTAGATGGGCATTCGGGTCGCTACACAGGGAGCTTGTTGCTCGTATGCATCACATATGAATCCCCTAAGAAAATGTGCGCGTGGACATCTACAAATATATACAAACACACGTATACACAGATTTATATATGGTTACCAAGATAAAACTAGCAGCACAGAGTAACAAATAATAAAAAAATAAAAAAATGTGCAATGCAAAATTAACCCCCCTTACAGGAAACCAGCCTTCCAGCCTTGGTACAAGTTCCATTGATCTTTAAATCCTCTCAATCCCTTACTTCGGTGATTTGTGAATGAAAATACAATATATTTTCATAGACCAAACAGTGAAGCAAAAAGGACTGAATAAAAAATAATGTTTTTTTTGTTTTTTTCTTCATATTCTCACAATCAAAATTAAATAAAATCAATCCTCTAATGTATGCCCTTTTCAGGTTTTTAAATTTTATAGCACATCCAAATTACTGGTCAAAATATTAACCTTTACATTTTTAGGGAAGAAACGGAAACCCATGTGACAACATGAGATGGCACTTTTGGGTTTAGAACATTTTATTCACTATAACAGAAAATCACAAAAGCAGCCATGTGCAGCAAAAATTGGATTAAACCTAGGTCTGACCATCTTCTATTTGCAGACGCTTGCTGTGTATGCATACAAACAAACAAAGCAAAGATCAAAGCACAAACCATATTCACAGTTTCAAATCACCTCCAGTAAATGCCTTTGTAACTTCTTTTGTGTAGAGACAAGACTATATCAAGTGGATTGGATATGGGCAGGTGAAGCAAAAAATTTCACAACAATGGGACACTTCATAAGAATTCAAAGATGAGGACTGCCTCTCTCGTTGTGCTCCAGTGTGCCGCTAAAGCACCTCAGTTGCTGGGGGTTAATAATTTGGAACAAACCCTGTAAATTTGCCCAAGTCACAAATTGGAACTGGAGATCACTATTAATTTAAATCATGGTGGGAAGTAAATGACAGCGCATATAATATATATATTTCAGATTCTGCAGTTGTTGAATAGTTCAGCGAGCAATATTTGTAAGCCTTTGTATAGATCATCAATGTGGGGAATAAATGTCCTCCCCCCACCCCTGTTTTGGACAGCTCATTTTAAAAGGGAAAAGTTGTGGTAGGAGCAACAATACACAGCTGAACAGTCTCCCTCCCCCACCTGATGAGTGCATGTGGGGGGCTTTAATTATTTCAATACTAGCTTCACCAGCCCATCCCCCATAACTTCATCCGGTGGTCTTCAGAACATTTTATAGTATTTTTATTAGCATTTATATAAGCTTCTTTTAGCATGGTCCTCATCAGCCTATTGTTTCTAACATTTTGTAATTGTCTACTTTGTTTAATTTCCCCCTTTTTTTTTAAATTTGTTACACCCTGCGGAACAAGTTGGCACTATATAAACACTAATAATAATAATAATAATAATAATAATATACACCTAACGTATTCTGCTGCGCTTCCCAATAATATAAAGGGAGAGAAAAAAAAAAGATTTACCAAATTTTACATAAATAAAGACTCCGCTCAGAACGAGTTTACATTAAAATAAAAAGAAAATCAGTATCGTGACTTCATAATTGACAATTTGAAAAATACACAAGATAAAGCATGTTTGATACAAAAAAAATAAATACATAGCCCATTAATGACACACAAGTGAAAGACTGACGGCATCATTCAACCCCATAAACTCAGTTTGAACCACTGAATAGGTCCCCTATGTGTAATATAACATACAGCCCCAGAATATAGTATTAAAAGACATTAAAAAAAGCTATTCCTCCCACACATCACTAATTTAGAATTTAGTGAAAACACTCTGTTAGAGGCTGCAACACAATTAATGAGCACCTCAAACTAGAATGAGCATCTCAGACAGGCCAATGAACAAGGCTTACCAGAGATTAATATTAAACTTTAGAATGAGTGTCACAAGAAAAGCCTGATTCTAACAGACACACAACGAGGTAAACAGATCACAGAATACCACCATTCAACACATTCTTGCGGCACCCAACCCAATGTACCAGGAGTCCTCAAGGAACCCAAATTAGTGGGACCACCATATAAATAGCAGCAAACCAAAGACACCCCAAATGGAGCATACCAGTCGTAAGGGCACTCCTACCTCCCAACGGCTGCAGACAATATATTACATTTTTTTAACCAAGAAAGCCACGTTTACCTTGCACTAAATTTGAAATACAATCCGAGATAGATTTGTTATCATGAAGGAAAATTTCAATATCTCAGTGTGAAGATACCCTTATATTACAAACACTTTGGCCACTGATACCATTGGTATTTCAGATATATCTTCATGGTACACAAACCAGACTGAGGAAGCCTGTCATTACAATGATTAGTAGGTGTGGTGAAACCCCCCAAAAACCAGACACTCCCTATGATAGCTTCCCAAGCTCAGCAAGCCTTCAATGGCAAACATATTTGTAGAACAAGGACCCCATAAACCAGACACTTAAAGTGCACTCCCTAGCCATGTTTAAGAAGACCAGAGATTCAAACATTCCTGAAAAGCAAGGACCCCATATACAAGACATCGTCAGACCTAGCCCTCCTCTCCCAGATACCAGAATAGAGTGTTCCCCCTTATAATCAGACTCCCACCTGCCTCCATGATGGGCAACCCCTTCTAAGAAGATACCCTGGATCCCACCTACCAGTATGTTGGGCACCCCCTTATAATAAAGATATCCCAGGCTCCCACATACCTGCATGGTGTGTGGAACCCTACATAGCTAATATCCTCTACATCAGCCTTTAACTAGATACAAATTTTGTTGCATAATGAGAATCCCTTTATAGATGACACCCCCAGAAACAGACATAGTGTGAAAAAAAACCTAATTCAGGATCTCCCCCAGGCTCCCATATGGTGAGGTCTCCAGATAGTAGACACCCTCAGACACTGCTCTCCCACAAAACTATACATTAAGGAAGGACCCAGATTTCAGTCCTTCCATAGGGTCACACATACCTGCATGGTGAGGACCCCCAGACACAGAACCCCCACATAACTGCATGGTGAGGACCCCCAGACATAGACCCACCCATACCTGCATGGTGAGGACCCCCAGACACAGACACCCTCATACCTGCATGGTGAGGACCCCCAGACCCCCCATACCTGCATGGTGAGGACCCCCAGACCCCCCCCATACCTGCATGGTGAGGACCCCCAGACCCCCCCATACCTGCATGGTGAGGACCCCCAGACCCCCCCATACCTGCATGGTGAGGACCCCCAGTTCCTCCACGGCCAGTTTCTTCATGTGGACGGCCAGTAGCCGAGCTTCCTCGGAGTCAGCCCGGGTCGGTGCCCAGCAGGCTGCCAGGCCGGACAGTAGCAGTAGGTAGGTGAGTGTGGCCCCCGGGCTCCGGCTCTCTCCCAGCTCCATGGCTGCGGTGCACGGGGCAGTATGGCTGCAAAACTTCTCGCCCTCCTCCCCCCAACTCCGAGCTCACAGCGGGGCGGGGCCAAGGCGGGGAGTGGGCGGGGCTCACAGGGGGCGGGCAACAGTCTGGGGCTCAGCAAGGTAACCCAGCTCCACCAGCTCACAGTGTACAGGGGAGGGAGAGGGGGGAGCATCCAGCATCCTCTGCTCACACTGACATGGGGGGGATACAGCATCCCCTGCTCTCACTGACATGGGGGGGATACAGCATCCCCTGCTCTCACTGACATGGGGGGGATACAGCATCCTCTGCTCACACTGACATGGGGGGATACAGCATCCCCTGCTCTCACTGACATGGGGGGATACAGCATCCCCTGCTCTCACTGACATGGGGGGAGCACCCAGCATCCTCTGCTCTCACTGACATGGGGGGGATACAGCATCCTCTGCTCTCACTGACATGGGGGGTATACAGCCTCTGCTCACACTGACATGGGGGATACAGCATCCTCTGCTCACACTGACATGGGGGAATACAGCATCCTCTGCTCACACTGACATGGGGGGTATACAGCCTCTGCTCACACTGACATGGGGGGACGCAGCATCCCCTGCTCACACTGACATGGGGGGACGCAGCATCCCCTGCTCACACTGACATGGGGGATACAGCATCCTCTGCTCTCACTGACATGGGGGTAGCTCACACTGACATGGGGGATACAACATCCTCTGCTCACACTGACATGGGAGGTATACAGCCTCTGCTCACACTGACATGGGGGATACAGCATCCTCTGCTCACACTGACATGGGGGGACGCAGCATCCCCTGCTCACACTGACATGTGGGGACACAGCATCCTCTGCTCACACTGACATGGGGGATACAGCAACCTCTGCTCACACTGACACGGGGGACACAGCATCCTCTGCTCACACTGACACGGGGTGATACAGCATCCCCTGCTCACACTGACATGGGGGAGGACAGCATCCTCTGCTCACACTGACATGGGGGGTATACAGCCTCTGCTCACACTGACATGGGGGATACAACATCCTCTGCTCACACTGACATGGGAGGTATACAGCCTCTGCTCACACTGACATGGGGGATACAGCATCCTCTGCTCACACTGACATGGGGGGACGCAGCATCCCCTGCTCACACTGACATGTGGGGACACAGCATCCTCTGCTCACACTGACATGGGGGATACAGCATCCTCTGCTCACACTGACATGGGGGGGATACAGCAACCTCTGCTCACACTGACACGGGGGACACAGCATCCTCTGCTCACACTGACACGGGGTGATACAGCATCCTCTGCTCACACTGACATGGGGGGGATACATCCTCTGCTCTCACTGACATGGGGGGACACAGCATCCCCTGCTCACACTGACATGGGGGGACACAGCATCCTCTGCTCACACTGACATGGGGGGACACAGCATCCCCTGCTCACACTGACATGGGGGGACACAGCATCCTCTGCTCTCACTGACATGGGGGGACACAGCATCCTCTGCTCACACTGACATGGGGGGACACAGCATCCTCTGCTCTCACTGACATGGGGGGGATACAGCATCCTCTGCTCACACTGACATGGGGGGACACAGCATCCTCTGCTCTCACTGACATGGGGGGGGATACATCCTCTGCTCTCACTGACATGGGGGGGATACATCCTCTGCTCTCACTGACATGGGGGGATACATCATCTGCTCACACTGAGATAAGGGGACATCCTCTGCTCAGACTAACATGGGGGGGGGATACATCCTCTGCTCACACTGACATAGTGGGGATACATCCTCTGCTCACACTGACATAGTGGGGATACATCCTCTGCTCACACTGACATGGGGGGATACATCATCTGCTCACACTGAGATAAGGGGGTTACATCCTCTGCTTACACTGAGATAAGGGGGATACATTCTCTGCTCACACTAAGATAAGGGGGATACAGCCTCTGCTCACACTGAGATAAGGGGGATACACCCTCTGCTCACACTGAGATAAGGGGGGATACACCCTCTGCTTACATTGACATGGAGGGATACATCCACTGCTCACACTGAGATAAGGGGGATACATCTACTGCTCACACTGGGATATTCGGAATATACTTCTTTGTTTACACTGGGATGGGATGGATACTCCCTCAGATAACATTGTCAGAGTTATTCATTAAACTAAGAATTGTCAGGATTCTTAAATTTAAAGGTTAATCCAACCACCACACTTCTTCTGCTTTTATAAGTGGTCATGGTGGCAGGAGTCTGTATGCAGGGCTACCATCAGACATTTTGAGGCCCATTACACAGCTCAAGGTGTGTGGAGTGAATGCTGTGTGTGTGGAGTGGATGTGGTGTGGTTAGTGGATGCAGAGTGTATGTTTGTGTAGTGGATGCAGTGTGTACAGTGTATGCAGAGTGTATGTTTGTGTAGTGGATGCAGTGTGTACAGTGTATGCAGAGTGTATGTTTGTGTAGTGGATGCAGTGTGTACAGTGGATGCAGAGTGTATGTTTGTGTAGTGGATGCAGTGTGTGTAGTACATGCAGAGTGTGTGTTTGTGTTGTGGATTCCAAGTGTGTGTTTGTAAAGTAAATGCAGATTGTATGTGTGTAATGGATGCAGTCAGTGTAGTGAATTCAGAGTGTGTGTTTGTGTAGTGGATACTGTGCTTATAGTGAATGCAGAGTGTGTGTTTGTGTAGTGGATACTGTGCTTATAGTGAATGCAGAGTGTGTGTTTGTGTAGTCGTGTGTGTAAATATGTAGAGTAGGATAGGGGTGCATTCTGTGAGAAAAAAAGTTTTTTATTTACTTATTTTAATAAATGTAATTTTATTTTCCCCCTCCCTGCCTCTTTCCTGTAGTAAGGAAGGGGGACATTACACTCACTGGTGGTCCGGTGACACTGTGCAGGTTGCCAGGCACTATATAGTGAAGAGGGGGCCCAGCAAATACCATTCTCAGTTCCAGGCTGCTCCTCTCTCCAACTCTAGTAAACCTGGATTGCATGCCAAGCAGAGCGTTGCCATTGTGACCCGCAGCAACATTTTGATGGCCGTAACTGGAGATCTGCCGGAAACTGAAAATGGCGTTTACTAGACCCCCTCTTCACCATTCAACATCTGCCAAGCTTGTGTTATTGTATGAGCATCTATGTATTGTGCTCATCTCTCTGTATTGTAGGAGTATCTCTGTATTGTGCTCATCTCTCCGTATTGTAGGTGTATCTCTGTATTGTGCTCATCTCTCTGTATTGTAGGTGTATCTCTGTATTGTGCTCATCTCTCCGTATTGTAGGAGCATCTCTGTATTGTGCTCATCTCTCTATTGTAGGAGTATCTCTGTATTGTGCTCATCTCTCTGTATTGTAGGAGTATCTCTGTACTGTGTATGGGGAAGTAAAATTCTAGGGGAGGGTTCTGGCGCCCTTTTATCTTAAAACTTCACTAGCTCCTATTGGTTGCATGCCAGTCTAATCATTTTTGTACAAAATAAAGATTAGAATACAGCGTGCAAACACACAATAACAGGGCCGGACTGGCCCACCGGCAATACCGGGAAATTCCCGGTGGGCCGGCATACTAATGGGCTGGTGTGTGGCCGCCTAGTGTGCACTGGCCCGCGGGTCGCACTGCGCAATTACAATGTAGCGTGGCTGAGCAGGCAGACCATGGTGGAGGAGCTCCTGTTCCCCTACCCGGTCTGACAGGAAGTGCTCACAGAGAACACATTCTGCTTTCTGTCAGACCGGGTACAGTGAGCAGGAGCTCCTCCACCACGGTCTGCCTGCTCGGCCACACTACAGCAAGGTACAGGGAGAGCTGGGGACGATGACTAATGGGACACAGGGAGAGCTGGGAGGGGGGACTAATGGGACACAGGGAGAGCTGGGGG